AGTTCATGACCTGCTTCTGTTCTGCTGGCCAGGTCTCGCAGACCTTTGCATTTAAAGCATTTGGTTATTAATAAAGTATAATAGAATAGATGTTTTATTGCCATTTGCCCAGGAACAAAACAGTACGAATACATATTGTGATCATTTACCATTTAACATACCTCACTCAAAATCAAAAATGTAAAAAACAGTAAGCACAAGGAGAAACATCAACAAGTCACTTCTTTTTAATTTAGTGCATCTTCCTAATGCCTTCATGGTTTAGAATTTTTTTTTCTTTTGGATTAAAGTAAAGAAACTATCACTTAGAGGTAAATGCTAAACTCGTGCTAAAATCTGGAATTTTAATAAAAAGTACAGGAGGGCTCAATTTTGTAGCATTTGTGAGTGATTTAATGTTGATAATTTGTTGTTTCCCCCCTTTTGTTCCATGTTTAGATTTCTGTCTTTTAAAATTTTATGTATTGTTACAAAATGTACTTGCTTGGTGTGTTTGCATTCAAAGCACTATTGGCATGAACAATTATTGCTGCCTAACGCCTGGTTCACACTGGAAGCGCCGCGCGCGGAACGGAAGCGCCGCGCGCACGCGCAGCGCCGGCTCGCGCTTGGCTGTTCACACAGGAAGCGCTTTCTGCTGCGCTCTGACATGCCGGTCAGACATCGACTGAGCCCGGTAGTGCTCGGCCGTTTCCGTCTGCGCTCAGTTTTCCACACTTACGAGCGCTTTAAAAATGGGTAAATCACTATTTATTTACGTTTTTATTTCGTCATACATAAATTAAATATTGACAGCATCTTCGAGTATTGTTTTAAATTATTATATAGGGGTAAACGACGAATAAATTGGGGAGTCTGTTGACTCCGTTGTATGTATAGCCTTGTTAGCTCGAGGCTATTGACTGTATCGTAATAAAGTCCCCCCCCCCCCCTTTGTCTCAATAACATCACTGAATCTCTGCAGCTCTCCCTCCGTGTGTGTGTGTGTGTGTGTGTGTGTGTGTGTGTGTGTGTGTGTGTGTTCATCGGTAAAAAAATAGACCGACAAGCAACACCGTCAATCCTTTTCTAATTTATTGAAATTTACTTTATTTTGAAAATTCACCGGATTCTCTCGCATCTCCTTCCTGACTTCCTGTCTGGTCCGATCTGCTCTGCTGAGCTTTACAATCGGCGCTCGCGGCTCGCGCCGAAATTAGAGAGAAGCGGAGCAGCCGCGCTCCAGAGCGCGAGCCGTTCCGCGCGCGCGTGCTGTGTGAACAGTCTCATAGGTTAACATGGGCGCCGATCTGAAACTCTGTGCGCGGCGCTTCCGTTCCGCGCGCGGCGCTTCCAGTGTGAACCAGGCGTTAGATGTACTGTATGTAACTGAAAGCCAGATCCTTTTTTAATACCGTTGACATGAAGCTGTCAGTGTTTGAATCCATATGTGACCGTCACTGTTGGCGGGCTGTCTAGATGAGAATCCACACATTCATCTAAGAAGGCTGTAATATATTTAAGGGAAACCTGAACTATAGGTGGTTAAACTTTTGCTCAGCCTCAAATGTCATCAGTAAATTTCTTTTATGGTAAACATCAGAGGTAATTCTCTCAAACTCTTAAATGCCTATACATATGGAGTGCCGTTTGTAAAGCAGCCCATTATAACAACAACAGCAAGATTTGGTCATATTTAGCAAAACAACAGCAAGATTTAGTCACATTTAGCTTCAAACAGCATTTAAAAACGTGATGTGAATTTTCGGCAGTCATTTTTTTGCACATTTACAACAACATTTAAATACTAAAACTAAATGTTAAATGTTAAATCTAAATGCTAAATATAAATCTTAAATATATATGTTAAATCTAAATGTTAAATCTAAATCTAAATGTTAAATCTAAATCTAAATGTTAAATCTAAATGTGTTGGGCGAAACTAAATATTTAGCTAATATGCAAATTCACGGTCGGAAACCGGATGTGCCAAAATAAAAGCTCCAGAAGGTCATATTGATGATTCTTGTGTCGAAGAAAACGAATTAAAACCAATTTAAGGGGGGAACAATTACTTGGGGTGACGTTTCGTGTTAATAACTACCTACAATAGCGACAGCAACAACAAAAACTTTATTAGAAAGACTCGAGTTTTCAGTGTCGCTTCTCCGTATGGCGCGGACACTGTACGAACACACGCACACACACATGCAGGCGCATACGTCATACTACTCCATGGCACCTTATCTATTCATGAAGTTCTTTGGCCATACGGGTAACGCGGACGACTGGGACGCAGGAAGCCGGGGTTCGAAACCATGGACTGTATATAAGTATATATGTATAGACTATATAAATGTATCTTATATACAGCCTATGGTTCGTACAGTGTCCGCGCCATACGAAGAAGCGACACTGAAAACTCGAGTCTTTCTAATAGTCTTCCGGAGCTTTTGTTTTGGCACTTCCGGTTTCCGACCGTGAATTTGCATATTAGCTAAATATTTAGTTTCGCCCAACACATTTAGATTTAACATTTAGATTTAACATTTAGATTTATATTTAACATTTAGATTTATATTTAACATTTAGATTTAACATATATATTTAAGATTTATATTTAGCATTTAGATTTAACATTTAACATTTAGTTTTAGTATTTAAATGTTGTTGTAAATGTGCAAAAAAATGACTGCCGAAAATTCACATCACTTTTTTAAATGCTGTTTGAAGCTAAATATGACCAAATCTTGCTGTTGTTTTTATAATGGGCTGCTTTACAAACGGCACCCCATATATACATTTCTGAAAGTCATCTTAATGATTTCTGAGCCTCTGTGACACCATTCACATCATTTGTCACCAGCGCAGTCTTCTAAATCTAAATCTGGATTGAACATATCTGACAGAATGAACAAATGTAAATGTTCTTGAAATGAAATTAACAGGACAATACTCTATACTTCTTAAGTGGTACTCTACTTCTTTAGAGGAAGAGATTTTTTAAACTTAACAGGATACACAGCCATACATAGCTTCAGCAAAGGAGACAGCTGATGCTGACCAAACACAAACAGATTCCAACCCTTTATGTGGAAGCAGGATGGTAGGTGCTGGTCAGGGGAAAGAGCTAAAACAGGCCTGAGAACAACATCTAGAGGCTGGCTAGTTCACCTGCACTCAGGCTAGACAAACAAACCTCCTTAGCAGCTGGTTAAACAACGCAAGTATGCACACACCAACAGGCATGCGTGCGCGCGCACACACACACACACACACACACACACACACACACACACACACACACACACACACACACACACACACACACACACACAAGCAAAAAAAAGCCCTGCCAGCCTCTTATCTTATTTATAACCTGGCCCACACAGCAGAGAAGGAGCCTAAGAGCAGGGAAGACAGCCACACAGACGGACAGTAACAGCTGGTTAGAGAAGCCAAAGTGTTCAGATCACACAGGAGGAGCACTAAACATTGGGTGTGAAATATTACCTAAGCCTGCATGCCAAAAGCAATAAATATCCATTAAAATTAAATACACACAAAACCCACAAATCAACAGTTCAAATTTGCATCACTTCCTCCATGAAGTTGTCATTAATTAATGGTATAAATTCGTATCATCTTTGGCTCAAAGGTACTACCACACCTATTACAAATGTAAAACTATGAACTGAGAAATAGCCAATATCATGCAAAATGAAAAAAATTACCACTGATGTCAGTGACACCAAAGTTCTGTCTTCTTCTACCCCAATAACATTTCAGCACCTGTGTGTATATCAATTGGGAGTAAATGTGCATGTCTGACCACAACTATCGTTCAATTGTTATATAATAAAACTTGTAGGAATATAGGCTTAAGAATATATGCTTATGTCCCCTTCAATAAAATGCCCCATTTGAAGACAAAACTCTGCAAACTTTGAGTAAGAATTTATCTCCTTAACCATGATAACTTTGATTCAATTGGTGAAACTTGAGCAATCTGTTTAGCTTTTGTGAATGTCAACACATCATCAGTCTTCAGCTTGTAACTGAAAGTCAGCAGAGCGCATAGTTTTGAGAGTTATTGCCTTCTGCTTGGCTTTTGATGAAAAAGAATATCTGCATGAATGAATTTATCCTCTAGTTGTTGATTTTACTATATTAGAGCAGAAGATGGCTGATATGTGTCCAAATGTAAATTAGCCATCATTTAGACATACCCTCTGGCACACACTTTTGTAAATGCTGCAGTCTCATACAGTAGCAGTGAGGTTGTGAGGGCAAATAATAGACGATAGATCTGAGCAAATTTCGACAGAGCCATGTGTGACAAGTTCAGGTCGACATGACCTCTCTGGCTGTATTCTGCATCCTGTTTTGCAACAAGTTTGCTCAAATCTATTGTCTATTATTTGCCCCCACATGGTCAATACTTCTTAAAAGTAAATAGGTCCATCATTAAGGTTGATAAGCTACATAAGTGTTTTGTTTGAAATTTTGTGATAAAAAAAAACACAGTACCACATGCATAATGGGAAGGCTTATGCTGCGTTTTACAGCATTAAGTCAAAATCAACAGCATGGGCCTCTTTTTCAGTGATGTGCATACTTTTTCTCACGGGACTAAAAGCTAAAGAGCTTGTAGATTCAACAGACAACATTATGAAAAGTCATAACACTGAAGCTGTGATTACTTTTTTTTCTGTGTTCAAATGAGTGTGACAAGCAAAAGGAAAAATGTGTGGGTTCAATTTGACACCAAACTGCCATAATCCAGGTGTGTCTGAGCAGTCACAATGATCAGTCACACCTGGATTAATCGGTTTGTCCAATAATGTAAGAGAGGAAATAAAGAAGCTGACTTAAGTTCAGGCAGTAGTGTAGCTGTGCATAGAGCCCATTGCTCACCTCTCCTGTCAGCTTTTAACACAAAGCACTTCTTTAAAAGATGAACTGAACAACACTGAAAAGAAATTTCACATGTAAACGATTGCGCACACCCGTTTCTGGATTCAAAGGTCACTCATGTTTGTCGCATCATTGACAAACTTAACTGAAACTTTTTCAAAGTTGGAGCCTCCTACCTTGCTCGCAGCTCTTCGGGTCCAGACGGTGGCAGAGTTGAGGTAGTAGTGGGAATGCTGCCGTAGCGCGGACAGCAAGTTGCGCCCTTCGGACTGGGTCGGAGGTACAGCGTCCTCTTGGTGCCGCACAGTCTCCCGGGTTTGACTCATCTGACCACGGTAGCGCGCAGCGGGGCTACTTGGGTGGGCGGTGAATGAAAAACCGCATTTCATCGGTATTGAGCGTCATGTGTAGGTCTACCCACGCAACTTCTCATGTTGAGACGCCTGTATAAGTGAGTTTGCAGTTCAGTGGAATTTTGAGTCGGATCTTAAATACAGTTAAGTTCCTGTTTTAACCACCGTATCTGAATGGCACCACAAGACGCCTTTTCCTTTTTTGTTCTGCGTTTATTCCTCAGGGGAGATAGGGTACGGTTGTAACATGAAGATAATTGTAACAGAGTCTGTTTCCACCAACCAGGGATAACATTCAAGTTACACCATTAAATGTCAACCGCTTACCTCTGATCTCACATGAGAGTTAAACGCTTTTAGCCAAATAAATGCATGTAGTTTCTCCGGAGGGGAAAAGCCAGGTAAAATCAAGATTAAAAAGTTATTTATTTATTTATTCATTTTTATCAAGACTACATTCCATTAAGGACTTAGATATGTGCATATTAATTTATATGACTGACCTAAAACTACCGCCTGACAAGGTGGAGTTGGTTGTATCATATTTTTATAGTGTTACAAACATTCCTACCGCCTGACAAGGTGGAGTTGGTTGTATCATATTTTTATAGTGTTACAAACATTCCTTTACTTTCCATTAACATTTTATGTTTGTGAATTTTTTTCTGAAATACTTTTACTTAGATTTGAGGATTTGAGAATGAATGAATGAAACAAGAAGAACTGCTTTTCCCAGTCCCCCCCCCACCATTATTAAAAACAAAAAACAAGAAGAAAAGTCAAAAGCAAGTACACAAAAAGAGAGGATATTTCAAATATTAAAATTCTGTCAAAATAGTGTGGGCCACAGAAATGCTGAATGCTGTTTTAATTCTTCATGTTTAACTTATTACATGAGGTTGTGAGTGACTGGACAGCGTAACCAACACACTAAAACAAACATATCATATAAAGATGATTCACATCCTTCTTCTGTTTACATCGCAGCTTCCTTTTTTGTGGGAACCATGGAGAGGAGCATATAATGTCAGGAGGCACAGAGGAAGTCTTGTTGGTAAATGGTTCTTAACCCTTTCAGTTGAATTTGGAAAATACAATAAATAATGTTAATGGGAAATGAGTTATCATTAAAGATAGAAAACAAACTGTTCAATTACTGAGTATAATACAATGGCAGTCATAGAAAAAAAGAATCAGTCTCCATATTGTTACCATACAGTTACCATACAGTTGTTTCTTTTCAACCTTTGTTGGACAGAGAGTTGACATTTCCCTTCAACCTTGCCTGCACCTTAGTACCAGCATGAAAACACCAAAAACCACCTCTCTGTAACAGCATTCTTTTAATGTCCTATTTTTTGGCAAATGTTCTTTTCTTACATACTTTGAAGATTTATTTCCTGTTTGGGTCAGTACACAGTGGGTGATCTCTGTCAAAGTAACAGTAAAGAGTGCCTACAACACATGCAGCTCACCATTTGTGACAGGGGGAAACCTGGTCAGAATTTTTTTGAGGACTGGGCAGTTAAATTGACAAACACAAACTGATTGAGTATTCCGTAAAATAGATCTCTATGTAAAGCCAACCCTTAACTTTTAAATTGTCATTTTAGCAGAAAGACAGCATGGGAAAGAACTACGGAACATTTCTCTCACCATACTTTTATTTTATTAGTAGGTTGACTTGACGTACTGAAAAAGGAAAATAAGGAAAACCAATAAAATGAATCTGTCAAATATGTCTTTACATATACTTTCCTTTTTATTAACTAGATGACGTCATCTTCACCTTCTACCTTGACTTCCAAACTTTTATCTTTTTCCTTATAGCATTTACAGATAGTGATAATACAATTATTGAAACAAAAATGATTCCCCTCTACAAAATCCTTTCTTCAAGTTTATTGAACTGTTCACTACAACACAATGGTACACATACAATACAGCATATTGATGAGTCTATATATACAGAACGTTTTCACGGTGAGTCTTCACATAATCAGGTTGACGCAACAGTATAGGCATACAGAAATAAATAAAACAAACATTTTTCTAAACAAAGTTAGCATGTGCCTATCTTCATTTTACTATGCCACCATTTTACTTACAAGATTAACAATATATAGCACATGTATTTAGATATGTTAAAATCAGAGAGTGAAACAACAGGTGACAATATAGTACACTTTCCCCTTGTTTTGCAGTTTGGTTGTACTAAATACAAGGTGTCAGTTTGAAGGTTTGCTTGGACACATAAAGTAGGGTTTGACCAGGTGCAGCTGAGGGTTGCTTTGTTTTAATGCCATGTTATGTATAAAAGTATGTTATTTCTGCATAATGGGATTTATCATACAGTTCTTCTGCTAAGCCTCAAAACACACATTGACATTATTGTTCATCACCCTTTACATGGTTTTCAGTCCCCAAGAAAGACTGGGGTGGTGGCCCATGGTTGCTGTGATTGTGATTGTGAATGTGAAGCCCTGAGCTGTTGTTTATGCCAGTAAGAGCAGGAGCTAGAGTAGTGCTATCACAAAGAAGCTGGCAAACAAACACATAAAAGTCCAGCCATGTGATGAAATGCACTGAAGAGAGGAAATTTAATTGAGTGTAAAATAAAATTGTTACAATGGTTAGAATTTCATTTGGTAGATGCTTTTGCCCAAAGCATCAGAGAGTAAGTAGACGTCAAGCAAAGATTTGGCCAGAAGGTTTAAATGATGAACTATGAAAATAATCAGCATAATATTAATTAAACCTTTGACGGCCCACTCGCTTAGTGATAAAACATATCTAAAAAAACTGTTGACTTACAGCAGACATCAGCTGCCTCCCCTTAGTTAAAACACAACCGTTTCTTCATTATTCATGTCAGGCATGCTGTATTCTTCATCCCTGACTGACTGATCAGGATTTCTGATAAAAGAACAACAACATGACCTGACACGCGTTCAATAACAAGCTGCTGACAAACAGTGCGTCCATACCAGACTGGTGGCTGCTCAGCTGGGGACTTGTTTGCAGACACTTCATCTCCACTGAATTTTAATGGCTCTGTTAAAAAGCACTGAACTCTCTTCAGCCATTCAAAGGGTTCAAGTTGTTGTTTCTATCTGTATGAAAAACAAATTATTAATCTAAAATAAAACAATAACTTCCACACAAGGAGAAAAGGGATGCTGTTATCATTACTTCACCATTTAGGTGACAAATGAAAATCTACCAAACACCAAAAGATTAGAAAAACTTAATGCAAAGTAATTATTTTTGACAATGAACCTTACATGCCTGCTCTGCCTGTTATAAAAGGAAACACCCACAGGCATGTATTTTAAGGGAGCATAAATACTGCTCTGATAGGAGCATTGGAAACTACCTACAGCTATAAGGTTGAGACTATCTCAGGAAACTCTACATTTAGCTCTCTAATACTGTTTAAATGGATATTTTGATATACTGTAATAGATGTGTTAAGAGCAGCTCTAGAGAGGTAGTAAATACAATTACATGGACAAGACAGTGTTTGAATTATATTAGGAGAAAATAACTGTTGTAAAAGCTTATTATAAAGACACACAGTGTAGGTGTAATGTGGGAAGGAAGCCACATCAAATAGATGTGGGCATTATTATCTGAGCGATGTATACAGCTTTAACATTACAGTATCAAAGCTATTACAAAAGGTTTCCTCTATACACATTGCAAGTCTAGGCTGGATTACCCTCAAGTGTGTTATATCTAGTTTGTTCTTATATTAGATTAAAGTTAGATAATGTGTTAGGATTGTTGAAACCATGTTTACATATCAGCTCAGTTTTGATTTGAATATGAGTCATAAAGTAAGGGACCAGGATCTGGACTGATGGGAAATCAGCTTTATCTTTCTCTCTCTCTGTCTCTCTCTCTCTCTCTCTCTGTGACATCTGTCAAAGTCGATCAAACTGTTCACTCGCAGCATACCAGCTCCTGACTGGAATCAGGACACATGCAAGGATTTGAAAGCTAACCCACTAAGCGACATGCATACAGAGTGAGGGTCTTCTGTTACAAGCTGGCGTTACACACTACACTCTTATTTACGACAGAGAAAAAGGTCATATCTGCCAACAGTGTGTCATCCATATGATGCTTCATGTGTGCAGGAGATGGAGGAGGCTGTGCATTCACACAAACAGTTGATGGTCAATAACCTCTACTGGAGAATACAGCAATAATACTATTTACAACATGTGTGCACTACGTTATCAGGAATGAAGTCAGCCCCATTTCAGCTCAACCACTTTAGGAAGTAATTCAGATCAGTGGCATCTTGGGTGGCTGAGCAACCACTGAGTAAATTCAGGGTTCTGTATTCAGAGGAAAAAACAACAAACAACAAAAACAGTAACTTTTATTCAAATGTACTTCCTGTGCTGACTGATCTGAAAGACACTGTACCTCAAACCTGAGGGTGATAGCAGTCAACATGGGGGCAGAAAGGGGCTCCTCTAGTTAGCAGACTATAGGGGCTACAGATGTTCATCATCATCTTCATCAGTGATGCAGTGTGGAGACAGAAGGGTCGGTAGCATGCAGATGAGAGGGAAGGGTCCTTGGGTGGTACAGTGTTTGGTCGTCTCCTGGAAAGAGAAGATAAAAGAAAGCCATTATATGGAGAAATACAGATATCTACTGAAGGGTCTACTTCATAACTCCTTTCATAAAAACGATTGTACCAGAGACACCTTCACTCTCAGTAGGCCGAATATCAAACAATTCTCTTGATGCCACTCATTTTTCAAAACCATATTTTAAGACTTTCTGTCTGTCTAGGCAGCAACTAGTTTTAAGTCCTTAGCTGTGTGTCAGGAAAATACATTTGCAGGGGCTTCTCATTGTCTGCTCCACAGAAGCACAATCCATCTCACTGTGGAGAACAATTTTTCTAATAACTTTACTTAACAGAGTTCAAGATGACCACTACACATGCAATAAACATTTTACACTTTGATTTTTATTGTCTGCAAAAACATGTAAACTTTTTGTCTCTGTCTTCTATAAGTCTTACTAAGGCTTAAAAGACGTTGAAATTTACCAACTGAAAAAGAAAATTCAGGAGATTAACTGTTGCTAAGGGGCAAATCCATTTGTGGGGTAGACATAAAAACTGAAAGTCTGTGCATCTGTGTAGTGTGTGTGTGTGTGTGTGTGTGTGTGTGCTCTGCAATTTACCAAGGTATTAACTTGCAGCAGTCTCCTGCTGAAGGATGTAGTGCCTGTTGGAATCATCCACCTCACTACCACAGTGAACATCACTTCTAGAAATTCAGATAAACAAACACAACAATCAGTACACAATCCAGAGCATATTTCTTTAATTCACTAGACACTGATTTCTGTTTTATTAAATGTGAGAGCGACACTAATAAGAAAGTTAAAAAAGTGTCAAACATTTTGAATTTCATTTAATTAAAAGACTGCAACACAGATTAATTACCTTTTTTTCATATCAGTACATAAACAGTTTGATGATGCAGATGTATTCTGGTCTTACTTAAAGTTGGTTAGAAAGTGAAAAAAAAAAAAGAAACAGCTTAGGTTTTCTTTTTCCTCTGTCTCTCTGTGACTGACATCCTCACCTGTTGTCATTGATGTCTCTTGTTTCACTGATACTGTTACCTGTTAAGAAAAAACAAGTGTTTCATGATATTCTAATTAATTAGCACAATCAGAACTACATGTATTACTGTTCTCATGACTTAGGGCTCTATTTTCGTGCGCGCCGGTGAGGCGGCGGAGGGCGGCGAGCCCCGCGCAGTTGTATTTTCGTCTGGCGGAGCCCAGCGTAAGGCCAATTTGGTATTTTCGTGGCATGAGCCGCACGGAGGCGAGCCGAGATCCGCCAAGCTGGGCGTGGTGGCGTGGCAGGGGGAGGTGTCGACAGAATCAGCTGGCGCAGTGACATTTTCGTGCTCGCCAACGGCGTGTAAAGTGCGCTGAAAGCTCGCCGATTCAAACCTGGTCAGCTTTCAGCGCAAGGCGGAACGCAGCTGGTCTAGTGGTATTTTGGTAGACCGGCTGCGTATCGACATACGTCACTGATGCCTCACCGGCAGGTTTCCACAGTGTCAGGCACATTTCAGTGCAATAAATAATCATCATCAACTATTAATCTGTCTTTATTTGTGGAAACGGGTGTTTGTCTCACCAGTGGGTCCAACATTAAACACACCAAATCCATCTGTGCTCATATGAGAGAGTGTGGAGGACACTTGTTGAGGAGCTGCCCTCTGTCGCCATCTTGTGGCATTACTGTCTTAAGACATCTCTTGATCTCTTTGACTACTTCATGAAAATAGTAATACGCCTCGCCTGTGGCGGATTTAAAGGCAAGGAGAGGAGCTTATGTGATTGGTGAAAACAGGTCTCGGCTGTGTTAAACCAACTACACGCCCTTTCTCCTCCCCGTCTACGACTTATGGTGCTGGGAGGAGCTGAGTTAGGGAGGGGGGATACTTACGCCGGGCTGCGTGGCTCACCAAAATACCAAAATGTGCTTGGGAACGCCTTGTCAGCGCGGCGGATCTGACTGACGCTGCGCTTGCGGCACGTCTCCGGCGAGGCACCAAAATAGAGCCCTTAGTGTTCACATTAATTTGGACACAGGCGCATTCGGGCGCTCTTGCACTTGCCATTGTCAATGTTGAGTGGATAGGACTCCAGAATGTCTCCATTATATCTGCCCGCTCTGTAACCCAAAGCCGTGGAAACTCTGTTAAAAAATTATCACACATACACATGGAGGAAACAAGCATAATAAGAGCAAGCAAAGAGAACCCATAAAAGAACACATAATATTTAAGGGAGAAGCCTGACTGCCTGAGGTTAGTCGCTCAGATGAAGGACCGGCCATTATCAGAGCTTCAGCTATCAGTTTAAGACCAGTTTAATCCTTTTCTGACCATCGACATTTGAGGTCAGAAATACTTAAATGGAAGGACCTGACTTTGAAGCATGCATTGTTGCAAAGATGAAAGGATTAAAACTCACGTATTGCTCTGGATAGAGTTGGGGTTGCAGTTGACACTCGCCGAGTTGGGCTGTGTCACAGTGCTCTGGAAAAGGGCATTGCTGTAGGTGTTGGAGAGTTCAGTGGCACGGATGTAAGTGTAGAACGGGTTTGTGGGAGAGCAGACAGGCAGCTGCTTTGGCCTTACAGGCTTGGCTGTTGAGATAATAAATTTAGGAGGTAGAGTACAAAAAACAAAATGAATCCCCTAATGCTGCAGACAGAAAACAAAAATAAGTGATTGAAAGTTGATTGGCCTTTTATACAATTTCTAATACAAAAAAGCTTAGATAATACTGTGTTCTTAGCTCATACAATCACCTTTGAAATAGAAAGGAAAAAATTAAAGCAGGAAGAGGAAACAAGGACATATAAGAAAAACAGGAGGATCCATACAGGTCTGAGCAAAAAAACAATTCAGTCAAACCTAAGAGTCGCGTGTCCTTAATTTTACACATCTACATCAAACAACTTATACCAACAAGCTTCATTTTTGGTACCAATCTGTGCTGCATGGGGGCGCCTCATGGCATTCTTTGCCCTCATGGCATCTTTGATGCGGTCAACCTCTTGCTGGTAGCGCCTACGGTCCATCATGGCGCCCTCCTTTGCATCTCTCAGTGCAGTCTCCAGGGCCTTAACTCTCTCAGCAGTAGACCGAAGACGTTTCTCCAACTTTGGAAGCTCACAGCGCAGATCTGCATTGTCACGAACCAGCTGAAAGTAGAAGGAGAGCAAGGGAGAGACGACAGGTGACACAGAGGTTTTGAAATATTCAGAGTCAAGTAGGACAAAGCAACACACCCCAAGTACAACACTTACTACTTATTCCATATGTCATTTTTACCAGTAGTTTTCTGATGTCAGGCTCTGTACATGCAGTTTACTGTTTTTGAGTAGAAGGCAAATTATCTTTCAAAAGAGAAGCATCTTCAGATAAAGGTATCAAAATATCATTATCTGCTAGTTCAAAATGGTTGAAATCAAAGATTTTGGTGACATCATTAAATCATCTATCATCATTATATATCATTTGTCCTCTTATTGTTTACAAAATGTCTTGCCTGTTTGTGAACCTTTGTAAGTTGGTCCAGGTTATTCTCAAGAAAGGAAATCTTCTGCTTCTGGGTGCAAGACCCCCCGCTATCATCAGGTTCCATTTCGGAACTCTTCAAAGAAGATTAAAAATAAAATCAAAAGACAGCTAAAAGAAAAATCTGTAAGTTTCATCATACAGTATGCATGTAGCAGATTCCTTAATACTCACTAAGCACGATCAGAAAATGCTGCGTTATTCTGTGTTATCATCTAGGAACTGCTTACTTTTTTAACCCGCGACGTGAGGTCTTGAACGAACAGCTTGCGCAGGTTGTGGAGGGTCTGGAGTTCGCGGGCCTAAAGGACAGGAGGTTAGGGAGAAAACAGCAGACACTGATGTATGGGAAGGGTTTTACCTTATGAGTATGAGGAGCCTCTAGTGGGTGGGGATAAGAGACAGAAGTAGAAGGAGAGATATATGTTTTTACTTACGACAGTCTCCTCCAGACCCTTTAAGTCCTGTTTGGTCTGCTCATGGCGCTCATGCAGGAATCTGTCATACATAATCAAAGTAACAGAGAGAATAGATCTGTGCACTTCAAGCCAGTTTTCAATATAATGTTTTGAGTGCCCTCTGCTGGAATATAGAAGAAGGGACATTTTATTTTCTATTTTACTAATACTGCATTTAATGGAAAAATCAAGAAAGTACCACAAAAAAAAGTTTTCTTATAATTTCTAACTGATGCGTTGAATAATGAATTGAAGGACCTTTGGTTTAACCACACTGAGAAGTCGAATATGAAAAACTGATCTGGCCAACACTTACGAGAGCTCTTCCAGGCGCTCGCTCTTGGTGCTGTCCTGACTCTTCAGTCGTTCAAAGTCAGCGCGGACTTGAGCCAGCTCCAGCTCTAGCTTGGAGTTGCGACTGAATATGTGAAAAAAAATGTGATCACTTGGTAAAAGGCAAATAGGTAGAAAGTGAGACTGAATTCATCTATACAAAACATTTTAAAAAAATATATATATTAGTCATCTTCTTTTGTTTATGCAGAATAAAAAGATTTATGCAATCTTGTCAAATAATTATATAATAATTGATAGTAAGTCATTATTACATCCATTATGTGACTAGCAAGCAATAATTAATAAGGTCACAGACTCAGTGAGCTCATCAATGATCCTCTGCTTCTCATTGATCTCATCCCGCAGGCGGGCCAGCTGCTTGTGATGGAGGCCACGATGAGACTCCCCCTCCTGACGGACACTTATCTGCATTGTGGAAGACGCAAACATGCACCGTTTGTTTTAAGATACTGGCCTTGGCTTTGAATACCTAAAATCAACATCTGATTGAGATTGTCATTGAAGTAAGAGAGTATGAGGAGTCAATTATTAATGGAGCACACTACATCATATCTTTCAAGTTCCCCTTTCTAGAATGACTGAGTCCTATCTGTCTGTAAATCAACATCTTCAAGTTTCAGGATAGGCAGTGAAAAATTATTGAGTTTTTTTACCTTCACTTTACCCTCCTCAGTCTCACCCTTTTCTCCTTCCTTCTCCTCCAGCTGAGAGTTATCTGGTTAAAGGAAACACAGATATGTTATCCCACAGAGCCGCAACCACATAAATTCCTTATGCTAAAAATGTGCAAGCTGTGATTTTTTTTTTTGTCTCCTAAAATGTCTTTCTTAAATCTGTCTTGTTCTCGTCATTTTCTTTCAGTCTGTATTTTAATTAATTCTTTAACTATGAAAGTACTTTGTGTGAATATAAATGTATGGTTTTTAAATTACCCTGGTCCTGCAGCCTGGCCAGCTCTTCGCTGAGGGAATCGTGGCTTTCCTCCAGCAGCCTCTTCTTCTGCTCCACACTCTGCATGTACTCCGTCAGAGAGCGAATCTTAGCCTCATGCTGTATAATTTTAAAAGAGAAAATGTGTAAAAAATGTCAATTAAAAGGAGCCTCAGCGCTGTACAATTAAAGGTGGGTTTATGTCTTTTTTTCAGACTCTATACTCCCTCTATGATTCCTCTTGAATAGCTTTACATTGTTTTCAGATCAATAAAGCCTCAAATTACTCACTCTGGTGTATTAAAATATTATCTCAGCCTCTGTCTGATATGCTTCATTTTAGTTGCTCTCTAAGGCCACGCCACACCCACCACCCAACAAGCCTTATTCTGATTGGCCATCTCTCTGGAGGCTTTCCAGAGGCATTGTGAAGGTAGAGCTGGATGTGTTTGGCCCCACCCCCTCTATTGTGGTCAATCAGTAGAGCAGCAGAGCAGCATTGAATCTATGTATCTATGTATCTATCTATCTATCTAGATACTATCTCATAAAAATCAGTACACTCCACTTTTCTGCAAATATTTAATTCTATATTTTCATCGGATAACACTAAAGAGATGACACTTTGACACAATGAACAGAAGTCAGTTTACAGCTTGTGTAACAGTGCAAATTAACTGTCCCCTCAAAATAACTCAACACACAGCCATTAATGTGAACACCCTTGACAACAAAAGTGACTACACCACTGAGTGAAAATGTCCAAATCGGGCCCAAAGTGTCAATATATTGTGTGTATTGTGTGTATAATGTGTATTGGCCTGGCCTGGATGGAGTCAAACTCCTGGCCTAAATTACGGTCCCAGTCCGCCCCTGCTCCCACCCCTTCAACCTCTGCAGCAATGCTGGCAGCACTCAAACGTCTGTTTTCAAAAGACAGCCTCTGGATATGATGCTGAGCACATGCACTCAACTTCTTTGGTTGACCATAGCCAGGCCTGTTCTAAGTGTAACCTGTCCTGTTTAACAGCTGTACAGCATGGTCTTAGCCACTGTGCTGCAGTTCAGTTTCAGGGTGTTGGCAATCTTCTTATAGCCTTGACCATCTTTATGAAGAGCCACAATTCTTTTTTGAGATTCTCAGAGAGTTCTTTGCCATGAGGTGCCATGTTCAACTTCCAGTGACTAGTATGAGAGGGTGTGGGACTATGAACACCAAATTTAACACAACTGCTCCCCATTCACACCTGAGACCTTGTAAGACTAAGGAGTGACATGACACTGGAGAGGGGAAATGGCTAATAGGCCCAATTTGGACATTTTCACTCAGTGGTGTAGTCACTTTTGTTGTCAGGGGTGTTCACATTAATGGCTGTGTGTTGAGTTATTTTGATGGGACAGTTAATTTACACTGTTACACAAGCTGTAAACTGACTACCATACATTGTTGTACTGTACATCATCTCTTAAGTGTTATCCCATGAAATGATATAATTAAATATTTGCAGAAAAGTGAGGGGTATACTCACTTTTGTGAGATACTATATCAACAGACAGATAGATTTACACATATATACAGTGCATCCGGAAAGTATTCATACCACTTCACTTTTTCCACATTTTGTTATGTTACAGCCTTATTCCAAAATTGATTAAATTCCTTTTTTCCCTCAAAAATTCTACACAAAATACCCCATAATGACAAATTGAAAAACTTTTTTTTTAGAACATTTTGCAAAAATAAGACACTCAAATGTTGTATATACATAAGTATTCACACCGTTTGCTATAAAACTCAAAATTGAGCTCAGGTGCATCCTGTTTCCACTGATCAGCCTTGAAATGTTCCTCCAACTTGATTACAGTCCACCTGTGGCAAATTCAGCTGATTGGACATGATTTGGAAAGCCACTCCCGTCTATATAAGATCCCACAGCTGACAGAGCACGTCAGAGCACAAACCAAGCCATGAAGTTGAAAGAATTGTCTGTAGACCTACGAAACAGGGTTGAATCGGCGCACAGATCTGGGGAGGGTTACACAAAAATATCTGCTGCATTGAAGATCCTAAAAAGCACAGTGGTCTCCATCATTAAGAAATGGAAGACGTTTGGAACCACCAAGATTCTTCCTAGAGCAAAATGAGCAAGCGGGGGAGAAGGGCCTTGGTCAGGGAGGTGACCAAGAACCCGATGGTCACTCTGACAGAGCTCCAGCGTTCCTCTGAGGAGATGGGAGAAACCTACAGAAGGACCACCATCTCTGCAGCACTCCACCAGTCAGGCATTTATGGTAGAGTGGCTGGACAGAAGCCACTCCTCAGTAAAATGCACATGACAGCCCGCTTGGACTTTGCTAGAAGGCACCTGAAGGACTCACAGACCAGGAGAAACAAAATTCTCTGGTCTGATGAAACGAAGATCAAACTCTTTGGCCTGAATGCCAAGCGTCATGTCTGGAGGAAACCAGGCACCGCTCACCACCTCGCCAATACCATCCCTACAGTGAAGCATGGTGGTGACAGCATCATGCTGTGGGGATGTTTTCAGCGGCAGGAACTGGGAGACTTGTCAGGATCGAGGGAAAAATGAATGCAACTAAGTACATCGAAATCCCTGATAAAAACCTGCTCCAGAGCGCTTCACTGGGGCGACGCTTCATCTTCCAGCATGACAATGACTCTAAGCACACGGCCAAGAAGACAAAGGAGTGGCTTCAGGACAAGTCTCTGAATGTCCTTGAGTGGCCAAGCCAGATCCCAGACTTGAACCTGATTGAACATCTTTGGAAAGACCTGAAAGTAGCTTCGCACTGACGCTGCCCATCCAACCTCACTGAGCTTGAGAGGATGTGCAAGGAAGAATGGGAAAAACTCCCCAAATCCAGGTGTGCCAAGCTTGTTGCATCATACACAAGAAGACTGGAGGCTGTAATCACTGCCAAAGGTGCTTCGACCAAGTATTGAGTAAAGGGTGTGGATACTTCTGTATATGCAACATTTGAGTGTTCTTATTTTTAGTCGCTTTGTCATTATGGGGTATTTTGAGTAGAATTTTTGAGGGAAAAAGGGAATTTAGTCCATTTTGGAATAAGGCTGTAACATAAAATGTGGAAAAATTGAAGTGGTATGAATACTTTCTGGATGCACTGCACATTATATATGTATAAGCACAGATAAACCAGTAAGGAGAGTCTATAATTCTTACATCCGAATTCAGTAAATCTCACACATAAACTATGATCTTGCATTTTCGCGTGTTTGTCCGAGATTTAAGCAGTTTACATCTACTTTATGACAAAATGATTATGACAAAATATATTTACCTTATAGTGATTTGAAACTTAGCATGCATGTAGTATGGACACCAAACTTTGTAACTTTGCAGTTTTTGTTGTAAAAGTGGAGAGGATGATACCCCTCCTTGATTTGGTCAACTCTTCATCAATTTCTATCTCCTGTCTTCTATCTCACCTGAGAAATGAGGAGCTGGCAGGAGGAAAGCTCCCTCCCAGTCTCCTCCATCTTGCGGTGGCACTCAAGCTGCATGTTTTCTAGCTGGCGGCAGCGCTTCACCATGCTCTTCACCTCTGACTTGATCTTGCTGATGTAGAGGCGAGCAACAGTGAACTCCTCCTCAATTGCACCGCTAATCTCCACTGGCTGCAGATTGGAAGGAGAATTAGGATGAGTTTCACCTCTTAGTCAATCACCACAGAACAAGACATTCAGTAATGAAGTATCTTGTACATGCTGTTCTATCACTCACAAAAATTCATTTTTGAATCCGATGTTACTCACCAGCTTGATCTCCCCATTGCCTACAATGTTGCTAAACTCGCTGAGGTCCCTCATCAAACCATTCAGTACATCGGCAATGCGTTTCCTCTGCTGACCACTCACTTCCTGCATACGAGACAGCTCTGCCTCTAGCTCCATTAAACTGGCCTGTCACAAATAAAAGACAGAAGGACAGAGTCAAATTAGGAAAGAACCCCACCGAGCGAAAAGCGAAGACCAGCTGAGACCTCCACAAGAAAATGTCAAACATTTTTAATTCAAACCTTTATGTACCTCAAAAAATATCCTCCGGTTTAAACCAGTTAGCTAGGATTAATGTAAGAAGATGTAAACACCTTTGTTCAGTACTTATCAATTTTGTTATATCAATGGCACTTTCTATTTATAGATCATGCAACACTGCAGCATGTGCTTGTATCTAGTCCAGCAAAGATGTGTGTCTGTCTGTGCCCCCATCTGTCTTTCATACTAGTTCTTCTTCTATCAACTTCATATTTCCCGCAGACCTTCAAACACACCATTTTCTGGGAGAGCTGGTCAGCCAGCAGCTGGTTCTGCAGGCCTTTCTCCTCCACCTCTTGGCTCTTCTGGTCATAGTTGATGGCCAGCTCCTCCAGAGCCTGCAGCACCTCCTTCACCTCAGCCTTGGCACAGTCGCTTTCCACCTGCAGCCTGCTGAGTTCAGCCTGGACCTTGTCCCCATCTCCCTTCGATGAGGCTAAGAGCTGGTTGGGGAAGGGAGATGGCAGACAGAAGGAGAGAGAGAGAGAGAGCAAACAAGAGAAAGAAAATGAGGACCACAGCAAAAGGCAGTTTTTGAGAAGTAAAATAAAATAAAATAATATTTTTCCTCATTTTTGAAAGAGTTGCTTTTCTTAATCTTTACATGCTAACACTGTACAACTGTTTGTGTGAGGCCTGACCTCATCCTGGTCCAGCATCTGCTGCTTTAATTTCTCCACCAGCTGGCACTGAAGGTTGATCTCATCATCCTGCAAAATCAATTTTTTTGAGATATCAGTTTTAATCTTCTTTCTTTATGATATTTTTAACTTATCAGTATTTCAATGATTACAATTAAAAAATAAAATAAAATTATTGCAATAGATGTCTGCTTAAAAAATTAAATCTGCATTTACAACATCAGTAAAAGCAAACTTAAGTAAACTGTCTATTGACATTCGGATGTCTGTGTCTGTATTTTGGACCTTGTCATCCAGCTGCTTGTACAGTTTGCGAATCTCCTCCTCATACTTCTGTCGTTCCTCCTCAGAGATGCGAACCACAATGGAGGAAGTGTCATTGTCCAGGATGAGGCGCTCATCGATGGACTCAAAACGGTTCACCACATCTGGAGCGGTGCGCTCTGTCTCGGGTACATCTTCTCCTGTTGAGAGGGATGGAAGCACATTAAAACACTTTAAATGAATAAAGAAAATGGTGCTTGTTGTTTTGTTGGGTGATTTGTTTCTTGTTGTGATGGTTTGTCAGGTTGTTGGATGGTATTGTTTAGTCTGTTTGTTCGTTTGGGTTTGAAATAAATAACTAAATAACTGAAAAAAAATACTGAAATCACAGCTATAAAAAGTAATCAATGTGCTTGTTAATAACGTCCAACTCAACATAGCTCTCAGTGAGGAGGTACTCAATTTGTCTCACCATTTCTCCAGCGGTTAAGCTCAGTCTCCAACTTCTGGATGGTGTCCTTCAATGTCTTGTTCTTCTCCTTCTCCTTCTCATACTTCCTCTTCCACTGCTCTGCTGTCAGCTCCAGGTTGATGGAGGCAGTGTTCTTAATGGTCTTGGCACTGTGACAATGACAAAACGGTACAGGTTTAAATACAGCTTTATTTTAGTGATCAAACGAGTGATTTATTTAAAAATGTGAACAAAACGATAAAAGACTTTCATTTAAAATAATCTGTTTATCTAATGTCCACGTCCTTAAATTCTTAAGGACGCCACCATCTGGCGTTGCTGTCCTCAGGCACATTTAAAGGTGAGAAGAGGAACTGATGTGATTGGTGAAAGTTGGACATGGCTATGTTTAACCCACTACACCCCTTCTCCCCTCCCTCTTTCCTACTTATGCCACTGGGAAGAGCTGAGATAGGGTGGAGATATACTTGCAACGGGCTGCGCAGCTCAGCAAATAACCAAAGTGTGCTTACACATGCCCCATCAGTGCGCCGCCCGGCACAAAAATATAGCCCTCAGAATTTTAAGTGGCTAAGGGGATGATTGATGAAGTTTAAACAGCTCCATGCGATAATTTACTCAAGATGCCATTGCGTTGCTAACTATGGCATAAAAAATTGATAAACTGAGTACAGTTCTCACTAATATACTGAGAACTAATATTTCTTTCTCGAGATATCTTGATGGTGTCCACGGGTATAACTACCGTTGGCCAAACATTAGAGTTGACTTGGTTTCGGCGTCGTTGTAGCTGGAGGGAGAGCAGCAGATGAACATTGTAGTGCGACAGTTTCCACCAAGTGAGTCCTGCAGAATGCGGGTCATTTTGCTGTCTCGGTATGGAACGTGAGTTTTCTGCAGAAGGGAGATTAAAAGAGAGAGAATGGGAGAGAAAAAGATGAGGCAAAACAACCAGAATATAAAGCCAAAGTTGGAGGAATAAAAAAGAAATGAGAAATGTGATAAGAACAAAAGAGAAAAAATCAAGATCATATGACAGTGAAGAAAGAAAGCTCACGATAGAGAGCTCATTTAATTTTGAGCTGAATAAATTGTGTGAACAAGGTGCAAAGACAGACTCAAATTAAGAGATCAGGGTTAGGAAATGAGAGAGGAAAGCTATAGCTAGTATACAAATGAAAATACATGGAAGAAAGTATGAGGGACTCACTGTGCCCTCAGCCAAGGCAGAGATAACATTTCCAAGAGCAGAGAGTGACTTGTTGATGTTTTTGGCCTCATCCAGAACAGCTCCTGCAGCCCCAGTCTTACTGACCTGGAATAGAGGAGTGACAAGGTGAGTCAAGGCAAATAGTCTTTAAATAATTGTTTATTTGAAGTGGCTGATTAAAATGTTGGCACTTCGCTGGATAATGCACAACCTCTCTCTAACCTTCTCACTGCCAGCCAGATCCACCAAGTACAGTTTTCCACACAGTTTCTGCTCAGTCTCCACATGCTCCTGCTTGATGTTGATCAGGAAGATGCTGTGACTACGAGAGCTGTGCTCATTCATGTCTACATGAAGACAGAAACAACACAAAATAGAGTGGAGGAAAGACAAAGAGATTTTTGGCAGTAACTTTGGAAACTGTTGTTTATCACATTTCCATTTTATATGGTTAAAATAAAATGAAATAAATTAAATCAAATTAAAATTTCAATGAACAAGGCATGAATGAAAAATGTTGGTCATTTCCTTTCTTGTAACCTTTTTTTTCTTCGTTTTAATTATCTACCATACAGACAGGCTGAAGAATGGAGGGTTTTAGAGACCAAGTAAATAGCATCAAGACAACTCTGTGTGTAAAATTCACACATTCCTCACAGGAAAAGGTTCCTTATCTGGTCCCAGGACACAGGATCATATAAATCTTTCCAGACTTGTTTGGACTCATGGGTTACACTACTGACCCAACCGGGGGTTGAACCAAACCTGTGGCCCTTCTCAATTGGTCAATTCAAAGAACAGAGACAGAGTTATTACCTTTCAAACTGACTCCATCATGGGGCTACTGCTGGTGTGTGCACATTATGATGAGGTTTTTGGGAGATTTCAAATAATTAATACTAGTAGCAAGTGGTGTAATAATATAAATTTGCACACAATAGAGAAAAGTAACAGCTGGCCAATCCCGCTCAAATTAGTCCTACAACTCTTCAATCTGTAGGACTAGTAGCAAATCAGAATTTGTCCGGAAGAGGAATAAGAAAAAATCCACCGTACCCGTGGCCTTAATGAATAACATCTAAAGTTCTCTTTTTCAAAGGAGAAAAAAAGAATAAGAAGAACTTTAAGAAGGCATCAAGGCATCAACTACAACATCACACATTCACCAAATTCCTTACTAATACACAAAATCTACAACATAAAAGCCACATAATTGTTTATAATAGCTACACATGGCATTATTATCCCAATACAATGACATGAATACTGAATTTCCCTGAGGTCAATAAAGTTGGTCTTCTTCTTTTTATGGCATTAACTAAATACTTGTCAGTTCATAAATCTAACTTGTCCAAAAAGAACAGTAGTGGAGTTTAATTATTGTTAATCGTTGTAAAAAAAGAAGAAGCTCTATTTTAGTTTACCCCTTTAAAGTATTACACAATCTGATAATTAGATCACATTATTTTAACTGTCTTTTATTACACAGTAGTAAAGTGTACAATAAAGTTAAAACACCACAATGACATGCAAACTGACAGCAGTATTTGTGGGCCTCAACAAGGTGCAGTCAGCTGTCAAATAGCTTTTAACTTCTCTTTTTTTTAAGGTTTTGTTAAGAATTACAGCTGGGAGCTCCCTCTGACAGTTTCTTATTTCTTTCTATGAAAATGAATGATGTTGGAAATTGTAGTGGGCTATAACAGGAATATTACATAACCTAACACAATATCAGCCAATTAGCTGTCACTTTGCCTGACACTAACGAGTTAGTTTAGCCGCTTCTGCTGCCTTTAAAGGGAAAAGAGAACTTGTGTTCTGAAATGCGAGGAGGAGATGATAATTTACTCTTTCCTCAGGATGGATGACGTTTTACTGAAGACTTGGTCTTTGGACTGGTTCTTACTGTTTCAAAGAAACTGTAATATTTGTATGTTTCATATATTGCCTTTGTAATCTCAAAAAGTTTGAAATAAGGGGACTTCCAGTCCGACTTCAGCAATAAAAGTAAAAAGGCCTTATAAACTTATCAGTCTTTGAAAGTGAAGATAAACGAGAGAGTGTGGTAGTTAGGGTGATAAGTAGGACCAGGGGAAATAATTGAAAGTCACATAAAAACGCAAGTTTGAACCTCAAGCTAGAAAACGAGCCAGTTAAGCTAAAAGGCAAATCAGCTGGACTAGGGAGGGAGAAGAAAACACAACGAACTGCTAAAAGTAAAGCAGCCATTATGTCTGTAATTCCCCAGGAGGGTAAGGATGAGCAGGAATGCTCCAGCATAGACTCATCAGTGTCCTTAATCAAGATTACAGATTGTTTACAGCTATTTTAGAAGACGTCTAGAAATAATTTTGCCAGAAAAAATCCATTTAAACCAATTGGGACTTCCAAAACCATAGACTGTATATATATGGACAACCTGGTTCCGCCTACCGCCTGTATACGGATTTGAAGCCAAAAAGCTCTCGGTATTTCCGGGATTTTTCTTCATTTCCTGAAACCAGCGCTGCGCAGTAGCGTTGTGCGCATTCGGCCGCGCAGTCGCAGAGAGTCACTGTGATGACGCTCGGCTCAAACAGCGTATCCCCCCGGGAGAGCTACTTAATTCCTGAACGCCAATAGGCTGTATCAGGTGTCAATCATAGAAAACATGAACCCCCTAATAACTTTTAAAAACGGAGCTTCACAGAAAAAAGAGGACTTGAGCACAAACCAGTCTGACAGTAACTACATGTCAACATCACAAGCAGGGGGGAGAAAAAATGTATGTTCTGTGTAATAAATTTCTAAAGTTTGTCCACAGCCCCATAAGCTTTGCTGGCGGAGGTGGGATTTATGACCTGTACTACAGCCCACCATCAGAGGGTGCTGTTCTCGGAATGGTTTCACCCAGCGAGGAGGCAGACGGTGTCCATTCTATATACAGTCTATATCTAAAACAAAGGGAAATGCAGGACAATATCAGGCACACCCTATATGTAATGCAACATGTAATCAAAATCAGATAGAGACGGTAGTAGAGGAATTAGATGTCGAAAAGGCATTTGACACCGTATGGTGGGATTCGGGGTGGGAGTGCTGGAGCGGTTTTGCTTCAGTGAGTTATTTATTAATGTTAAACAGGCCCTGTATGAAAAACCATCAGCTAGGATCAGGATCAATGGGAGTCTTTCAAAGTTTGTCACATTAGAACAAGGCTGTCATCAGGGTTGCTCAGCTAGTCCTCTTCTTTTTGCTATTTTTCTGGGACCCTTGAGCTAAAAATATAATAGGTATAGGTATAGACTTTGGGGGGAGGGATACAAAAAACTGCTTCATTTGCAGATGATGTATAAATATATTTATCCAGCTCTAACATGCCCCTTCCTGCACTCATGACAACCCTCACAGAATATGGCCACCTATCGGTGCTATAAAATAAATAGATTTCCTTCAACCTTCAATATGTTATTACCTTCGACTATAGACCAGGCCAAATGATTAGGGACAAGTACAAGTTTAGCTGAAAATTAAAATCAAGAAAATATTTCAGAGTTAATCTACCTCAGGAATTAAGGTAATTAAAATCCAACAACTGTAACCCGTTGCTCAATAGAATTAAATCTAATATCAGCAGATGGAATCTGATACCTTATATGAGCATTATGCAAAGAGTTGAGGTGATAAAAATTAATGTACTTTCAAGGCTTTTGTATCTGTTCCACAGTCTACAAGTGGATGTAACAAATAATAAATTCAGGGAATGAGATAAATGATCTCCAGACCAAGGCCTAGATATAGAATGCTGCAGTTACCAAAAAACAGAGGTGGGATAGAACTTCCCTGCCTGAAGAGCTACTGTTAAGTTGCACAAATAAAAATATTGCTAAATGTATACAATCCTACCTGCTTAATGAAAGGGAAAGAAATTGAGGCCAGCACAACAGATGGAGTTCCTACATAGGCTATAGTCGGGGACAACAACTTGAGAAAGCACATCAAGGAAGGGACTAACCCATGGTTGGATATATCACTGAAGCTTTGGCTTAAATAAATCACAAAAAATGATTTGAGAAGAAAAAGTAGATTATTAAAATGGATTAGGTATGATTCTGAGTTTATGCCAAATAGAAGAAATAAGAAGAATTCTAAAAAATGGGAAAGCGGACCTTGTAAAATTCAGTTTTGAGTGTGAAAAGAGCATTTTTTAAGGAAGAAAAGGAGGAAAAGCTTTAAAGAGATAAAAGACCAGTTCAGTCTGACAAATCTGGACCAATACAGGAACTTGCAATTAAGGCATTATTTAGAGCAAACACTAAGGGGAACAATAGAGGGGAGGGAGTCAGCAGTTAATGACATGTACACTCCAGCATATAGATCAAAACGGGGGAAAAAGCTCATTTTAAAACCATATAAAGGAGTGGAAGACTTAAAGGGAAATGACAGGGAGTATGTAAAATGGAGGTGGGAGAGGGAAGCAAATATTGTCATATCAGTGAATCAATGGGAAGAGATGAATGAACAGCAGAGCAGAACAACCTGCTCCCTGTCTTGGAGAGAAAACATGTGGAAGAACATCATAAAATTCTTTAGAACACAAGCATGGACAAAGTATCATGACGCAAAGTGTTGGCGATTATGTGGAGCTGATAAAGCTGACCATTTTCACATGTTTTGGAGTTGCCTGTCTACTCGCAGTTACTGGCAGGAGTTTAAGAAATGTATGGATAAAGTACTGACGGTAGACCTTCCACTTACATTTGAGGTATTATACTTATTTATGGAGTAATGTTGATTGCAAGCAAAAAAGGGATTACCAGAAAACTGATGAAGAATGAAGTAGCCTGACTAGGGTATGTGATGGAAAAGTTAACTTTCTCCATGAGACTAGAGGCGGACAGATTTCAAAGAATTTGGGAAAATTGGATAGAGTTCATTAAACCAATTAGGTCAGACTTTATCTGAGATGTCTGTCATTGGAACAAAAAGAACCCTAATTCATAGCTGTAATGTTCTGTTTCTTTTATTCTATTTAGCTCCGCTTAAACATGGTAAAAATCTACTACTTTAACTGGTTATAATGTATGGGGGTCAGTAAATGATAATTACTCTTGTTGTGTATACGAATAGACAAGGTCATGTTTTGTTGAGTTTTTTGAGAAACTGAGAAAGAATGTCTTGTTCGATTTAATGATGCTGTTTCGGAGGAAAAAGAGACTCAATCATTTTGAACCAGTTGTATGCTGTATATTTGTTGAAATCTTCAATAAAAGGAAAATTAAAGAAAGAAATACTGACTGGTAACAGCAACATGACGGTTAGCTTTGCCCTCATCGATCACATCCATAACCTCCTCAGGGCTGGAGACAAAACGCTCGGTGCATCCCTGAGGCAAAAAAGGGACAAAACACAATACATATTAAAACACAATATGAGACAAACTTGAGATCATTGATCTGATTTAGCAAACAGGCAGAATTTTTCTTCTAATAAAGACTTACACAAGATACAAGAAACTTATACAAACCTTGACATATGGCACCCTATTCTTATCCTCATGGACAGCAAGATTGGTTTTGGTCACTAAAAAATGAATTTGAGTAGTTTTAAGTATTCCAGAAAAAAACATAAAGTCATGCAGCAGTAATACTGGTTAGATTATATTCAACAAGCCAGCAGATGAAAAATGTGATGCTTTATATTCAGTAAGATTTTATTGAAACAAACCATCCAGCAGATCACGGATTTTATCCATGTAGATCTCGAAGTATGAGACCTGTTGAAGAAAGAAAACAATACAAAATGAAATTACACTAAAAATGTAAAACGTCTTTGTTTCTTTCACATACCAAATTCCTGTTAAATGACATATTTTACACAGCACAAGTCGTGAGCTCACAGGACTCATGTAGTACAAATACCTTGATGTGGAATTCCAGGTTTTCGTCCATAGCAAAGATGTGGTTGAAAATGTCCTCAGCAATGCGAGGGATGATACCCATCTGGTGAGGATCGTGCAGCTTGCCCTGGAACAGGAAGCCAGAAAGGTAAGAATACAATATTTAATACAATGAGTGCAGAGGTTATTCCTATCAAGGGTCGAAGGTTGAGGGAGACCTCATACACTTTCTGCTGTCATAAAATTTCCTGTTTAAGAGAGAAAATGCTATTCCGTGAGAATAAAAGTCTGGAAAAACAAAACAGAACTTTATGGAATTCTTGAAAGACTGGTGCATTTCTTTAGTGATACCTGCCACCAAAATTGGTCTAACATCAAAATCATTGTGGGAGATATTATTCATGAAACAAGGAAAGTAAATACAGTAATTTGCTGTCTTATATTGTAGAACCAAGTCACCAAAGTTCATTTGTGGTTACCTTGAGTATAATTAGACAATTTTTTACTAGATCTGATTGGATGGGCAGCTCAAATGTCAATTTAAAAACAATGGTTTAACTTAATTGCTATGCAAAAGTACCTCCATGGTGTGAGTCTTCCCGGATGAGGTTTGTCCATATGCAAAGATAGTACCATTGTATCCATATAAGACATCTGAAAAAATAAATAAAAACCTTAAAGAACAGAAAACAATTTTATTTCATTTTCAGTCTACATGACTTAGACCATGATTTCATGGTATGGAGCATGATATAAATTGCAATACAGAAAACAAAATGATGGCACACGGCAGGGCTGTAGTTTGACAAAAAATAAAATGGCATTCTTCAAAAAACGGGCCAAATTTTCAGTCTTATCTGATTGCAAAAACAATCAATCTAACACCCACAATAGACTGATGCTGTTCATCCTCACCCTTGACAATCTGCTTGGCGCAGGCGTTGTACACCTGCTCCTGAGTGGTGTTGACTGGAAACACACGATCAAATGAGTAGGACCTCCCCTGCAAAGATGATAAAAAAATAAGAAATAGTAAGGAAAAAACATAAAGGCAGAGCTTTAGGCAAATCTCTAAAATGAGATTTTACTATATAGTCTGACAAAATTCCAAGTGAATTTCCGATGTGGAATATGCCAGTGACGGCACAATAAAACCATGGAGTTTGAAGCTTGACAAAAATATATGTTACAAATATTTTTGTACGAGTGCTTCTGTCAACAAGCCAGTCAGAACCATACTTCATCCAGAACCAAGCAAAAGGTGACCCAAACACTGTGTTGTCATGAAAGATTTTGAAAAAACTATCCTCTGATTTTTTCTAATAATGATAACAATAATGCTAATAATAACAATATATTTTATGTAGACTTTACATTTAAAGCACATCTCAAAGTACCACAGATAGGGGATGAAAACAGGACATCATTAAATCATGTTGGAGGAACAACTCCACAACTCTACTCCACTCCTGAGAGTTGTTGCATGATAAGCACAGAGGCATTGGCCATCAGGGTACATCCATTAGGAACAAAATCTGACCGTGGATTAACACTTATGCAGATTTGGGTCAAATTAATCTCTTGCTTCAGGTGTTTGTGAGCAGATATGTACAGTTGAGGCCAAAATTATTAGCCCCCCTATGAAATTTCAAGTTTTTTTCCAGAATTTCGTAAGTGCTGTTCAACATATTAATGATTTTTTTACACAGCTTTTCCAAAAATCCTACTTTTATTTTGGATCCTTACATTATTTTACTTTGTACACAGAAACAAAATTATTTCAAAAAAACCAAAAACTATCAGGGTCAAAATTATTAGACTCCTTAAGAATTGATGTGTTCATTGAGCCGAAACAAAAACCACTGTTGTGCAATCATGTGCTTTAACTTCCGAGTGCTCACAGATTGAAATCAATCTATCAAGTTAAACAAAGAGTTGTCCTACACTTTACACACAGTACAAAAACCTTGTTACGCATCTGAGCTGTCACTTAAGAAGGCATCATGGCAAAAACAAAAGAATTCAGTTTAGACTTGAGAAAAATAATTGTTGATGCTCACAAAGCAGGAGAAGGATATAAAAAAAAATATATTTTTTTTTTATTATTTCCAAGTGTCAAGAAGTGGAGTCAGAAGTATCATCAAGAAATTTAAGGAGAGCCACACAGCACAGAACAAGTCTGGGAGAGGTAGGAAGTGAAAATGTTCAAAGAAACTGTAAAGTTTGGTGTCCATACTACATGCATGCAAAGTTCCAAATCACGTGGTAAATGTATGTTGTCATGATCTTAGGAAGTAGATGTTAACTGCTCAAATCTCAGACAAATTCCCAAATATATCAAGCAAGCCTATGGGGTCACGCTGCTCTGCTGCTCAACTGATCAACCACAATAAAGGGGCCAGCCAAAACATCAAGCTCTGCCCTCAGCCTGCTTCTGGAAAGCCTCTGGAGAGGTAGCCAATCAGAGGAAAGCGGGCTTGTGTGTGTGTGTGTGTGTGTGTGTGTGTGTGTGTGTGGTGGGGCACTTAGACAGCAGCTAAAACAAAGTGTCTCAGAGATAGGAAATTTGAGCTTTTTTTTTTATCTGAAAATCCCGTAAAGCTATTTAAAAGGAACCGGAGGGGAAATATAAAGTCTGTAAAATATGCATGATACCCCCCTTCTTTAAAAACTCATATCTCCATCAGACAGAAACAAGAGGGGTATGGCTCACTGCCTTGAATCCTATAAAGAGATAATATGCCTACCAAAGTATACACCAGTAAGTGATTTGTCTTTCATTTTACTTTCAAAATTGGCCAAATATAAATTTTCTATTTGATTTGAACTTAGTCTCGGCTACAGATGCTAGCTACACTGTAAACCCAGATAAGTTGATTATACTTAAAATTTTTGAGGCAATGATTGCACTTAAATGATTTAAGTGATGAGTGCATCAATTCAGTAATTAAGTAAAATCTACGCAAATACCAAAGGGAATGGAATAGATTATTTGAGTTGAATTCACTGAAAGAAAAGTTACTTGTACTCATAATTTGTATTAAAATTCATACCTATTCAACTCACTATTTTAAGTGCCAATACCTAATTTCTCATGTGCATTTAGCTGTGTTTGGCTTTCATTAAACTCAAAATTTTAAGTTATGCCAACTCAAAAATATATTACACCAAAAGTTGTCATTCAACTTTATTGACATTTGCCAAATACAGGGTGCAACAACAGCCACAATAAACATAAAATAGAAATAACGTAACATTAAACCATTTTATAATTATATGATTTGGGGTCCCACTTTCTTCAAAGTAGAGGATGCCTACTGGAATGTCCCAGGAGTCTGCATCATGAAGATCCTATGATTAACAAGAAAATAAAATGAGATTTTCACAATAGTTAGACTTTGTCTGTAATATTTGTCCATCCTAAGGATCTGACAGTACTGGAGCTTCTCGCTGCTGCTTCCCAGGGTCCTGTACATGGGCAATCCTGATGTAAGCAAGGAATGGATTCAGTCCTGGCATAACTTCAATGTTTAAGTCTGTAGTGTTTGAAAAGCCGTGCTGTTTTCATACTTAACAGGATAATACTTACAAAGTATGTCTTCATGCATGGTTTAAAAAAAAAATATATATATATTTACAGTCAAATGTTTTAGTTAGCTTTTTAAAGTAGGTCACTGCGTTTCTTGAGAAAATGCTGTTGCTCTTTCGCAAAAAAAAAGTGAAATTAAGTCATTTGTATTAACTTATGTTAAATACCTCTGCCAAATAGCAATGTGAAACAGCAAAAATTAAGAGGATAAGCTAAGTACATGGACTACACAGATAACTATTCTCAGATGTTGTTTTCACACCAAAATTTTAACACAATACAAATTCTTAAGCTTCGGGGATCATGAAATAATGTCTTTCGAACCGTATGAATATGGAAAATGACTCACCAAGTTGAAGAACGTAAAAAGCTCCATGAGGGTCAAAACTGGAACTCATTTACTGCAGTTGATTTCTTCTGCTCTCCATGAAAATCAGATTAACTGAGAAGCATTCATCTTCTTCCATGCATAGGCACTACAGATCAGTCCTATAGTCCATATTTGTCGGAATGTTTAATACAGTGCAGAGAACAGAAAGGCTAACTCTGTGACAACAAGACAAAGACCAAAGGTCCTCCTTCCAGCATGCCCAGACAAGTCTTGACACAACTAGCCAATCGGATTCAAGTGCAGGCTAGTAGTTAATTTTTGAAGTTTATTGAACTCAAAACTAAAAGTGCATCTAAATTATTGAGGCTCAACACAATTTAAAACTGCTAGTGCACATATTAATCAAATAATGCCAGTACAACATACCGACACTATTAAAGTAATGCAACAAAACTCATTTTTTTCAACTGATGTATACTTCAACTATTTGCACAGAAACTAATCCGGGTTTACAGTGTAGACAAACTGAGGAGGAAGTAGTGTCTCCCTAACATGTCAGATTTAAAAAAAATCCACCTTAAGTAGCATCAAATGAATGTTAGCATGCATTATGAGGAGATATAGAAAAATAAAAATCTACCTTTTTGTAACATGAAAACAAGTGACTTTGCTCTTAAAGGCCTTTCTGCAAAAGCAGGCGGTAATACTTCTAAATGTCACTGCCCCATCAGATAAAGAGGCAACAATGTAATACAATAATGTGGGCCAGGACATGAGCTGTATTAAATGTCATTAACAAGTTGACTCATCCACAGACCGACTCATTGACAGAGTGATTTACCACAGAGATACTCAATCTGTCGAAGTAATGCACAGAAAGAGATATAAACTAGCAGAACTGGGTGAGCAAAGGTGGGACAAAGGTGAGATTGGAAAAGATACAGAAAGCAAAACACTAAGAAAGGAAAAAAAAAAAAAAAAAAAGCAGATGATGTTGGAGTTAAGAGAAAGCAGGTCAGTCAGTGATGAGCATGAGCTCAATGGATGCTTATTGATCCTCTCTGGAGGCAATTAGAGAGATCAGTTTCTGAGTCCGCTGTACAGAGTCATGCTGACAGGAGAGAGGAAGGTCAGGTCAAGATGTTTCCAATGGCAGATAAAGTCTAAACATATTTCTGATCTCTATGGCGAGTACCAAAGCTATCAACAGCTATCCAATAAACACTTTATGTAGTCTTATGTTCGTAAAATCATAAAATCTCTGAGGAAAGATATAAGGTCACAGACAACTGACTAAATATAAGGGCAAAACAGCAAGACAAATGAGAGATTAAAATGTGTATGTTGCTAGAGATCCACAGATGTTTTCATTCTTTTAACAAGCCACTGGTTTAAAAAAAAATTATTTAAACAGATCCGTGAGCCTCAGATGTTTAATTTAGCTGTAGTGATGTGCATGATTTCCAGGGACGGGAATTATTTCAATCAATAATCTCAGTTATAAACCTCATGTTATTGTTAAAAATTAAAATAAATGAAAATCTGGGAGACATGGAGCAATTTTTAAATGTTCTTTGCTAAAGAAACCCACAAAAAAATTACAGTAAAATCCTGCCAGCAGATTACTGGCTTTTTCTCCCATTATAGGCTGTTTCAAAAGTCATGAGTGTTAACCTATTTCCAGATTGTTCTAGAAAATGAGAGCCTGTTTCTTTAAGAAAAACGTAAGGTGCATTGCTCCCCTTGAAATCCAGGGAATTTGCATTTGACGTTAAACAATTTTCAATAATTAAATTTATAGGACCCCCCCCCCCCCCCCCCACCCGAATTCCAAATTTATTCTTGGTGAATATTTAAAATGAATATAAAAATGCCTCTAAACTAAATGCCAGAAAATCCAGAATTGAAAGAGAATTTTTTTTTTTTTGCATTTTTGCAGAATTTGTAACCAAGTCAATATAAAGTTGCCTGATTTTGAAATAATTAGGACATCATCAGATGTGGGTTCTTTAAGTAATCAGCTCTCACATGCCCACTTTACAGTCCTCAGATCATCACCAGAACTCACCTCTGCACCAACATATCTGCCTACTTCCCCAGTGATTATCCCACTCCATGATTAGAGCATAAAAAAGAGGGTAACAAAAGGCTAGCGAACTTAAATACCAGAATGCATAGATTCATTCATGAACATTAAAGTACTTACTTACACTGATTGATTGAATTGTTTATTTTATGGTTGGTAGCTGTGTTATGAATCAGGCTACTCGTACTGGGAAAAGAATCACTTATTAAAGCCTTTAGAGATAAAGTACTTGAATTAAAAATGGTGAATAAGCATCAAAAGTTTGTTGAGGGATAATAAAGTCAGACAATTGTGCTTTATTCATAGGCTACACAGCAAAGACCTTAATCAGCTGGTGCAAGAGGCCAGTTTGCGCATTTCAGCATCAGGCCCAGATATTTTCGACGTCTTACGCCTTATACAGGTTTTAGGAGAAAGGTGTGGTAGTTCTCTGTGCTGCGCCAATTATTATTATTTCAGCCCTAACCCAAACAGACTGCTTGAGCTGATGATTTATTGACGATGGGCCTTCATGAGGACAACAACAAAGCGATTCTCCTTACTCACCCCCACGACAACAGTGTCATCTCCTTGGAATTTTGGGAGAAACAGGTCCCCTCGTACAATCTCCGACTGGTTCAAAGGGCGAAAGCGACACAGCACTTTTATGTTGCACTCCGCTGGGATATCGGCCATGGCGCAGATTCAATGATGAGGAAGGATGCTGAGAGCGAAGATGCTGCTTAGGTTGAGGACCAGACGCTAATCGGGGCCTGCTCTGACCGTAAAAAGAAACGACGAGGGATCGCAGTTACTTCGTCCTTCGTCGTCGAGAGGAAATAAGGATGGCTGGAGGGCTATGACGGATGTATCCTTTCAGGCTGATAAAGACTAGTTTATTTGTGCGCAGCTGGACGGTGATCCTTGTCGCAGTGAGGCGGACTAATTGGGATGTAAAAACGCAAACGATCCCCTACATCATCAACATACCGGACAGTTTCACCGCCTGATATCCCTTGTCTGGTTTCTTGACAATGTCTTTTTCCTCTGATGTGTTCTTTCGTGTTGTTTCTTGTTGCGGTGGATGTGCGTCTGGCCGGTTGAAGGTGAGATGCTACAAAAAGGGCAGTGAGGTAAAACTGCTGATTACGAGCGTCGTTCGCCACATCGCCCTCTATCGGTAAGGCAAGGAAGGGCGTGGTCTGCATCAATCTCTTTAAAGAGGCACCTACCGACTCAGCGTCAGCCCTGCATCCTCTCAGACAGGCGGAAACCAGAGCCCAAAAGCTGCAGCGTCATATCTGAACAGAAAAATAAAGGACAACATAATCACTCTGTACAATGCAGCAGTAGGGCCGCTGATTCATACATTGATCATCACAGAAATACTCTGAGCCCTCACACATAAGAGAGTGTTGTAAGTTATTGATCATAGGGTGACTTCAAGTCTGACCTCCTTTGGGCATCACACTGACTTACGGGATGAAATGTGTGTCTAAAGTGTATAACACCCCCATTTAATGAATGCATGCTATGTTCATTCAAAAAGCTTACTGAGCAAACATGTCCACCATAAGGCAGCAGAATCCCATAAATCCATTATAGGCCTATCTTTCAATAAGATTACAATATAAGATGGATAAAATAAGCGTTAACCATTGTTGGAGAAGTACTTGGGGTTACAGAAGATAACCCGATACAGAAGAAATTCAAATGTACAAATCCTTACAACCCTTTGCCCGTGTTAGAGCAACAAACAAAATCATCAGCAAAAACAAATGGCCTCACTGAAATCTTGTTTTAAAAGGAATCTGAGCTTTCTTTAAACCAAATGATTAAAATAACAAGCAGATACAGCTTTCTTTGAAGTCTGTGTCTGTTCCTCACAGTTAATAATACACAACTGTTCAATCCTGTTTTTCTTTTTTTTAAAGACCATAGATTAAAAGAGAAAATATTTATTTTTTTGTCGGCATTTTCTATTTTCATCTTCACAATATCAGATCTTCATAGCAGTTGCTTTTACTTCACAATGATAGTCCTTACAGAACAGTCTTTACAGAACAGAAATCAACACAAGGGTAAATTTTCTGTAAATAGTTTAATATTAAATAAAAAAGACTCCAATATAAAAAGAAAGCTACAGTCCACAATTTAATCGTCTTCTTGAACATAGGTATTGAATGCAAGGGGTAGAATGAGAAAAATACTTAATTACAATTCCCAGAAAAATTCACAATTTATTGTTTTTTTCTTGTCTTTCTCTAACAATATAAAATCAAAATAAAACACATTAACTGTACATATATACAAATCTCCAAGTGTAGAAATTGCATAATCTGCTTTCTTTTTCACTTTTCTTTATTGTTTTTCTTAAATACAGCTAGAGATGCCAGAACTCTTAGGGCAGGGCAGCATGTGGAGGAATGCTCACACAGTGATATAAGGATACAGGAAGGATATTACTTCAAATCCACAGTAACACACGGACTCACCAGATCCACGTTAAGACATCATTATTCTCTGCAGTTAGGTTTCCAGCCATTCTTTTGATCAATCAATACTGTATTTTGTTCAAACTAAGGATGGCTGCAAATGTTTCAATTAAGATTCTATACCTTTAACCTAAGCACAATTCTCATGGCTGGGGAGTGTGTTTCAACCAATCAATAGATATTAAATAGTCTCCATCTTAGAACAGCTTCTCATATTTTGTTCAGCACAAAAAAATGCTGTAATGTGGCACCAAAAGTGTTTCTGAAAATAAGCAGTGTTGAGGACTGCCTTAGTCAAATAACTGTGTTCTTGCATTCACTTGATTTTCTGGTGTTATTTCATTTAACAGTCTGTAAAATCATGAGTGATGTACAAACCTACAATAATACCTCACAAAAATTTACAAATCATGATTATAAATTCTTGTCTTGAGTGTTACATGACATGAATCTCCATTATTTTCTAGGTTTGTCAAATACAAGAGTTATATCTTATTTTACTCTTAAAGAGAAACATTTCAGTTCCTTCTATTCATGCCTTTCCAGCGCCTTAAAAAACGTCAGAACCCTTCTGTGAAACACAACAGCAGTGTGTCTTTTCAGAGAGCCTTTCATCTTATCATAAAAGATAAAGGGCATGCATGATTAAATGAAAGTAAGTTCAACTAACCGTCAATCATTGTGGGGCTCAGCAATAGCACTGTTGTCCAACACACACTCAAACATATAGGACACACACACATCCACACAATTACAAACACACTTTCAATAGAGAGCATATTTCAAGTAGATGGGCTTTATCTTGACTTTCAGTAACACACTGATGAGAAAAAACAGTACTTGTTTTTTTTTGTATGTTTTCTTGTCGATGTTATTCTAACACCAACCATGGTTAACAGATCTCCAATCACAATGTCAAGCAACCATTATTTTGTGAACTAGACCTAAGAAAAGATCTATGTGAAAAAGTATTGACAAAATTTCTCTTAACTTTTTTTTTTGTTTTTTGTATTAATTAACTTATCAGACTAGTTTCCTCTCCTATGTGTTTATTCTTACTGGCTGACATAAAAATGGTTGACATGACAACAGCATAATAGTGCATTTGAATTGTAAAAACAAACTTCTGAACAGTGGTGATGATGGTGGAGCAATGGGACGGGGAGGGAGAAGTGCCTGGCCGCCTTTGATTGGAGTATGGCTGGGACTTGGAATTCCCTCCACCAATCACTGCCTTTGAGACCTGGCGCCTCGACGTCTCCTGCCACGAACTGACCTCTCAGGCTTCAGCAGTGCTGGCTAGAACCAGAAGACAAAGAAGGTGCACACACATCAGCCTAATCTTTATCTATTCTCAGGGGGGAATGATGTTATCATTACATTAAAAATTTAAAATTACAGCATAGTACTAATCCATCCTCTCCTGAAAATATTTTTTTAGGACAGTGTGAGAGCTGACCTTTGCAATGTTTAGAAATTTGAAAAAGTTAACTGATTTATGCATCTTTCTCTGGTGAGAGGTACTTTCTCTACTTTAAATGGCAATTTAAACAATAGCTGAGGCAAATTTAAAAATATTTTTCTTCCTTAACTGTTGTTTCTCATCTAAGGAATGGAATTTGACCCTGTGCTAACATCAACAAGATATTCCTGAGAAAACTATTATTACATAAAAGTTGTTGCCATCTGGGCACAGGCATGCACTACCAGGATGTATGACTAGCTACCTTAAAATGCATTTGTCCCTGCTGCCATCACGCTCCTCAACGATATTATGTAGCATGTTTTTACTTGTGATTACTATTGCCCCTTGGGGATAATAAAGTTTACCTTAACTTAACCTTAGGAGGCATCTCCATCTGATAATGACTATCATGCAGTTTTAACAAATACACCTAATAACAAAGTCTCCCTAAACAGACCCTCACATAAGATAGTTTTTTCAAATGATGCTCTTTTGTTATTTTGCAAAGATTCACTGTGATATTCTTCATTTCTTTGTTACATGGTGGCATACCCCTCGAGCAAGAAAATCAAGACTCCATAATTCCTTGATATGAATCATCTACAAAAAAAGATGAAATAGTTATTTGATGATATGAAACCATGATTGAGGATTACACAGTCTTGCTGTACATGGGGCTCTCGACCACAGGCCAGATGAGAAACCTGAGCATCAGCTACTATGCATGGGAAACAAATTTTAAGCCGTTGTCAGTGCATGTGGTAACCCAGTGTCTTAGCATCAAAATCTTTTTTTTGTAGCAGAATGATAAACTAGGTATACACTAGAAATGGTGTTCATTCAAACACATGCCAGAAAGAGCTGATCTCCGAAGATGAACAAGACAGTCAAAAGGAAAATATGATGAAGCACATCTAGCTCTTGAGTTAGCGGTATATGTGGTGGGAGGTGAGGAGAATCCGGTGCATATTTTGGGGTTAAAGATGCTGGCAACTGACAGTATAAGACCCAATACATTAAGACCACAGTTAGAGGCATTACAGCCACGCCTCATCAAGAAACACACTTCTTTTTTTTTACAAAATACTTTGAGAATAGCACCAGCATACAGCTTGTTTTGTGAAAGCTGCATCAGTCATCAACAAAGTGCTCATTGCCTTTTATACAAAGTTGAACACAGAATTACTCAGTACAAGAAACCACACACTCCTTTTTTCAAAGTAATTGCAAATTATATTAAAGTTCTGTGTGCTTGGAAAAAGAAAAAATGAGACCGATGTAGCAAATTGAAAACATGGCAAAAAGTAGTTTGTAAAATTCCAGTTTCTTCAGTTAGTAAGGCAACTACAGATACTAATAAAAGTTGTATTAACTTTGAAATTACACATAGATTAATGTAGCAGTGGAGTGACAAGAGTCATAAAATGTGGTTTGATAAAATTGAAATGGGGGTTGCTCTTCTTCCATTGCAAATGCAAATGTTATAGAAATTTGTTGTGAAAAAAAAAAAAAACGTGTCAAGAAGTAATCAAGCTACAAATGCTGACAGTGGTTTATTTGCAATTTTAAACTGGGCTTTTCTCTGTTGCAAAATTATGCCAAGGTTTTTCTAGTTAAAAAAAGCACACAGTGTTAAGTTATCCCAAGGTAAATGTCATCAAACTGGTTTCGATAGATCGAGATTAAACGAAAGATGATTCAAAGAAAAAGGAAGTTAAATGTTCATTATCCTTTCAGTGTGTGTCAAAAACTAGACATGGCCCTTTTGTCCCAATTTTATGTTTTTTTCTTCTCTGAAGTTTGGGAACCAGTGAAATGACTAAACACACAGAGCACCTTGAAAAAATAGCTAGGTGCAGCTGACATACTGCTGATCACACTCTGTCATCCTCAGGAAAAAGATTTGGGCAGTAATACAGTATACCATGGAGTTTATAAATAGCAAAGGTATCAGTGTCATACCATTAAGAAGCTGTTGTACAACACATGTAATAAATGCCTTAATTAACTGTTGGTGTCCAGCTCCTCTGACAGTAATTACTCCATTTTTAGCTTATTTCTTTGATAGTATCATGTCTCTCTTTACTGTAAGTCAGGAGATGACATCAGACTCAGTTTTTGGATGTGTCATAGTCACATGACAGCTGCCAGTAAGAAGAGAGAAAGTGGAGTGCTGTGCACCAAGTGAGATGTTCCCTACAAAAACACAGCTGATGCATTTTGGGTACACTTCAAACGAAAGGGCCCATCAAGGATCAATCACCTGCCAACTGCTGTTGGGATGTTAAAGACCCCCAAGAGTGTTTGGTCAACAAAAACAAGAGCAACATGCAAATCTGTGCATACAGTTAGCAAATCAGTGCAGCTTAATAGCGTTCAGTGTGCTTAAATTCAGATGACCGTAGACTGTGGATGTTTATTTGCCCTCATTTTTTTTGCTGGATCACATCGCCATGTACTGTTAGAGTTTGCATAATGCACTCAATCTATCCCTATCTTTGGTTGATGGTGCTGGTGATGATGTCTCCGTATTGTGGTGACCTTTTCTGCGAGTGCTTGTGTGTCTATGTGAACTTGTGTGCTACAGTGTAAAAAAGATGGGAGTTAAAAAACAGCATGGTGCTTTAGCTAATTACAGACCTCTGCAGTTAATGGACAAAAAACTGTTACAGATAAGTGTTCTACATCAATATATCCCATAAAGAAAGAGTAGCTTCAATGTTAGTCCTTGAGCCGGACCAGATGTCGGTACCACTTGGGTGGGCAAAACCTTACATATACTAAATTGTTTTTAGGGTCAATATAAGTAAATTAAAATATGATAGACTTTTCATAGGGGTAGCTTTTTATATTTTTTCTCATTTTGTTATTTTCCTCAATAGGCAAATTTTTGTTAACTCCAAAAGCAACACAGAAAGTCAAAAGCACATTAAAAGTCATACTCTTTTTGGGTCACACTGCTCTTTTCTACAAATGAATCAAACCTGTGTCTAATTAAATGAGTTGATGAAGTGGGAGTGGCCCAATTTGATGGTGGAGCAGTTCTTTCAGGTATCATAGCACTTGAGCCAGGAACCAAAATTTCACATATCAGTACCACCTGGGTGGGCAAATACTAGTTGTGATTTTTTTATTGCTATACATCCCTACAATAAGTTTTTATATGATAGACCTTGGTAACTGGTAGCTTTATTGTAGTTATCACTCATTGAAGTAATAGAGTGCAGCTGTTCAAAAATGAAAAATCGCCTTCCTTCAAAATTAGCTTTCTTTCATTTTAACCTCTCATTTCGGTGTGTTTGAACTATTGGCTAGCCATAGAGACTTGTAATAACCCCCTAAGTAGTATTTCAAGGAATTTATCTAATACAGGTGTGTATATATAAGCTTCAATTAGCCAATTGTCAGGTCTAAATCAAGGTCTAAATTAAGGATATTTTTTTACTTCGAAGTAGAAGTAAAGTAAATGCAGACTAATAGCATTATAATAACACAAATTTAATATGACACTGACATATTTTCAATGCAGAAACTCAATATACAATCATCCTGGCTGGTGCAGGGCAAGAAGACATTAGCAACAAAATAAGATCTACTGATGTATACACTCTATACAGTCATCTGAGAAAAACTCCATTCCTCCACCAAGAACTTGATGAGACTGGCTTTATTGGCAGGGCTGCAGAGAAGTTTCCTCCACTGCTGAATATTGTGGCCAGAAACAATGTTTCTGAACTGGATCCCCATGTCTGCACCTCTGTTTAGTCTTTCTGAATTTTTGATTGACATGTCCTTGTAAACGTCAAAGACAACATCAGTCTTTTAACTATCACCACCTTCATGCAGGACCTTGGCTAAAGTTGAGTCCAGCCAGCTTCCACCATGTCAGGATTGCGTATTAATGCAACCGATTCGTGCCAACTACCAGGCTGCTATCTGGAGACGGTCTCTTCATACCAAGCCATCTGTACCAAGCCCCAAGGACCATGGGTGGACCATAAATGACGAAGGGCAGCTGGAAATACAGTGGATGCGTGGTTCCCCAGCACCAGATGCGGTCTTGCAGTTGCTATCCTGCAAGTGTGTGAGGACATGCAAACCACCATACTGCACCTGTCTCAGCAATGGGCTGAAGTGCACAAACCTGTGCAAATTACAAACTTGTGCCAACCAATACAGTGAGGAAGAGCCCCTTGCACACCCGGCAGACTCAGATGTAGAAGAAGATACAGATACTGATGTCGATTACTGATGTTGATTAATAAATGATGACCAAAGGGAGCTATGTTAACAGACCCACTGTGACTCAGTGACAGTATTATGTACTAAGCCAAAACTTGACAGTCATATTTGCTGTCACTGTTCCTTATGGAAAGAATAGGACTTTGAATAGGAATTTGAGTTTTTCTCAGATGATTGTATAGAGTGTATACATCAGTAGATCTTATTTTGTTGCTAATGTCTTCTTGCCCTGCACCAGCCAGGATGATTGTATATTGAGTTCCTGCATTGAAAATATGTCAGTGTCATATTAACACACCGAAATGAGAGGTTAAAATGAAAGAAAGCTAATTCTGAAGGAAGGCGATTTTTCGTTTTTGAACAGCTGCACTCTATTACTTCAATGAGTGATAACTACAATAAAGCTACCAGTTACCAAGGTCTATCATATAAAAACTTATTGTAGGGATGTATAGCAATAAAAAAATCACAACTAGAATTTGCCCACCCAGGTGGTACTGATATGTGAAATTCTGGTTCTTGGCTCAAGTACTATGTAGTTACTGAAAGTAACTGAAGCAAGAATAAACAGCTTCTGTGTGGAGGTGACTTAAAATAACTGTCCTGCATGGGCAACACGGGAGAATAATATTGTGTTTACTAAAACTACTCCGTGGAGACAGATTTTTTACCCCTGCATGGCTTAAAAACATGGAAACATTGTCCATGTGGTACATTATGTGATCATGTGGCTCTTTTAACATTCGACCATTGATAAAAGGGTGTTTGGTAAAAGAAATACAAAAGGGACAGTGTCCTGTAAAATTATGTACTAAAGTGGTGACTAGGTATGTGTTTGTGATATTTGTTTCAGTATTATGCTGACAGCATGTGGACGAGTATCAATGAATAATTTAGGCAGCTCTTCTGAAGCCCGACAAGGTTTTTTTTTTATGTTACAGTTATATGGTATACCACAGTAAGGCTGCACGATATTGGAAAAAACTAACATAGCGATTTTTTTCAACCCTGCGATATATATTGCGATATTAAGAAATACAGGAATTTTCACCAGATGACCTGAATAGCACTTTATGTTGTGCTGCACTGCTGAAATCTTGAGGACAGTTAACCTGCACTGATCTTACCTCTTCTTGTGAATGTTTGTAGAATGGCTTTTGTCTGTCTCAGAGATATTTTTAGCTTTTATTGTTCTGGGACGTTATTGTGGAAACAGATGAACACAGAACACGTGTTTTAGTCGACATCATCCATTTTTTAACCGAAATAATTCCAAATAACTAACTTTCCTTTTCCTTTTGGCAACAAGTCTTCATCTTCTGTGGTTTTCTCTGTGTGTTGCTCAGTTTGCGATCGTTGTTGTTGTTGTTGTTGTTAACGGGGTTGTGCTGAGAAATGCATGTCCTCCGAGAATTGCATGCACCTCACAAAACGCGCACTGCTTATAGTAGAGTGGTCCACGGAAATGTACAATTTAAAACCCATACAGTTCTTATTTGTTGGGCTAAACAGTGATAAAGAATGTTCCAAAAGTAATTCTCAGCCGACACGCGTTTCACGGCTCAACTCCAGTAGCGGCAGCGACTCCCTCCATGTGCAGAACATGTGCAGGGGTGGGTTTCCTCCTCTCTGATTTTGATTGACAGCTGGCAGAGTAGTCTGATTGGCAACTGAGTAAAGGACGAAGGTGATTGGTGGATCGCTGCACAGCACATGCAGAGTCACATGCAGTGTATCTCAGTCAGTTACCCTTGAAATTAACTGAGTTCATTCACCTCCGACATTATAGGCTCTGCGATGTGACTATCGCACACACGTACATCGCAATGACAATGCTCAAACGATATATCGTGCAGGCCTATACCACAGTTACCGATTAATTGGCCGATTTTTAGAATTTTATATACTTCATATACTGTAGATATCTACAGTATACTATATACTGTAGATATACTGTGGGCTACTACTCTTCACACCAACAGGAAGACCGACTGATCAAACTCAGACCAGAAAAGCGTTTTGAACCCCCCCTCATCTGGAGACCGGACATGCAGCTGCCTCAGTAAGAGAAGTAGCTTGTTCACGTAATGTGTACTGTTGTTTATTCTACCATTACTGGCACGGCTAACAGTGTAGCAAGGCATATTACATGGTGCTTCACTGTTAACTTGGCGTGCTCGAGATTAGCACAGCGGGGAACATCGTGAAGTGGGTTGAACTGAAACTTGTTGACTTATTGTGTATTTCACAAACTGGTTTATTTACCGTTGAGGCGGACCACTATCCTCCATGCGTCTCTGAGCTGCCTACTTCAGATCTGTCACTCTGCTGTGCTGTGAGGTAGTGAGTGGATGTAGATTGTCATGAGTTCGCTGCGCCATCTACAGGATAAGTCGGGGAACTTTTCAAATGGCGGAACATTTCTTAAGTGAAACCGAATCTTATTCTCTGCATTTCATCTCTGAAAATATCGGCGAAAATCGACGAGTTTTGGCTGATTACCAATTAGTCTCAAATGGGCTAAAATTGTCCAATTTAATCAGCTCGCCGATAAATCGGTCAGGCTCTAATTTTGATGGGTCAGAAATGCAGGATGCATACCTAGCAACATGGGGGGGAAGTACAGTGTATGTTAAAAAATGTTAGACTAAGGGCTTGGAAATCCCTATTATCATGTTCACAGGAAAAAAATGGGGCTTACTGGTGCCTTGGTTTCTTCTAGTGCTGTGGCATCCATGTCTCTGAAGTCTTCTAAAACATTCTGTAGCCTGACACAGAGAGTAAGACTAACATAAGTATTAATACAGCCAACTACAGCAAAAAGGATGAGTTGAAAGGAAGAGTCTGAGCTATGTGTAATGTATTCAGAAATTTTAGTCTGAGGGCTTGGAAACTCTAGCAGATAATTAAATGAAAGTTACTTTATCCAAACTTGATGTCAAGAATACATGATAAATTCATTTTCAGTACGGTAACTAACGTTTGTTTCCTTTTCCTTCCTCTTCTTGCTCCACCCACAGCTCCCACTTGTTCCTTGGGGGGAGAATTAGATTTCACATAAGAAAAACATAATACCAAATCACAGGCATAAACTATAGTATAAAATACTACATTTCTCTTTCTTAAATATTTGGTGCAGTCATCTCTTTCTCACTGTCAAGTATAAAAGCCTCACTAGAAGAAAGAAACAGGAGAACTCAGCACTCACCCTGCCCTGCTCTGTTTGTAGAAATGTTCCAGCAGACTCTTCTTTGGACCTAACATTGCATCCATCTAATGGACTGAGGTATCCCGCATGGGGAAAATGCCCCTGTCTATCCACCCCTGCCTCTACATAGGGGTACACTGCTGTAGCAGGCCCAGTACAGTCTGTCTTTGCCTCTTCCAAGTAGTTGGGTGGCAGGGGAGGCTCTGGGTGAGTATGTCCCTCTACTATGTCAGGTTTCCTTTGTAGGGGAGGTGTAGACCCATCCTCCGGTTTGGGTGTCCCCTGGGCTGGAGAGTGGGCTGCTGCTTCTAAGCTAAGTCGAGATAAGTCTGGGTTTCTGAGGGAACAGGCCCGGCGTGGGCTGAGGGAGACTGGGGCACTTGCCTGAGGCAATGGGGCAGCACTGGACCGGGTATGGTGCTCCGCAGGAAAAGAAACAGGCGGTAAGGCACAGAAGGGTGAAGTGGGGTCAGAGGGCCCCATCTGGGCCCTGTCTTCCTGCTCTTTAGCATTGACTTGAAGAAAAGAGGTATAAATCGTGTCCATGAAAGAGGTGTAAGGATCAATGACAGACCTGCCTTCAGATACAGGCTGTGGGGCTTGAGTTGGCTCTTGGGCAGGAACAAGAGCTTGAGTAGGAGCTGGATTTTGATCTGGAAGAGGACTGGAGACCACTTCATTAGTTATATGAATAGCTGGAGTGTCTCCCTGTGAAGCAGGGCTTTCCTGCAATGATACTGGCTTCTCTCCTTCCGAGGGTGGTGCAAGATTAAGCTTAAAGAAAAAAAAAACAATGAAAAGCAATCAGTTACACTCAGATCCAATGTTTTCTTTAAGCAAACAACATTTAGATTTATACTTTCTGCTAACAAAATCTAAAGGTAAATCCTCTACATTTCCCTAGTCACTTTTTCAGCTTAGAATTCTATCCCTTTCACAGTGAACCCCTGCTAATACTTGTCAACAGATCCTGCTTATATATACAGTGGGTATAAAAAGTCTACACACCCCTGTTCAACTGCCAGGTTTTTGTCATGTAAAAAAATTTGATCAAGATAAATAATTTCACAACTTCTTCCACCTTTAATGTGACCTATAACCTGTACAACACAATTGAAAAACAAACAGGAATCTTTCAGGGAGGTGAAGTAAAAATAAACAACTGAGATCATGTGGTTGCATAAGTGTGCACACCGTTTAATAACTTGGGATGTGGCTGTGTTCAGATTTAACCAATAACATTCAAACTCAGGTTGAATTTGAGTCAGCACACACCTGTCACCAATTAAAGTGCCTCTGATCAACCCCAAATAAAGTTCAGCTGTTCTGGTAGGCTTTTCCTGACATTTTTGTAGCCACATCTTCCAGCACAAGCTATGGTCCACAGAGAGCTTCCAAAGCATCAGAAGGATTTCATTATTCAAAGATACCAGTCAGGTGAGGGCTACAAAAGAATTACCAAGGAATTAAATATACCATGGAACATAGTAAAGACCGTCATCATCAAGTGGAGAAAATATGGCACAACGGTGACATTACAAAGAACAGGACGTCCGTCCAAAATTGATGATAAGACAAAAAGAAAACTGGTCAGGGAGGCTACCAAGAGGCCGACAGCAACACTGAAGGAGCTGCAGGAATTTCTGGCAAGTACTGGCTGTGTAGTACATGTGACAACAATCTCCCGCTGTCTTCATATGTCTGGGCTGTGGGGTAGGGTGGCAAGACGGAAGCCTTATCTTACAAAGAAAAACATCAAAGCCTGGCTTAATTTTGCAAAAAGACATCTGAAATCTCCTAAACACATGTGGGAAAATGTGTTATGGTCTGATGAAACCAAAGTTGAACTTTTTGGGCATCATTGCAAAAGGTATATTTTGCGCAAAATCAACACTGCTCATCACCAAAAGAGCACGATACCCACAGTGAAGCATGGTGGTGGCAGCATCATGCTTTGGGGCTGTTTTTCTTCAGCTGGAACTGGTGCCTTAGTCAGGGTGGAGGGAATTATGAACAGTTCCAAGTACCAGTCAGTGTTGGTACAAAACCTACGGCCTTCTGCTAGAAAGCTGAAGATGGAGAGGAACTTAATCTTTCAGCACGACAATGACCCAAAGCACACATCTAACTCAATTAGGGCTGAAACGATTACTCGAGTAACTCGATTAATAAAATTCCTCGAGGCAAATTATATGCCTCGAGGAATCGTTTAAATCCGGAACCATGTGCAGCGCACGGTGTTTGACACGGACGGTTATTTCTGTTGCGCAGCAGCGTGCTCTTTCCGCTCCTTCCGCTGCCGCGCGTTTCATAGACATAATAAAAGGGTAGACCCCGCTGGGGGTGCTGCGCAGCGAGAAATGCGGCCGCCATCTTGGTCAGGTCAAGCTTCCCATACGCTCCGGTCAATCATATTCATTCATTCAGCGATGCCGGAGCACTGTGCGGCGTATTCCTGTGCCAACAGGCGGACAGCAGAGAACAGGGCTCAAGAAATAACTTTTCACAGTTATGATTAAACGTTTTTTAAACATTGCACTTGACTGTAGAGTCATTTGTAGGCCAAAGAGGAAGACTATCGGTCAACTCCAAAAAAGAAAAAAGCATTTGCGAACAGCTAGCTTATTCACAATAATAGCAACTTTGGTCGATTATCAACAGATTTGCATTAGATTGAAAAACTTTTGTTTGAGAGAGGTTCTAAGAAACGTTAAGAAATAAAATAGAAAGAAAAAGGAAGAAAGTGAGCTTTTTTTATTATCTGTTTTATTAAAGATTTCTTTGTGGTGATCTCCTGTTTCATTTTGAAGATTTCCTAAGGACAAAAACTTGAGGAAGAAGTGGGAGATTGCTGTTAGAGGGAGAAATTCGCAGCAAGTGATTCCTCTGAGCTGTGTAGCCAACAAGCAAATTGATATGTAGTTTAGATGCTGTCCTGTCATGCTGTTCTTGTGTTTAAATCTTTTTGATATGTAGGCTATATATTTGTGTGTATTTTCCAGTTATTAAAATAGTGCTTCTATATGACATTATTTGTGTGTGTCTACAAATGGATAAATAAAATTAAACTATATAAAAAATTATAATCAAATCAATATATATTGAATTGGCCTATTAATACCGCCAGTTATGAATAATTATTGAGACATAGCAGGAACCTAGCTCTAAACCTAAATATATCCTTGATTAATTGTTATACTATAATACAGCAACTGCTGCCATGTTCTAAAATATCATTTTATTCATTCTGAGTATTTGAAAACGCCAAAAAAAAATATGGCCTCTATCATGCCTCTTTGAATGGCGTTTGCAGAGAAGAAAATTACGTAGTATTGAGCGAACTATGATTCATTAATGCGCTCAGACTTCATTCCGCCGGTTAAACAGCGGTGCAGAGTGAGGCGGATGACCGGACCAAGATGGCGGCCGCATTTCTCGACAGCGCCCATTCGTGGTAGCGGCCGATGCGGGGTCTATCTTTTATTATGTCTATGGCGCGTTTGGTTCAATCATGGAGGGAAACGAGGACAGACAGAGAGAGGAAGAAAGAGATGACACGCAGAGGAAACGGCAGAAAGTGTCTAAAGTGTGGGACCATTACACACTGAAAAGGAAAGAAAACGCCGTGCAGTGCGTTCACTGTAAGGCGGAGTTGGCGTTTCACAACAGCACGTCGTCAATGCTGCAGCACCTTAAAAGAAAACACCCGGTCCATGCATTAAGTCCGCTCTGAGGCAAACGTGATTCAATGCAAAGTATTACAGTGAAAGCAAAACATTTCTTATCCGATTACTCGATTAATCGACAGATTAATCGATAGAGTACTCGATTACTAAAATAATCGATAGCTGCAGCCCTAAACTCAATAAAAGAATGGCTTCACCGTAATAAGATTGAGACTTTGGAATGGACCAGCCAGAGCCCAGACCTGAATCCCATCGAACATTTGTGGGGTGATCTGAAGAGGGCTGTGCACAGGACATGCCCTCACAATCTGTCAGATTTGGAGCAGTTTTGCAAAGAAGAGTGGGCAAATATTGCCACATCTAGATGTTCCATGCTGATAGACTCCTACCCAAAAAGACTGAGAGCTGTAATCAAGGCCAAAGGTGCTGCAACAAAGTATAAGTTTAAGGGTGTGCATATTTATGCAACCAGGTTATTTCAACTTTTCTGTTTCTTATTTTTTCCCTTAAAGGTTTCAGTTTGTTTTTCAATTGCATTGTACAGGTTATAGGTCACATTAAAGGTGGAAAAAGTTGTGAAAATATTTATCTTGCTGTCATTTTCTGACATCACCAAAACCTGGCAGTTGAACAGGGGTGTGTAGACTTTTTATATTCACTGTATAGCCTCAAGGCATAAGGCAATTTGTACATACATTCATACATACATACATAACTGCACATGTGCATACAAACATGCATGCATATAATGAAAATACATGGGAAAAAAACTTTTTAAATAGATGTGATGTAATCTGCATAGAGAGGAGGTCTGGCCTTGTTAGAGATGTTCTTGATATACACTTCTTCTTGATAGGACTTCTTGATATACATGCCAGTTACCAACCTGCAAGTTGTTGAGTAAGTTGATGGCTCCATCAGGGCCCTGTAGCAGAGGCAACCCCAATGCAGAAGTCTGGACTGGGGGTAGAAGGATGGAACCTGCTCCAATCCCCAACATATTATTGAGACTTGTGATGGCAGAAAGATCCCCTATGAGACACATTTTAGAGATAAAATAATGTAAATGGTTCTTGCTATGGTTCAGGATTCATAACAGAAGTTTGCTAACTTTTCTGGTATTGATTTTTTTTCTTTCAAAAGGGGTTTTCAACCCTTGGTTCCTGTCAATTTAAGCTCCATCCAGCCTACTTTGTCCCCAAAACAGACATGCAGATAAGAGTTCATTAAATAAACATTTCTTAGCGTTTTTTCCCCCAACTCATATCTCTGAAACAACTTCAGCCCTAACCATTCAAATATAATAAATAAAAAATAAAATGTTACTACCTTTTATGCTAGTTATTGTGTACCATTTCACGGTGATTTTTAATGATAAAAAACACAAGATCGCCATATTTCCAATATAAAATGACCTTGATGAAATGTTTTTAAATAAATAGAGTGAGCCATGGCAATGATGAGTGGTAGAATTGATTTTGGTGCATTTAAATCTTTTTTGTAGTGCTATTTTACGTATTTTAGCTCCATCCACCCTACTTTGTCCCCCAAACGGACATGCTTATAAGTGTTCATAAAATAATATTTATTAAACATTTTTTCTTACTTTTTTTGACTCAAATCTCTTGAATTACTTTAGCACTATAGATTAAAAAAATACCGTATAAAAAATTCTATGTATTACCCTTTTTATGCCAGTTATTGTGCACCTTGTCATAAGACGTGTGTTTATTCATCAAGTGTGCGTTCTAAACAGGTAGAGCGGAAAAAAAACACCAATTTCACCTTCTTTTCTCAAGCCTCTTCTTCTACCAAATCAAATGCGAGCAAGTTCATTTGTTCATATTAAATTAATTTTATATAAAGGCATATAAAATCAGAAGATATATGTAAGATAGGAATCACTTCAAAGTGCTTATCCACCTCTAACCAAAAAAATGACAGCAATAACGCTGATTATAAGCATGTAAAATTAATTTCATATTTAAGATGTGATATATTCTCACCTAATGATCCTAAGGACCTGTCTATCCTCATGCATGTCCATCCACTTGCTCTGAAGTAAGGGCAAAGTTGAAAGTGTCCCCCTCTCTTTGTCCCACACTGCAGAACTTGGATGTCGATTTTTCAACTGTAAAAGCTCCGCTCACGGCATGCCCAGTTACGGACATGGACCCAGATTCGCACCCATGCATACACGCAGGAGCACACAAACTTTTCCTTTCACACATAGCCCACTTTTAGACATCCATATCTAGTGGCACGTAACGTTTCATTCAATTCTGAAGACGTTTAGTGGATAAAATAGCTCTTCAAATGCGCTGAGTCCACAAATTAAGACCTCAGTGCACTGTGCACTGTCAGAAAGTAAAATTTAGATCCCTGGTGATCGAATGATGCAAAAAAAGGTTGCAACATGTTGGTTTCTGACCGTGTGTTTATGGCGCCATAACGTGTTTTTAATGGAAGTCTATTGTCTATTTTACAGACAAAGTAGGGTGGATGGAGCGAAAATGCAGCGACTGAGTTCTACAGGCGACATGATTTTTTTTTTTTTAAATTTGGAGAAAAATAAGAACTCTCATCAAATTTGATGCCTCCATCTGTAAAAATGTGACTGTCAGCTCACAATAAAGATGAAAAATGACAAACGTCCACAAAACGGACACAGAAGGAACAAAAGGTTTATTTTAGAAAAAAGAAGTGATGGGGATGTTGGCAGGAACTCACCTAATACAGTGGGGTTAAGCAGAGTAGGCAGTAGATGTTGAAGAATGGGGTTGTCTTTGCCTTGGAGAGATAGGGGGATGAGGGTGTCAACACCAGCATCTGAAGATACCTAGAAAATTACCATGGTGTAGAGCAAAGAAGAAAATAAAATAAATATTTCTTGCAAACAAGTCAATAGACACAGAAAAACAAAAATAAGATTCACTTAACAAATACATGCACACCTAAAGTTTTAACAGTTTGGACACACTTTGATCAACCCCTATTATAAAGTTTATGAGATGGGCCTCTGAAAACGAATTTCAGCAGAAATTAACGACATCTGCTGTGTTTTCTGAATAAGCAACTAAAACAGAGTAACCACAGAGAAATGAAGAAAATTAGCACTTGCTTTTTGGGGGGTGAAATAAGGACAGGCAAAAAGGAATCAGCATTAGGGAACAGGGGAGCCTACCTGAGGTGTGGTATGTTGGGTTTGCTGTGCAGGAACTAAATGGGTGTGGGGAGGCGAGTGGAGCTCAGCAGAGCCCAGGGCAGCAGTGAGCAAGGCTGGGCTGAGGGGCAGGAAGGCTGTATGGGGAGGAGGAAGACCAGCAGGGAGGAGCAGAGACTGCAGGGCTTGGATAGAGCCCTCAGCTCCAGGAGGAATGGGGAGGAGGCCCTGTGAAACTTCCAAGAGGCCTGGGCCAGGTATTGATGATGGATCAAGGAAGCCAGAGGTCTTGTCCAAGGTGAGGCCCTCCAGTGTGGTGGGCATCTGCTGTGTCTGCTGAAGAGGGACTTCCACGCTGACCTGGCTTAACTGAGCCAGCCCTGACAAAGGTAACAAAGGCGCCTGCTGTTGCCCAAGCAACAAGGAAGCCATAAGCAGAGATTGAAGGCTGGGTTTTTCTGTAAGCCCCAGGTCTGCTTCCTGTGCTGTGGAAGGATTTGAGGCTGAACTTGGGGCTAGTAGTGGGTTAAGCTGGCCCAAAAGGTTCAGCGGAAGCTCCCCTTGGGCACCACTTAACAAGGGCAACAATGGAAACAGAGGACTGTTGTTTATCTGTGGTTGCTTATGATGTTGATCCTGGTTCTGCTGCTGTGTCTCTTGTTGTATCAGTAACTGCTGATTTTGCTCTAATTGCTGCTCTGGGATATTTTGTGGTGGTTGTGGTGTAGCATTAGCAGGAGGTATCTGTGTGTGTTGACCTCCTAACCACAGCCCACCAAGGGGCAATGAAGCCAGGACTGTAGGGTCTAGGAGTGATGGTAGACCTCCAGTGGATGACAGAAGCTGAAGCAGCTGCTCTTGGTTCATGAAGGGGAAAGCCTCTGCAAGAGGTAATGGGGTGGTTGAGTCACCAACAACTGAAGGTGTATGGAGACTGTTATCCCCAAGACGTGCAGAGATGTTGGGCCCAGGGCTGATGGATGCTGGAGGTTTGGTCAGTACAGAGACCTTAGTGTCCTCTGGCACTGTAAGGGAGACAGCTGGCCCTGCAAGAGAGACACAGATCATTCATTTTTCAATAAAGAAATGTTATACAACAGTAAGCTGACAGAAGGCATTGATTCACAAGGTCATACTAGTGGTTTAGCTGATAATTGTATCCAAAACAATGAATAGTCATACATCAAGTGAAGTGTCCTTTCTACTGTCAGTATGGTAACCAATGCATTTACATATAGGCTTAGAGAAACACTCTAAATCAGTCTTAACAGGAGTTTGCCATGTTGTGGCAGCAACTATCAACACAATTTGAACCAATCCCTGCAAATTCTGTGCTAACTTGCAAGTTTTTTTGTGAATATTTTTGACATTTTTGCCCTTAATAAATTAGAACAGCCAAAGAGAGACATAGATTAAAATATATGTGTGTGTACATACACACACACACACACACACACACACACACACACACACACACACACACACACACACACACACACACACACACACACATACATACATACATACATACATACATACATACATACATATATATATATATATATATATATATATATACAGTATACACTCACTGGCCACTTTATTAGGTACACCTGTCCAACTGCTCGTTAACACTTAATTTCTAATCAGCCAATCACATGGCGGCAACTTAGTGCATTTAGGCATGTAGACATGGTCAAGACAATCTCCTGCAGTTCAAACCGAGCATCAGTATGGGGAAGAAAGGTGATTTGAGTGACTTTGAACGTGGCATGGTTGTTGGTGCCAGAAGGGCTGGTCAGAGTATTTCAGAAACTGCTGATCTACTGGGATTTTCACGCACAACCATCTCTAGGGTTTACAGAGAATGGTCCGAAAAAGAAAAAATATCCAGTGAGCGGCAGTTCTGTGGGCGGAAATGCCTTGTTGATGCCAGAGGAGAATGGCCAGACTGGTTCGAGCTGATAGAAAGGCAACAGTGACTCAAATAACCACCCGTTACAACCAAGGTAGGCAGAAGAGCATCTCTGAACGCACAGTACGTCGAACTTTGAGGCAGATGGGCTACAGCAGCAGAAGACCACACCGGGTGCCACTCCTTTCAGCTAAGAACAGGAAACTGAGGCTACAATTTGCACAAGCTCATCGAAATTGGACAATAGAAGATTGGAAAAACGTTGCCTGGTCTGATGAGTCTCGATTTCTGCTGCGACATTCGGATGGTAGGGTCAGAATTTGGCCTCAACAACATGAAAGCATGGATCCATCCTGCCTTGTATCAACGGTTCAGGCTGGTGGTGGTGGTGTCGTGGTGTGGGGAATATTTTCTTGTCACTCTTTGGGCCCCTTGGTACCAATTGAGCATCGTTGCAACGCCACAGCCTACCTGAGTATTGTTGCTGACCATGTCCATCCCTTTATGACCACAATGTACCCAACTTCTGATGGCTACTTTCAGCAGGATAATGCGCCATGTCATAAAGCTGGAATCATCTCAGACTGGTTTCTTGAACATGACAATGAGTTCACTGTACTCAAATGGCCTCCACAGTCACCAGATCTCAATCCAATAGAGCATCTTTGGGATGTGGTGGAACAGGAGATTCACATCATGGATGTGCAGCCGACAAATCTGCGGCAACTGTGTGATGCCATCATGTCAATATGGACCAAGCTCTCTGAGGAATGCTTCCAGCACCTTGTTGAATCTATGCCACGAAGAATTGAGGCAGTTCTGAAGGCAAAAGGGGGTCCAACCCGTTACTAGCATGGTGTACCTAATAAAGTGGCCGGTGAGTGTATATATATATATATAAAAATATAAATATAAATATATACATATATATAAATACATATATATATAAACATATAAACACATATATAGACACATATATATACACATATATATGCATATTTACATATATAAATATATACATATATAAATATATATTTACATACATATATATTCATATATACACATAAATATGCATATTTACATACATATACATATATACACATATATGCATATTTACATATATACATATATACATATATGCATATTTACATATATACATAAATAGATATACATACATATATATACATTTCTATATATATATACATATATACATATACATACATATATACATACATATATACACATATATACATAAATACACATATATTCATATATATACATATACATACATATATACATATATGTACATATATACATATCTGCACATACATACATATCTGCATATATACATACATACATATATACATATATATATCTATATAAATATAAATATAAATATATAAATACATATATATATATATATAAACATTTATATACACACACACACACACACACACACACACACTACAGGCCAAAGGTTTGGAAGCAAGATCAGATTTGTACAAAAAAATCATAGTTTCATATATATAATTTGCAACACAATAAACATGACTATTGTTTAAAGAGTAACTTATAAGAAGACATTTTGACTATAATTATAAAGTATTTGAGTTACTGTTGCTTAGACTTTGCTTTCTTTAAAGTAACCTGCTCTGGCTTTAACAACAGCTTGGCATATACCAAGCATTCGTTCCACAAGTTTTTTAAGGTATGTTCCAGGGATTGCATTCCAAGCTTTCTTAAGTTCATTAAAAAGAGACTGCTGATTCGTGGGACGCATTTTTCTGATCAATCGATCCAATTCATCCCGCACAAGCTCAATTGGAGAAAGGTTTTGGAGACTGAGGAGCCACAAGTCTTAGTCCAGATGGAGCAGCATGGTGCTGGAGGATGGAGTGGTACTGTTCCTTCTTCATGATACCCTTTACATCAAACAAATCTTCTACTCTACCACCTGCAAAACATCCCCATACCATGGAACTACCACCTCCATGCTGAATTGTGGGTGTAACACATGGTGCTTTCAGATGTTCACCAGTTTGTCTGTGGACATAGACTCTGCTTGTTTCTAGTCATCACAAGTCCAATTTTTGTGAGCTTTTGCCCACTCATAACTCTTTTTCTTGTTCTGTGGACAAAGTAGTGTTTTTTTGCAGATACACAAACCTTCAGACCAGCCTTTCTCAAACGTCATTTCACAGTTGTCAGAGATATGGGTTTCGACCTTGTCATGTTGATTTCCTCCCTTATTTTTAGTGCTGTCTTTCGCCAATCTCTCTTATTGGTGACAATGCTATGTTTATCCTCTGTTTTTGTAGTAACACTCTTTCATCCGGGTCTTTTTCTATCATCATAACTTCCAGGTTCCTCTAGTCTCTTCAGAGTGTAGTGGACTCCTCCTCTAGGCGTTTTGCAATTTCTCTTTATGTGTATCCTTCTTTCCTCAATGTACAAATCTGTACTTTTGTTTCTTTACTCAGTTGCTTCTTTCTAGCCATTTTTGGGGTAGTTTGAACTCAGTTGAGATTTATTGGGATTTTTGTATGCAGACTCTCAAAAGCCAAAAAGTTTAAGTGAATAATCCAACTGTGATTTGTTTTTTTTTGCTTTTGTACTGAAGTTGTGACTAAAACTCTAAAACTAAGCCCTAATTATCTTTTGCTGACATATATTTAGCAATGGTCTGTTGACATCAATGTATATCTAAAGGTAAATGCAGTAAAATGGTGCATTTTCATGAAAGCAACATCTGATCATGGAGTAAATACATAAAACTCATGCTGGAGTTTAAAAAAAGCATTGTGAACAAAAACTTGAAGTTACTCCCAACTGTTCGGCCTGTGATGGCCTTGCTTCCAAACTTTTGGCCTGTGGTGTATACACACACATATGTATCTATCCATGTATATATATATATATATATATATATATGTATATATATACATATAAACATACACACAAGACAGCTGTAATGATGTTTTGAAAACTTCAATTGTTCTTGCAATGTCACAGAAAAAATAAAGCCTATGGACAATGAAAGTAACTGCAAAACTAATTAAAGAGAGAGTTCATGACCACACATAATTTAAAATGATCAGTGTTAAAAGAGTGGAATTGGAATGAAAATTTTAAAAGAAGAATTTAATTCCCATTTCAAAAAAAGCTAGGACGGTGTATAAAATGTTGATAAAAACAGATTTCAGATAATTAGGTTGATCTGCAACAGGACAGTTAGATGACTGGGTAGAAAGGGGCATTCCAGAAAGGCTGTTTTCTTTCTAAGTATACATAGGAAGAGGTCAATCACTTTGTGAAACTATACAAAAAGGGACAAGGCCAAAAAATGCTTACTGGATTCCTGTAATCTTTAGGCCCAAGACAGCACTGCCTTAAATAGCAGACATGACTCCATAGTGGCTATCAGCTGCAGTGAGAGAACCGCACTGTGCCAAGACTAAACCAATCATAAAAATGTACTAGAAATACCAACAACTTTCTGGGTCCAAAAGCTGTTCAAGATCAACTATGGCAAAGTGCAAAACTGTCCTATGGCCTGACAAAGCGCATTTTCACATTCTATGTGGAAACCATGCATGCTGTGTTTTTCCCTCTAAAGTAGAGAGGGCTCAACCATCTTGTTAGCACACAGTTCAAAAGCCAGAATCCCTGTTGGTATAGAGATGCATAAGTGCCCATGACATGGGTACATTACACACCTGGCAAGGTCTCATCAATGTTCAGAAATACATATAAGTTAAAGAGCAAGATATGCTGCAACCCAATCAATGTCTTTTTCTGGACAGACCATGCATATTTCAGCAAGACAATGCACAACCTCATTCTGCATGTATTTCAACACCATGGCTTCACAGTAGAAGAGTCCAGTAGCTTAACTGGCCAGCCTGTAATTCTGACTTATTGCCTGTCAAAACATTTGGTCTCGGTCATCCTAAAATGAAAAATATGAGACCTTGATATCCTTTATCCTTTATTAGGTAAGACAGAGACAACATTTTCTTTCCACAACTCCAGAAAGTTGTCCCCTTGGTTTCCAGACCATGACAGTTTTGTCCCCCAACATTTGATAAGTTGTTTTTGCACTATTTGCAGTAAAGCATGGGATTTATATGATTTATAGACTTTCAATCTCTGTTGTTGATATCATTTTACCATCCGACCTTTTTTTGGAATCAGGGATATGGGAAGATTATATTATATATTGCATTTAAAAGGTCAAATTAGATCTTTATAGCCAAAGACACACTTGAGATTGAAAAATATCCCCACCTGTAGCAGGACTTCCTTGAGAAGACATGCTGACGTCAGTGTTCTGCTCTGAGGAGCGGCCCTCTCCCTGGGGCACAGTGGAAGATGCTGCTAGAAGGGCCAGGACAGGGTTGCTGAGATCAAGAGGCTTTGGGGAGATGGATACCGCCACTGAAACATTGCTGTGAGAGGAACTGAGGTCCACTGCTGTAGATACACCGTTTCTACACATTTCTGTTGCCACTGTGCCCTGTGGCGCAGATTCCTGCAATATTTCTTGGGAAACTGAGTCTACTGTAGGAATGTGGTTCTCAGTAGGCCGATACTTGTCTAAAGGGGTGGGGGATGTATGTTGATTTGGACTTCTGTTACTTGAAACCGATTGTGAGTTGGATTGTGCTGTTGGAGAGGAAGAAAACCTTTGTAGGGGATTTAATTTAGTAGGCTGAGACTCTGATGGAGACAGATCCACAGATCCAAACTGAGAGGAAGTGGGAGGAGGAGAAAGCTGTTGTGACAACAAGGGTAGTAGATTAGTGTTACTGGACTGGCCCAGAGACTGAGTCTGTGGCTGCCTGATGTAGGGATGAGGGGTACAGGAAGAGGGTGACAGCATGGTGATCTGTTTATTAGGGTGTCCCCCTTCGGTAAACACAGATCCAGGCTGAGCTGAAGCAGAGCTGGATGATGAGGCTGTAGCTTGCCCATTCTGCACACTCAGCAGGTGTAACAAAGCAGACAGAGGTTGTGTTGGAGGATCCAGGCCAAGAGGAGTAGATGCCAGACCTGTAGTGAAATCCAGAGCCTCGTTTTGACGAGGAAGCCTTGAAAGATGTGCTTTCTGTCTAGGAGCAGTGAGCCTTGGCATCTGCCCGGAGAGGAGAGGATGATTGTTTCCTACAATGACAGCATTCTGATTCTGCACAGTTGAGGTAGAGGAGGAGTGCAAGGAGGAGGGAAAGGAAGAAGATGAGGAGGACAGATTGATAACTGTAGCAGAAACTGCATCTCCTGGTGTGGTTTTCCTTTGTCCATTAGGAAGCTGATGGGTGTCTCTTAGCATACTAAGCACTGTGGGAGATCGGCGATGCCTCTTCCTATGCGATGCATTCCGATCTGTGGGAGGCAGGTGAGGCAAGGAAGATGCCAGGGACTGGGCAATGGAGTGGGATGGAGGAAAGAGGACAGAGGAGGCTGCTGCAAGGGAGGGGTGGGGATGCCTGGTAGGAGCAACTGAGGGGGGAGGATGGCTGTTATGTAAAGTGCTGTTTGTTACCTTTGATGACTGTTGCTCCAGAGAAGAGGGCAAGCTCGCAGGGTTGCAGACCACACTTGAGCTCTGGGTTATCTGGTTAGCCAGCTGAGCTTTAGCAGCTGCAGAGAGCAGGCTACTTGCAGGATAAGTAGCTGGGTGTGGCAGCTTGCTCTGATGGCTGTGGTGATGGTTTGGAAATTGCCCCAGAGGTAATGTGGAAGGCCCTGCAGAATTTAACCCAAAACTTGGTGATCCTGAACTGGCTGTAGGATTCATGGTAGTCTTTGAAGAAAGAGCATGAGGGATGCTACTGCTTTGGTTGGTCAGTGAGGAGGGGTTAGTAGAGTTGAGAAGATGGTGATTATTAGTGCTGCCGTTGCCTGAGTTCTTAAACTGTTCCAAGATGTCTTCCAGCTTGTACTTAGGAAAGTGGGAACTGGGATTAGGGGAGCTACTAGAAACAGGTGAGTGTGGGGAGGAAGAGGTGGATCTCCTTTTCAGAGGCAAGTTATTTCCAATTGGTCCTCCACCTGGTGCTGCTGTTGACCCTCCACCTGCTGTTGTTGGCCCTCCTATGTGATCAGACAGAGGGGAGGGTGAGGCTGGCGGGTGACGGGACCGCCGTTGAGGAGAAACACAGTTTAGGTTATGCACAGAGGGTGAGATGGAAGGAGAAGGAGAAAGGGGGGATCCTCCCACAATCACACCATGAGGATGAGGAGCGGCAGTCTGTGCTACTCTTCCTCCACCCATGATCAAAGGAGAAGAGCGAGGTGGTGAGGAGAGGGGCCCTAGCCGAGGAGAAGCTGGAGTTTCTATTCTTTGACCTTGATTGACATGTTGGGGTGTCGGGGTGCGGGGGGACCTCTGAGCAGCATTGTGACTAAGCTGGCAGCTGGGGGAAGAGCTTGAAGATGTAGGGATAGAAGTAGGATGGTGAAGCCTTCTCAGGGTGTCTAAGGGATGAAGAGAGTTTGTGCCTGTGTGAAGGACAGGAGAGGAACCATTGTAAGGATAGACAAACTGGTACGAGGATTTGGGACTGCCTGTTGGGTTTGGATAAAGGTTTCTGTTGGGACGAGAATGGACAGGATGGAGTTTTGGATGGTAAATTCCATTGTCCTCTTCTTCCCGCTCCAAATGTACTGCCTTTGGATCCTGGCTGTCAATTTCACTGCTCACCTCTGAAAGTGGACACACGTGTGCAAACAACAAATCACTTAATTGTTGTGCATTAAATTTGACAGAATTATTTCTTATCATAGAAGGGTCAACATGGTCCATTTACACAATGTGATGCACAAACAACATACTAAACCTCAATATTATAAAAAAAAAAAAAACAGAAGAAAAAAAGGCCCAGGTTTACCTTAAGTCCAACAGAAATACATTAACATTTCTTACATGATGGTGTGCGTCATTTTTGTATTGTATTTAGCAATGTGTTTTATTGGATACTCAATTATTTTTGATAGGAATGCATCAACTGAGCCAAGAAGTGGATGTCAATCAGATCCTGACCCAAAAAGATGGGCTGGGGTGACCAAAGGCAGCTCTTTGAGGCAAATATATTTGGCCTAGTCACACAATTAACTACAGTTGCAACTTGCAATATGCTCAAAGCTCATGATCCTGAAAATTTAATCAAGAATCCTAAAAATCACATTTGCATGCATGCATGCACACATGTATGTATGTATGTATGTATGCTTGTATTTATGCATGTATGTATGTATTAGGATATTTGTATTTGTATTTGTTGAGGGGGGAAAAGTATTTGTATTTGTATTGGAGTAAAATTCAAAATAGGCCTAAAAATCCATTTTTTGGGGCGTTGCACTTCTATTTACATTATGTAAGTGTAAGTCTTCCTTAATAATCCATTATGATAATTATGGATATTCAATATTGGTTGATGTTCTTCCATAAATCCAGCAATGAACATGTAACAAGAAACATAATTGAAAAGAAAATAACATAACAGCTATTACCTCATCCATGGTTAAATCAACAACTAATTAAATACCACTGTGAACATTATGAACCCCACCACCACCCGTCCTTGTTGGAGGACGCTAAACAGACAGAATAAAAACAAATAATACTTAAAAGCACTATTCTTTCTAATGCACAGAACGCCAAGAACTAAACTTTATCAACCCCTGACAGGGAGATCTGGCAGAACAAAAGTTAGTTTTTGACCTTTTTAACCAAAATATTAACGTTGCACTGTTGACAGCCTATTGTCTAAATTACTGATATATATATATATATATATATATATATATATATATATATATATGTAGGCTTAAAAATTTGGGATGCACCTGTTTCAGCTGCATTTATGCCCATTGAAAATAAACGCATTTTAGTACAGTGCAAATATACTCTTCTAAAAAACTTAACGCCCACTGATTGAAACACAGTTACATAGAATATGTTAACAATAGTGATTTTATTTGTGATTGCATTTCCTTATTTTTTTGCCAAATATTTAAGTTTTTCTGCTGCTTATAAGACAGGGACTGACAGTCTCACCACTAAATCTATTTGGAAACACATTGTTTTGTTTACAAAAAAATATATCATAAAAATAACCCTAAACTGCTGAGAGCTTCTGGCTTTAAAACAACCAGTAATGCCCAAAATAAGACTTTGTTCAATTTCTTTTTCCTAGTAACAGAAGTCATAAAGATACCTTTCATATATAACAGGCTGATACCATGCCCTTTTATTAAACAAACTAGTTTGTTTTTTATCCTATTTACACAACAGCATCTAATTTCTGTCTCTACATGGTCGCGTGTTTAAATTGTTTTATAAATTGCACACTGCAAAATTTTCCTCCAGTGCAAACATCAACACACTCACAGGAACCTGCCCACACACAGGTGAACACTCTCTCACCAGCGGAGGTCTTTTTGTGTGGTTGTGCCTGACAGACACACACAATATGAAAAAGTCTGTTTGAACCATTTGAAAATACAGCAGTCCGCTTGGTTTACTTCAGACTTTTCTGGGCATGTCTCTCTACCCGCTGTAACTCAGGGAATGTGCTGTTAGCATGCTGCATTCAGGGATGCTCAGAAACAGAAGATGAAGGAACAAAAACTGGTGTGGACGCGATTTTTCTAGGATTTTTTTTACGATTTTGAGGAGGGGTTGTGTTTTTTAAACGATAAGAAGGTGGAATGAAAACCAAAACAAGCTGAAATAAAATAGGTCTGATGAGGCTATTTTAAAAAATGTAAGGAGTAGGAAGTACAGATAACTGCGTGAAAATGTTAGAAGAAGTAAAACGTCGGCTGAAAAATAATTACTTCAGTAAAGTATAGATACCCCAATATTTCTACTTAAGTAAGGTAACAAGTATTTGTACTGCATTTCCTGACACCTCTGGTGTTGCCAAGTCTGTGTCAGTTAGACTCTTTTACTCTCTCCCCTTCCCCGACTACTGAACGTCACTTGCCAACTCATCCAGGCATGCACTGCGGTCTCATGAGGAAATGTAGCTTTTTAATAAGATGTTTTTCTTGTTCCCGAATAAAAAATATTTTTTAAAGTATTTGTTTGAAATAAGTATTTGTAAAAAATACGTTATTTGTGCCTTTACAAATACCACATTCAGGTTCGCCTCCACCCCTAGTATGTATGTATGCATGCATGTTTGTCACACTTAATATTTTATTTAACTTGGATTTACAAAGAAAAGCCTGATGTTGTCAAAAAATAACTTTTTGTCTCCTCACATTGAGGATGCGGTCGGTAAACCCAGGTATAAGTATGATGACTCATAAAGTTGGATTGGTGCTCTCTAATTCACAGACCCCCTTTTAAAGTACAGAAAGACAAAAGTAGTTTGTTAGAATGCCTCAACTTACCTGGAAGGTGAAAATTAGCAAAGGGCAGCTGTGAGGCCTGCATACTGCGACACAAAGCAGCCATTGCTACCACTTTCCGGCGGTGGTTACACAGCTTGGTCATGTCTTGCTCTGCTTTGCCTAATGGCTGGCTGTGTTGCTCCACCCTCACTCCTACAGTGAAGTTGAAAACCTGCAGGAAACCAGATATAAGAAGATCAGAAAGAACATATGCTGAGCAGTCAATGTCAGACCTTTCTTAGTTGACAATGGTTATGGGCTAGAGTGTTATCATAGTATACACACTTATGACAAGACCATTGCTTATTGCCACTTGTCACATTAACTTATGTACACCACATTCAAACAGAGGCAGAGGCTGGTATATTAAATGACCGTCAGTTGTTACTTGTCCCATTCATACATATTCACAGGGAGCAAATTTCTTCTAGCGAGGCGATTCTTTTCTAATCCATTTTTGACCAAAAGCCCACTGGAAGAGAGAGCTACATGTGGTCTAAAAAGAAGAGACAATGCAAATTTTTAACACCTAGTTGAGTTGCTTAAGGCTCCCTGCCAAAAGGTGGCAACCAAGAGAAGTTACCCAGGGGACTTGCATTTGGTCTCAAGAGACCAGACAATGTAAGACCCTCATACCAAAGTTCAGGCCATTAAAACTTCCTGCCATATGGAGATGAGTATCCACATCCAGTCTGGCAGCCAGACTCAGGTCATTATTCATCAGATAAGAGACTTGTCACTGTGTTCTCTGGTGAAAGAAGAACTACAACGGGTCTAGGGCTGCACAATATATCGTTTGAGCATCATCATTGCGATGTACATGTGCGTAATAGTTACATCGCAGAGCCTGCATGTGCTGTGCAGCGATCCACCAATCACATTCCTTCTTACCTCAGTTGCCAATCAGGCTACCCTGCCAGGCGTCAATCAAAATCAGAGAGGAGGAAACCACAACCCTGCACATGTTCTGCACATGGAGTGAGTTGCTAGTGCTGCTGGTGTTGTGCCGAGAAACACGTGTCTGCTGAGAATTACTTTCGGAACATAACTCATCACTGTTAAGCCCCATAGATAAGATTTGTATGGGTTTTAAATTGTACATTTCCATAGACCACTCTACTAAAAGCGGTGCGCGTTTTGCGAGGTGCTGGAGGACATGCGTTTCTGGGCACAACACTGGTAACAACAACGATTGCAAAATCATCAACAAAGAAGAGAAAACCACCGAAAATTATGACTTATTGCCAAAAAGAAAAGTAAAGTCAGTTATCTGGAATAGTTTCGATTACAAGGAGGATGATGTCGACTAAAACACGTGTTCTGTGTTCATCTGTTTCCACAAAGTCCTAGCACAATAAATCTAAAAATATCTCTAAGACAGAGAGAAGCCATTCTACTAACATTCACAAAAAGAGGTAAGATCAGTGCAGGTTAACTGTCCTCAAGATTTCAGCAGTGCCGCATTGGTCATCTGGTGAAAATTCCTGCATTTTTTAATATCGAAATATATATCGCAGAGTTGAAAAAAATCGCAGTGTTAGTTTTTTCCAATATCGTGCAGCCTTAAACGGATCTAATGTGGATGTTTGATGGACCGTACAATAGGATTTTTTGTCTGTATGTAACATTTGCAGAAAAGGGGTCTTTATCCCACTCTTCTAGGTAGCCCAGAAGCTGAGAAACTAATCAGACAGATTTATTCCCGATCTCTGAGATCAACAGTTTTCCAGAGTTTCATGCACTTTTAAGAGTTGGAATGATTAACTATGAAACATAACCTTACCCTACCAAAAATTGTTTAGAAATGTTCAATTTAGATTCTTATCATTTACATAGTATTTTAACTATTAGGTGGTTATAAAGTCATTGAATAATCTGAATTCAAGTATAAAGAATCCATTCTTAATCCCAATGAAGTTTGTTCACATGCGTTTACTCTTTTGTTGTTCACAGTTTCTATTTGTTACTGTTTCAGCTATTTAGCATGTTCGGTGCTCTTTTGAATAGTGAAACTGAAAGTATAATGAGAATGTTTTGTACATTTCATTATATATGCTTAGTATCAAATCATTTGTTATGAATAAAGCATTTAGCAACATAATTCATAGTGAGTGAGTGTTAGATCTGACTCTTTTACCAGCCAAAAGTACAAGCTGGATAAAATATTTAGGACCCTGAAGGTCTTCTCTTAAAAAAAGCTGCAGCAGGAGACCAGCAACCAATCCTCTCTCTCCTCCCACACACACACACACACACACACACAACAGTATGAAGAACATATAACCAGTAAAGTTGTGGTGCTTACTTTCTTTTTATGTCCTTCTCTTTGTAGCCCTTATTGTCCTCTTCTAGTCCCCTCATTTTTCACATAGTCTCTTGAGTTTTTCTGAGTTTTACACCACATGTTCGTTCACATTCTTTGATTTTTTCCTTGTCTCTGTTCACATTCAATTTTTGTATGCATTGCTGTCAGAGACTAAGTCTTTAACTTACTTTTCTTTAGTTTCACAGTCACTTATGAAATAGTTTTGACTGGTCATCGAGCTTCTTTTTCAGAGTTCTCTGCATTATTTCAAAGTTGCCTCTGAACGTCACACAGCGGGCCCAAAGTCGCCCTGTGAGCCAGATTATTGGTGTGAGACCAAAGGCTCATCCAAAAGATCCATAAGGCGCTGGTTCTGCATTAACCCATTTAAACTGGGACAGCATGTAGGTATTTCAACCCTTCCAGCCAGGAGAAGCGTGTAAGCATTTCAACCTTCCAAGCCGGCGGCGCAGCTGCGCATTTCTTCTCTTCAAGCTGGGAGCGTGGATACGTCATTTTGTAACATTCTGTAGTTTTTCAATTATTCCTGGAGTCGTGATGAATCAAATCATCATACCCGTCTGCCTCTGATAGGCTAATAACGCGATCGGATTCATGCTCGGATCTTGCTACGTGCTTCATGAGTAATGTAAACAATGACGGAGGCAGAGAGCAGCTTCGTCGGAGAAGCATCCAGCAGTGTGAACAACCTCTTCATATTGAGTGCTTAGGCTCACACTATCAGCATTTTCTTAGAGTGTTGCATGACTTTGGGTGAGCACAGAGATGAACACACTGTCAGCCACGTATTTATTCATGCTTTTGTACTGGCACTATACTGGGGCAGCTGTATACCCTTTCAACACTTTATTTTTTATATTTACAGTTGTATTGATGGACCTTTTATCATGATTGCCACTTTACAGAAAGCAAATTGTTTGTTATTCTCCAGTGCAGAGCCTTTACTTTTATATATACAGCCTCTTAATTTTATTTGAGTTTGTTTGTTCAAGGTTTTCAATAATGTGATGAAGGTTCGGAAAAATAAAAGATAGTTATCTTGAAAGCCACATGTGTAAGCTCTCAAATACTTGTTAAATTTTGTTTCTATTTGCTACAGAGGCTGAGATATCAGCTTTTTGTAAACCTGAACACTTCAGAAAACCTCAGGATCTGGGGGCCCTTCTCAAAATTGCCCTCAGGATTTCAGGGGCATCTCTCAGACAGGGTTCAGGTCTTAATGGGTTAAGGCCTGTGAGCTGTGACTCATGGCCCATCCTTCGGCTGACTTCTATCTTCTGCTGAGCTGAACCTCTCAAACTGCTGGTAGCCTGGACCTTCGGTGAACCTGCTCAATCCTCTCCAAGGACCAGCCTCACTTAAGTATGCAAACCTCCAGAGCTCCAAACAGGGCAGATGCTGTCTTATGCATTCATGATTCAAACAATTCAAAATTACTTAGATTAATCCCAAATTCATCCAAATCCACATCTAAATGTATCTCTACACCACAGTTAATGTAGGTTAATATGTTAGAGCATATTCACTTACTAACAGTCAGATCCTGACCATCATTTACCCTGTGATAAACAGATCTTTTTTTTTTTTTAAAGTTCTTCTTTGTTAGTGTTCTTCCAGGAGTAAAGTCCCTGAAATGAGAATATCAGCTTGAGCTATAAGATTGATGTAAAACTGACTGAATATAGACTTAATATTTTATTTATGACCTTTTGTTTTTCTTTTTTCCGCCGATATTAGAGGGATATTATGGCGTAAAATTAAGTTCAGGTCAAACACACCATAGCACTGAGTTAGACACCCCCTCGAGAGATGACATGACTTCCATGTGCTCAGGCCCAGAGTTAAAGGTACAACTAATGGGGCCAAGGACTGCAGCCTTTGTAGGCATATGAGGTTCTAGATCTACCCACTAAGATAAACTACTTAGGTACCTATCTTTTTTCTGTTTGATGCCAATAGCTTTATGATCATCAAATAGGGGTTACAACACAACAGCTTAACAGTATTTCTGTAATGAGACCTGGCTGCCAGTATAATTAATTTAATGTTACTCAATGACCATTGGTATGTACAATAACAGATTGCACACTAATTTAAAGACAAGACAATCTTAATATTAAGTTTTTTTGTCCAAGCACCTCACCTTTACCACTCAAAACAAACATAAACACTACATACTCATGCATAAGCTATACCTTATGGATGATGAGTGGACACTCAAGACCACATTTGCAGGTGCCATCGGTCAACAGATAGGTCCTGACCTCATCCAGGGAGGCTAGAGCAGTGCCACTGGGACTAAAAACAGAAAAATAGAGGGAAAAACTGTAACAGAAAACTTGTGGCATACAGAAAAAAAGAAATGTGTGCTCAGTTGAACACATTGAAAAAGCTCTGTACGTAATTGCATTAATGTCTGTCTGTGTGTCTATCGCCCGTCAACCTTGTCTCCAAAACTTTTCTACCTCTTGCTAAGCTATAATTCTAACAGTGAATTTTAAGGCAGAACAATTGCATCTCAATGACAAGGTTGTCCACTACTCTTATATTAAATCACAAAGAAATGTGCACTTAAAGGTGGGGTAGGCAGGAATCTGTTAAAGAAGCATCTTTTTTGTGGTGTATATACAAAAAAACTTTTAATATCAGTCAGTAGCTATTAGTTATTAATGACATTTGGTAATGTAATGATATCGCCGTGTTTTGTTATGCCTGTGCAGTCAACATTTAAATTTTTGAGCCCAAACAAAGTTAGCGTGCTACAGTATCAGACAGTAGAAACCAATCAGAAAGTACAGAAAAATGTCTGAATCTTCCTATGGCCAAGACTGCCAACACGAGCAAGAAAATGAAGTAAATACCGGAGACTCTAATGGAGACAACAGGCGCATAAAAAAGAAGGAAACCGGACAAGAGCTAAGAAGCCGGGTCTACATCAGCATAAATGATGTGGGACGCTTCAGGGTAACCTTTCTGCTGAAAAGGTAAACTGCTTTAACAAAGTAAACCAAGTGTCTGTAACAGAAGTGTTTCTTGTCAAATGGGACCTGCTGCGTGTTGTGGCGCTGCTAAACTGTTAACCTCGGGTCCTGGACTATGTCACTTTATCCTAGTTTTAGAAGTCCTGCAAACATTGTGTTTGCTGGTAGTCTATTGGCATCTGCAGTAGCACCAATGCTGTTTACTTTCACGTTGACTGGGCCCCATTTGTAATTATCTGAAGTATATATCGGCACTATATCTGAATTTAATCGAAATGATACGAGCGAGCAGGAGCGTCTGTTTGTGGGTGGGGCTTGCTGGAGCGGAGACTTAAGGGAGAGGAGGAGCTGAGGGGAAAACTGGTTGGGAGGGGTAGTGTTTACATTTAAGATTTCTCCCAAAAACTGACACTTCCTCAGATCCTGCCTACCCCACCTTTAACAGAATATGTAAAATCAGACTTAAATCGGGCATAAACGCAAAATCTGGTCATTTACCGTGTGTGCATATGAGTCAGTGGGCACGCAGCTGTATGCAGATGGGGTCATGTGAGTTGTCACTGTACTCATATTAGGTCTCAGTGAATGCAATGACATGGTATTCCCACTTCGTTCGCATTTTGGAGCTTTTGTATTTTGCATGTGTGTTTTCACTGAGACTGACGTAAATGGAGTGATGTTTAAGTCTTTGATATGGGGTAAGAGAGAATCAACAAAGTGTAATGTATGTTTATGTCAGAGAAAAACGAAGCAGTACATTTAGTTTCTATATCCATTAACAATACTAGTGAACAACACGTTTTTGTACAGACTGTGTAGGCATCATTGCTGTTAATGCTGTTTTCTTGTTGGTTTAGAAGGAGCACATAATGATAATCATCCTTATTAGGGATACAAAATACCATTTTTTTTTTTTTTTTTTAAATCAAACTCTGAATCTTGCATCCCTGCCTTTTCCCCACTGACTCTGCCTGCGTAACAGATACACAGGTATTTTTTTCATGCTCATAACAGTAAGAAGCAGAAGCAAATTCTTGAAGAAAAAGTAAAAAGCTGGTCCTAAAAAGTGGAATATATTGATGATTAATCTACCTTCAATCCACAGATCAGGCTCTGTCTGAGTGGTTAGTACTAACCATGACCTGTTGCCTCACTACTTTCCAGTACACTATTTTTATAATTTAAATGTTATGCAGGCTTTTATTTGCAAGATCCAAACCACTGTGCATCCAAATCAACTATACTGCTCAGCTCTGAGTAAAATCAAACAACCAAACATCCACAGCTAAATGCTTAAAAAATAGTCCACAGAAGCAAAATAATTATTTCCCTTTAAAAAATGTTGACTATACCGGCATTCTCAAACAATTTGACTCCCACAGTTACATATTCATAAGTGTGTACAAACAGATAGTTTAGGATTAAGATCTTAGATCAAAATATTAGTTATTAGCAAACAGCCTGTATTTGCTTTCTGATGAACTGAACTGACCAACCTGACATAGACCACATGACCACCATCCACTCTCCTCTGCCAGCCGATGGGGACTTGTATTGCAGTGGTGTGGACCCCATCCTTGTCCCCACTTAAAGTCTCACTGCCTCCCATCATTTTTTCACTGCGGCCTGCAAGCACCTGGAGAAAACAGTCTGGGGTTAATGCACCTTAATTTTACATTCCAATTTAATTTTACAGCTTTACATTCATATCAATTCACTTTGTGATGAATGTAAAAGGAACAAGAAAATTGTCTGAATTTTTTTTTTGTGTGTGTGTGTGTGTGGGGGGGGCATACTACATGAATGCAAAGTTTTAAATCACAAAGTAAACATATGTAATCATAATTTTAAAAGGTAAATTTACAAACATGCAAAGATCTCTGGCATAAAGATTTTTATTATTACATATAGTGTCTGAGAAAATGCATGATGACCCCCCCCCCCCCCCAAAGAAATTCAGAAAAACCCTACAAAGTGGAGGGAAGTATTCAGTGCAAAATTCTGAGTTTAATTTCCGAGAATTTAACTTGGATCATTTTTTAAATGATGCCTTACTGAAACAGTTGCACCTCTTGAAAATGATATACATGAAACTGCAGATTGTTGTGCCTCACAGTAAGCTGCTCAATAAGTAAATAAACACATTAGGGGTGTAATGATTCATCTACAACATTGGTGTATCAATTTATATTATAATGATCCAACAACATCAACCTGTGCTCGGCAAGTTGGCCTTCCGGATGATGCATATTAATCTAACACTGTTTTAAAATGTAAAAAAACAATTCTATAAATACTAGTAAATAACCCAGTAGATTTAAGCCCAGAAAACTGTACACAGATGTGAGTTTTTTCACTTTTAATAATGAAGACGTTAAGCATTACTTGATTCAGTCTACTGGTCTGTGACATCATTGCCATGCGCCAGCATACAACAAAACATATCATGACAGATGGCTGAGGAGAGGTCTGCGAGCAAGAAATGATCAAGCCACCATTGTGGTCAAGTGTATGTTGTATTTCTATTATTTATATGCTGAAAAAACAACAGCAAAACTAGCTGGAAAACCTACTGTTAATTTAACCTGAAGAGATGTTGGTTTGCACTTTATTTTTGGTACTAATACTGCATTATTTTTGCGTTGAAAAACAAAAGCAGAAGTAACAGAAATGTTGGATGCACTTACCGTACTTTCCTTGAAAATGTATTGAATATTGAAATTGAGAACAGAAAAGGTTTATCTTCTGTTAATTCAACTTGAATTGGAGGTTGCAATTTATTCAAATAAAATGTGAATACATTTGCTAATAATTGTTGTTTACTTCTTTGTTTATAACCATAATAAATTAATACCCGATTCCCTTACAAGTAACAACAGGAATCTAGGAAATTTCACCTGCACTGTCCAGTATACAGGTATTTATTTCACAGTCATACTGGTTGAATTTTTGGCTAAAAAGTTACTGAAATGATTTCAAGTTAGTGAATTGTTTGGGATCATATTGTTCTAAATGAACCAGTATCGTCCTTGAATCAAATCAGCAACCACGAAATCTAATCATTTTTAAAGTGAATCATTACACCGCTAAAAACATATGAAATGGATGTGCAACTGTCACAGCAGTAACATCTTTGAGACATCAATAGTCTAAGAAAAGCAACTTGCATTTCCAAAAGTATTGGGTGAGTTCATGTGATTATAAAAAAATCCAGTGACCAAGGGAAAACATAGAGCACTATAAATTAATACTCTGAAACAGTAGTAAAAAAATAGTCCCAGAATAATTAACAGAAGAATAAATATTACACTTTGCATACCTTGTCATCTTTAGGAAGCCAAGATCTGTTTTGGCTAAGGTATCCACTGTCCAATGTACATGCTGATTGGGTGAGAAGAGCACTGACTGCCAGTTAAAAGACTCAAAGTCCCAAGCAGCTGGTCTTCAGCTCAACTAAAAGGTTGTCCCCAGCAAAAGTTTATTGGTTCAGCTCACATCAGAGTAAGGTCTAGGATGGAGATGGACAGCCTGGAAAGATAGGTGGGGTGGGGGTTATGTAATGTGCCATGGAAATCCGGAGTATATAACTGTAGTTGTCACCTATATACTTAAATCACAGAGGTCTTACTTAACGTGACACCAGAATCTTTACTGTGTCAGATACAGAAAAATACTTGAAAGCAATATGTGGCTACTTTGATTATATCGATGCGTTTGCTGGGCCCGTGGTTTGCTGGATGTTTAGCTACAACATTAGCAGTTAAAATTCAAGCAATTTACAGTAAGAAGTTTACAGACAACCAAAGAAGTGCTTGAAATCAAATAACGAAAACCTTTATTGCTGGGCTGCATCAACAACTCTTGTAGTTTGCAGGGGTGGAGCAAGGTCCAACACCTACACGGTTGATACATAGCAGGCTAACAGCTAAGCTAGTAGCTACGCTAACGAGCTACCCTACTTTTAGTATGTTGTCGTGACAGCTGTCAGGCGCCCAAAACACTGCCAAAACAAAACTCTCGTGAGTTTACAACGAAAACATGAGATTGCCAGCACCTAATACGACTCTGCAATAAAAAATAAAAATCACTAGATTGCACTTACTCAATGAAAACCGATAGCTAGGGTGATGTTAGCCGGACCGATCATCCTTTCTCTGTGTCAGGCTCTCTGTGTTGACGAAGTTTTGGAGTCTTCGCCTCTCGGGCTCGCGGGAGAATCAAGTCGTAGCTGGATAGCTAACGGAACTGCAAGATAATGTGTTGGAAACGACCGATTCTTTGATGAATAGCCGTAAAATAAACATTTCTATCGTGTAAGCTCTAAATAACCGCTATCAATCAGCTCTGGGCGTGAGTACAATGTCTGCCAGTCCGATTTAAAAACAAAGGGCAATAACGCTTCTTTTTACTGCGCCTGGGATCTGGAGGCTAACACTACCTGCTAGGCTAGCAAAGCTAACTGACTAAAATTTACTTGAATCCTTCGGTCCCAACAACACCGAAGGATGTCTCGCTCCTTGTGCACGCTTATCCACTCTTATCCAGCTTTGGTCCGTTTCCTGCTATATCACCTGGAAACCAAATATATTCCGTCAACCATGACGACCCATATATCCTTAATTCACAGTTTCCCACTGTTTTTTTTTTTCTTACAGATTCCGAGCAAAAAAAAATAATGGAGTTTTTCTGTCGGGCATGCGCAGTCACAGCTTAGGGAGTATTATACCCGACATGCAACGGGACCTTTGTAGTGCTCCAGCCAGACATTAGTGCAAAGCTCCTTGATAGAGGACATGATAATGACAGGATAGTAACAGGCCGAGGTCACATGTCTACTCTTCACATCAATAGGCAGATTTCACCATTGTACACAGAATTTCGCCAGGCTAACCCAGTGATAAGAAAGATACTGAAATCAAATTTGGACTGATAAACCCAGATTCGAATAGGCCTCTAAACTACAGCATCCTTTTGTTTATCATTTTCACATCTAATTCTGCATAGGCCACCCAGTATATATGTCCCTAATTACACACATAAAATCCCCACAAATAAATGAAGAAATGTAACGTAATTGAAAATGTGTCCAGTTGTTGTTATACATTTTTCTTTTTCAAACACACCTTAAAAAGAATACCCTCGGTCTGACCGCATCGTATACAGCTGTATATCAAGCAGGCCCCATTTGTTGTGTGCTTATTACCGACTAAAATACATAATGCCCAGATAGAATAGGGTCAAGTACAGGCCATCAGCCCATGTACCTCAGAACTCAAGAGATTTACCTGCCCTCCAAACCTGAGCCATATAGTGGTTCCATATTTTGGTATTCTTTGCTGTTTATAACACCATCGGGTAGTCTTCAAAGCAGAGTTTTGTATTTATCTGCAAAATACATCATAAATCCAGTTTCTGTGGAGTATGTACAGCCTCACAGTTTCTAACCTTGCAATGATGTGAATGGGTAGGGATGCTATGATAAAAAAGTACTGCAATGATCAGCTGCCTGGATGCTGTCTGATCAGGTACAGATGCAGAGGCAGTCAAACACCAATTATGTGACTCTTTGCCTCATTGCCTAAAAACCACATTAGGGTCACTGTGGCCTACTTAATAATCCTGTTGTCTGCCCAAAGCATTAGTCATGATAGAAATGTGCAAATATATCGCAAAACTGTGGATATGGTCCCATGCTAATTAAATTGAAATTTAAGGAGTTCAAATCCCACTGAAACCCAATTTTATATATATAAAAAAAGTATCTGTTGATGCACTCGCATTTACATTTTCAATAACATTTTCATGTTATAGTGTAACTGCTATTATAATGTTTCACATTCACACATATAACCTTGAAGTATCAGCAGCCTGGAAATGATATAGCCTACATTCACTGATTTAAATTTGGTCTTAGATCTTCAAGCACCCAAGACAGTAAATGTTCTGAAAATGTAATACACTTGTGTGTTACAAATAACATAATACTATATTACAGTTGGAGTTCTTGAATAGTAGCAGAAAGTTTGGCCACAATTTATTACAACAGTAATAATTGAGATATAGTTAACACCCACTTTGTCCATTGTCAAACATTGTGTGTCTATGTTTGCCTGTTGTCTGTGAACAAGGCGAAGGATAGCAGTGCGTATATGTCTGACAGGAGTATCTGATTTCCCCTTGTCATCAGTGCTCAGTCTGAGGTCCTCAGCTGTCCAAAACAGTCAGCTTGACACTTGAGTGCTGAATTTAGCACACACACTCACACACGCACACTAATACATATACTCACAAAATTCCAAATTAGTATACAAATCCGGGTCTACCCTAACAGTGAGCTCTCTGGAAGTAACCTAAAAAACAGGGATCAAACAAAGGACACTCACTGTGCAAGAGCAAACAGAATTCTGGGGGTCTGAAGCAGGGGAGCAGCTTGGATATTGGCTGGTTTGTTGGATTCTGAAGTGGTGGGTGAACTACAGTCCAGTCATCAGCAGGTAAAGGACTTATCATAGAGATTACATGCACTTTTTTGTAGTCTTATCTCTAAATGACATCCTTTCCCAGAAGTCTGATGCTTCGAATTATGTCCTTGCTGTGTGAAAATGCTTCCGCCTAAGAAAATTTAAGAATTTTCTGTTACCAAGACTGATTTCTAATGATCTGGTACTTTCTAGAATCTTTGTCTGACTTGTAGAGACATCCAAATTTAGTTCTGGTGAGACTTAATTTGACAACTTCAGAACAATTTAAACAAGTGTACTTGAACAATGCTTTATATGCAAAGGCTTGGTGTTACCTTTTTTATTACTTATATTTGTTAGTGTGTGCCTGTGTCTTTACAAAAAGTGTTACACAAATTTATTTTTGTAGATCTGCTTTGAAAGAAAGAAAAAAACATATTTTTATAGAAGATTAATGATCAGAAAAAACTTGAACTTAAGCATAAAAACTGAAAGCCACGAAGGCCAACATACAGACAGGACTCAAGCAAAAATAGCATACAGTCTCTTTTAGTTGTGTTTCAGTAACAAAACATGCCTTAATTTTTTATTTGTTTCACATTTAGTTAATACCTGTCTATTAATTTTTGTTCCAGAGGTGACAGATAAAAAAACAAGTCCCATTATAGATCTCTGGTACCACAGATGCATGACATATTTTATTTGTGGTGAAAGTGCTCTTTATTGTTATTCCTCTTTTCATTAGAATTCAACTGAGTGTGCTTAATCTGTGGGTGAGACAGTACTGACAATATCAACTAAATAAAATGGACCAGTGAGTATATTCTTTATAAGCAATTTAATAAATTCATAATTTGATCAACTCATGCATATGATGTGTTTGGTGACAATGGAGTGACTCCACTTTGGCTATTTTTATTTTTCCTTTTAACTTTGAGCTTTGTGTACACACCTAAAGAGTGAAAAAGTTACAGGGATAGAAAGCAAAGTTAAACTTTCTGAAAAGTAAAAAATCTCATGAAGAGTGAAAGAGGCTGTTGAATGTGTATTGATTATCTTTGTGTTTTTGTGTGTGTCAGGGAGGATGATAAAAACTCTGTGGATATCCATGACAACCCTCCAGTTCCTGACAATGTTGTGAAAGAGGAGGGAGACACTGTGAGTGACATGACCATGTAAACCCCCAATGGTAGCATCGCCATTCCAACATGGTTTAAAATAGCCACCAACTGATTCAGGAATGCAGGACTGCGTCAATTGAAGTAACTTGAGTTTCAGTATTTTTGTCTTTTAATCTCTGTGGGATAGATTCATACTGCCAGCTGATCTGTAAAGAAAGATCACTTCAGGTTTGAGGAAAAATTATACTCTTGATGGAAAAAGTAAGAGGTAAAGCTCAACAGATTCCTAATCTTGCCTAACATCAAGTTACACAAATTACTTAACATGCAAATTTATTAAACACACCCAAAGTTAATTAAAATGACAACAACAACAAAAAAATAGCTGTCAATTATCAGCATGGCATTAAGTGTGCAGTACTTTATCAAAAGAAAACATGCAAAGGACAATGAAATTAGATCAACTCTCGGACAGATGTCTGGTACTTCCTTTATTTTGACTCAAACTCCACAAAATGATTAGAAATCCCTAATGAAAATTATCGGGAAATGTGGGCAACACTTGAAAGCAATCTTGCAAAATATATTTCATACATTTTGACCATTGGTTGGTTCCCTTTTCTTAATTGTTCCTTAAACCAGCTGCCGCTCACCATAAATAAATGGCTCTTTTAAAAGTTGGCTCTCTGCAAAACAAGTCTTTTATTGTCAATGACCTGATTTTAGATCACAAACTTGACTGTTTATTTTTAACTGAAACATTGCTGGGTGCGAATGCACCAGTTGTTCTCAATGAGGCCTCCCCACCTAATTTTAACTTTGCATTTTCTATTGGAAGTGGTGGAGGAGGTGGTGGCACAGCAGCTATAACTTCAACACCCTTGCCACCAAACCCGTTTCGTTTGATCAGTATGCAACTTTTGAATATAGGGCAACTGTTTGTAGCAGTCCTCTTATCTTGGTGTCACAATATATAGACCACCTAAGAAATGTACTGCTTTTATCAGCAAACAACTCCTATAACATGATTGTTCTAACTGGTGATTTTCACTTACACATAGATAACTCCTCAGATCTGATTTCAACAGAATTTTTAAATGTTCTTAATTACAGGGATTTTATTAAATATGTCACACAGCCAACTCACAACAGAGGACACTCACTGGACTTGGTCATCACCTACGGCCTGTCCACCAGTGTATCCTCTGTTGTCGACTTGGCTGTCTCTGACCACTACTGTGTGTTTTTTATCACCAGTTAAAAAACTCTGTGAGCGCTGTGAAGAAGCGACATCTGACCCCTGAAGTGGCTGCAAATTTTATTGGTATTTTAGATAAAAGTCCTCCAATTGTTTTAGCTGCCCCCTGTGATTTAACAGTAGACTGGGAACAGCCCTGGAGCTGGTTGCTCCACTATAAACAAATATGTACAACCCAAACTCATACCTCCATGGAGAAACAAGGAGCTCAAAACATTTAAGAAGCAGTACAGGATGGCAGAGCGCAGATGGAGAAAAAGCAAAACAACAATAAATCAGCAATTATTCAGTAGTCAGCAAAGAATATAAAACACCATCAGAACTGCAAGAAACAATTAATTTAATTAATTTTTCAATTTACAATTAAATTTAAACCCTGATTTGAGTAAGTGTCATTTTAATCCCACTGACTCCCTCTGAGAGAAATTTGCAGACCACTTCATGGAGAAGATAGACACAATCAGATATGACATTTTATCAAGTCAAACAACTGTTTTTAATACGTCTGAGTGTTTGTCTTTACCTGAACAAACACCGGACAGTTTTGTCCTGGTTAATGCTGAGATGCTGGATAAAGTTGTCTCCTCAGTGAGGCCCACCACATGTATTTTAGATCCTATTCCCACCCAAGATTTTTTAAATGAGCTTTTTAAAAACAAGCTTTTAAACAACATGATGAATTGTTCTCTTCAGACAGGGGTCTTTTCCACTGCCTTTAAAGCAGCAGCGGTGAGGCCCCTGCTTAATCATTTGAACAATTACAGGCCACTGTCTAACTTACCATTTTTATGTAAAATTTTAGAAAAAATCTCTTTTATCCAACTTAGAGATGACACCAGGCCAATGGATGCTCTTTTAATTGCATTTTAGATATTAAATCCTGGATGGCAGAGAACTTTCTCCAGCTTAACTAGTACAAAACTGAGGTTTTAGTAATCGGTCCTAAGGCCTGGAGAGAGAAACTTTTACCCAAATTACAAGCATTCTTTTAATCCATCACCACATGTGAGAAACTTGGGTGTCATTTTTGACTCTGAGCTGACTTTTATTCCACACAGTAAGAACATAATGAAAATAGGTTTTTATCACCCAAAGAACATCACCAGAGTCCGCCCCAATCTCTCTCAGGCCAACATAGTGACGCTAATGCATGCTTATACCACCAGTCGTATAGACTATTGTAATACCCTGCTTTCTGGTCTTCCCAAAAAGAATATTTCAAGTTTAAAATTATTACAAAACTCAGCAGCACGTGTCCTCACTAAGACTAGGAGGCGGACCCACATTACACTGGTTTTAGAATCATTGTATTGGCTCCCTGTGTCAAGATTGGCTCAGAGCAGGAGCACACAAAGGCAGACACTGAAGCAGAGGTCAGAGGCAAAAAGAGTTTAATCAAAAACAGGCAAAGAGCTGTACACGAGAGATCAATCCAGACAGAAGTATCCAAATCGGCAGGCAAAAAAGGCAAGATCCAAAAACAAGCAAGGTTCAGAACACAAGAGGCTATGACTGTGGCTGTGAAGAAAGAAGGCTGGGACGAGGACTATAAACTGGCAACAAGACAGTGATAGACATGGTTAAACACAAGAGGTAATGAGGGCTGATGAGGCACAGGTGGGGAGAAACAATCAGGGAGCAGGTGTGACAGGACGGGGGCAGGGCAGACAGGAAGCAAAGCTAGAACACAGAGACAAGGGTTAGTGATTTTGAAATAAAACAGGAAAGACAAACCAAACATAGTGTGCCAAAAATAAAGCGAACTTGACAGACGTGACACCCTGTGTGTTTTAGGATCGATTTTAAGGTTCTTTTACTTGTTTTTAAATGTCTTAGTGGTCTTGGGCCTCTTATCTCTCAGAACAGCTTTTACTTTTTATTGATATGTATTCATTTTATCTCCATTGATTCTAGCTAGCTTAGGCTTCTTATCTCATATTTATCTGTATTTATTGTCACTGAGATTGTCTGTGTTTTATTTAATTCATATTTTAGTGTTTGCTTATTCTTATCCTTTTATCATTTTTAGGATCCCAGTGTTTCCCCTGACTGAACCCTCAGCACCAGGAGCAGTGGTCAGCTGTGGTCGCAGGGGCCGGTCACAGGGTTCCTGGCGGAGGGTGGTGTCTGCCACATCTCTCCTCTGGCCCTGTGTCAGTGTCCTGTGGCTGTGGGTGGCTCTCTGCTCCTGGTGCTGATGGCTCCTCTGATGGTGCTTTCTCAACTGGTTCAACTGTGCCTTGCCTCATGTTCAATATCGTAGCGTTCATACCTACGGCTGCGCTAGTGTGTGTGTGTGTCTGTATGTCTGTGTGTCTGTGTGTTTAAGGATTCTTTAAGGATTGTTTTAGGTTTTTTAACAGACTGTAAGGCACTTTGTGTTACATCCTTTTGTATGAGAGGCGCTTTATAAATGAAGTTTGATACGATTTGATTTGATAAATGATTGGTTCATTGAGGCAAGTGAACTTGAGGCACGTCAAGTATGTTTATACTCCAGCCTTTACCCCATGCAAGACTTACCAGGCCCTTTGTGTGTCCAGGTCTATTTCATATATGAAGAGGAGGTTGAGGTGGAGGAGAAAGAACCTGAACCTCCTGAGCCTGTTCTCATGGTCAATGACAAACCGCACAAGTTCAAGGACCACTACTGCAAGAAACCCAAGTTCTGTGACGTCTGTGCTCGCATGATAGTCTGTATGTTCAAAAAAAGAAACACAACCCTTGAACATCAGCAAAAAAAGAAGAGAGTTATCAAATACAATGAAATGTTTTTGTTGTTGTTGTTTTCTGGATATATCCTATTGCCTGGTTGCTTTTGGCTTTAGAGTGACAAAAAAGCTGTTTTTCTTCTGTCTTGCAGTGAACAACAAGTTTGCTCTGAGATGTAAAAACTGCAAGACCAACATCCACCATTCATGTCAGTCCTATGTTGAGTTCCAGAGATGCTTTGGAAAAATTGTAAGTCCCTTCCATTCTCATGCAGTGCAAAAACTATAAACACATATTATCTACAATGAAGTACAAACCTCAGTTCCAGTGAACTTGGGACATTGTGTAAAACTTGGATAAAAACAAAATGCTATGATTTGCATATTGAATACACAGCGAAAACTAGATATATAATGTTTAATTTGGTAAATTTGACTTTTTTTTTGCAAACATTCATAAATTTCAAAAAAAAAAAAAAAAGAAACAGCAGCAACAAAACACATAAAATTGAAGAATGCTACAAAAACACCTATTCGGAACATTCCTCAGGTGAGCAGGCTAATTGGAAACAAGTGAGGGTCATGACTGGTTTAAAAGGAGCATCTTTTAAAGGCTCAGTCATTCACAGCCAAGAGTTGAGCAAGGTTCACCACTTTGGGAACATCTGAGCTATAAGTTCAACAGTGGTACACCTGGGCAACTTCATCCTGACCGCCTAGCCAACATGGGGAAGATAATAACACAACTGAAAGACAAATTTGATTACCTAGAAAAGGAGATCAAACATCAGAAACCAGGGCTTTCCTGAAGGCAGAAGGTTGGGGGACGGTTGCATTCTTGGAATGACTGATAATGGAATTTTTTGGCAACAAGTTCCCCTTAGCCTTGACTTTTGAGGGAGCACATCACATCAGGAAAGTCTGTGACAGACCAGGGGCCATAATCACCAAATTCCTTAACTTCAGAGACAAGGAGAAAGTCCTCTGTCTAGCCAGAAACAAGGGACAGATTACCAATGACAGCAAGAGGATATCCTTTTATCCAGATTACACTGCAGACCTATGGTGAAGGAGAGATGACTTTTCAGCTGTGAAGAAGAAGCTGCAAGAGAAAGGAGTTGAATACACACTACTTTACCCTATAAAACACCAGGGAGCTGACAAGTTTTTCTCTTGTTTAGCCAAAGCTGAACATTTGTTGAAGGAGCCGCCAAGTGAGTTATATTATCAAAGGCAATCGTGCACCACTTAACACTATAGACACTATAGATGAACATATCTACTATTTGTTTCTAAAAAGAGAGACACTGTGAAAGTGACTGATACGTGAACGTATCAATAAGCAGCCTAAAATTTTTGGTTTTCATGTACAGTGCTGAAGGGGACTGACATTGTGTTTCCAAATTATTGGGAGGTAGGAAGCTTAATATCTTAATTTAACAGTTTTACATCCCTATGGTCAAGAGAGAAAAAAAATATCCATTTACATGCCTGACCCTCGTCTTGAGCTTCCAAACATTGAAACAGTCTCTGTGTTCAAACAGTTATGAAAGTCTGGTCCTTGTAAGAGCAGTTGCCGTGGCAGCCAGGTTTATAATAAAAAGTTACCTACCTCATGTCTTTTCTCTCTCTTATTAAAACCAAAATTTTTACTCACACACGAATCAAAAGCAAGAATTTAATCAAATACTTGCTGATCTGCAATTTAAAATAAACATCTTTGTAGTGTATTCAATTGAATATAGGTGGAAAGGGATTTGCAAATCATTGAATTCTGTTTTTATTCCCGTTTTACACAACACCCTACCTTCATTGGACTTGGGGTTTGTAGAACACTGAAATTACTGTCCACATTGCTTGTCCCTGAAAAGAATATTTATATAATAACTGTCATTATCAAACCTAATGTCTTGTTTCCTGAAGCCACCTGGCTTCAGAAGGGCCTACAGCTCTCCCCTGTACAGCAGTGACCAACCAGACCCAAGTGAGTCCACTTAAAATATATTTGCCATATATCTTGACTTCTTTTCTCAGGTTCCTGCCTATTCTGCTGCATTATATTGACTAAATTTGAACACTTTTATGTGAACTATAACTTAAGCTGTGGCTTCCTGCTCTGTTCTTAAACAGACAACCCAAATAGGAATGACCCCGTCTTTGACACACTGCGTGTTGGTGTCATCATGGCAAATAAAGAACGCAAAAAGAATGAAAATGACAAGAAAAATGTGAGTGTACAGCTGACAAAACTATGAAATGTTTAAATTGTTAACAGAACAGTGTTCAATGGGTCAATCATTCAATAAATGCCACAGCAATGGTAAAGGACATTTCTGGGCATTAACAGGGACATTTGTAGCAACTGATAATGTAATCAAGGCTCACAATGTAATAAATGCTCATAATGTAATAATAATATTGAACACGATATTTGTTATTGCTTTGGTTGAAATAATCTCAAGATTATGATGATGATGGAGGAAGAAGAAGAGGAGAACCAACAGCCCAAAGAGAATGAAGAGGGAGGAGAGGGTAGGTAGAGAATACAGTGGTGTTTGAATGTGTTATGTGATGGGAATTATGCAGCTGTGATCATATAATTCAGGCATTTACACTCAACATGTAATCAATTGATAAAAGAAGTCATAAATCACAATAAATGACACAGCAAAAGTGATGTACAATGAAAAATTCTTCTTTTAAAAATATCAATTCTAAACCCAGACTGATGTTTGTTGTTCAAACAGGGAAAGCTGATGATAAAAAGGAAAAAGGAGGAGATAAAGCAGATGATAAGGTAAGAAAACACATCAGTAAAATATTTTAGTATTATATTAAATCATTTATTTAGAAATTGGCCTTATGCCTTCTATTGTGACACTGTTGATGTTTTATTTCAATTCAGTTGTCATGTGCAGTATTTGTGCTGTTTTGTCAACAGAGTAAGGGAACATTTTCCCATTCACACTATTACCTGGCCCTCTACCGCTTCAAGGCTATAGAAAAAGATGACCTCGACTTCCAGTATGTTTGAAAGACATAAATAATGCCAAACAATAAACTAATCATTATTATTATTATTATTATTATTTTGAATAAACTGTGTCATTTACTTAGTTAAGCCCCCTTTTAGAACATTTTATATCAAATGTAAATGAAAACATTTACTTGATGTGTTTGTATTAAAGCCCCGGGGATCGGATAACAGTATTGGATGACTCCAATGAAGAGTGGTGGAGGGTGAGATAACTTCATCATTTCTTGATCCCGTCAACTTTTATATGATTCTTTCACATGTGCTCCCCAGTTTGTGGTTAACCAGCTAAATTTTATGAGGAGAATAACATTAAAGTCTGTTCTCCTATTTTAAGGGAAAAATGGGGGAGAAAACAGGCTATTTCCCCACAAACTACCTCATAAAAGTGCGTGCATCAGAGAGAGTTTTCAAGGTGACACGCTCCTTTGTTGGAAACAGAGAGATGGGACAAATCACACTGAAGAAAGATCAGGTAACTCCACAATTGTGTTTGTGTTATGAAATAAAATGTAAAATTTCTGGGTGTACGCTTTGGACAGTGTTTTTCAACAGTCTGTGCTTCTTGCCTATTCATAAGCTATACATCAGAGAAACAGTTAAGTTACGTTTTTTTTTTTTTTTTTTTTTAATCATGATCACAAGACAGGCAATATTTTAGAACAAAATACATTTGACATTAACATTATACCATTAATATTTAATGAATGAAAAAACTCAATACTGTTAACCTTGGAACCATAGACTGTATATACTATGGACAACTTGGTTCTGCCTATTGCATGTATACGGATTTGAAGCCAAATAGCTCTCGGTATTTCCGGGAGGTTTCTTCATTTTCGGAAACCAGTGCTGCGCCGTAGCGATGCGCGCATTCGACCGCGCAGTCACTGAGGGTCGCTGTGATGACGCTCAGCTCAAACAGCTATCCCCCGGGAGAGCTACGCAATCCCTGAACGCCAATAGGCTGTATCAAGTGTCAATCATAGAAAACATGAACCCCCTAATAACTTTTAAAAACTGAGCTTCACAGAAAAAAGAGGACTTGAGCACAAACCAGTCTTACTGTAACTACGTGTCAACATCACAAGCAGGGGGGAGAAACATTTATATTCTGTGTAATAAATCTCTAAAGTTTGTCCACAGCCACATAAGCTTTGCTGGCAGAGGTGGGATTTATGACCTATACTGCAGCCCGCCAACAGAGGGTGCTGTTCTTGGAGTGGCTTCACCTATCAAGGAGGCAGACTCAGTCCATTCTTTATACAGTCTATGCTTGGAACCAGCACACCGGGCATCACCTAAACAGGGGTTGTGTGAATGTATCAAGCAACTACCGATGATGGGATGTTTCCTTTTGTTGTCACTGTGTTTCAGATTGTGGTGAAAAAAGGGGATGAAAAAGGAGGCTACCTTAAGGTCAGCACTGGACGCAAGCTTGGCTACTTCCCTGCTGATCTACTTGAGGAGATCACTGTGACATAAAAAAATCCCAATTAGCAATGAAAGGCCTACAACACATTTCAAATATCATCCTGAACTTTGCTAAACATGGAAACCTGAAAAAATGTTACATTTGCACTCATTGTGACAAATATGGTGATACAGGTGAGGACTGAAAAATGGTTTGGATTAGATTACATTAGATATGACTTTTATCTCCAGGAGTCAGAATTTTGACTTTGTATATAAGTTGTTTTTTGAAACACAGCGACACTGCTAAAATGTATTTAAAATTTTTGCTCTGTTACTGAAGAAGTCAGCCAATACATTCTTTGGGATAGTTGTTTCAACAATTAAACCTGCAGTGCACTTGTAAATGTGTGTCTCTTTTACGAGTTTATTTTTTTTTTAAAGCCATACAACTTGCAGTCGTTATACTGCATATAATTGTTAATACTGGCATTTTTACACATGGCAAATTTTGTAAACCCTTGGAAGTAGTAACAAAGATGCAAAGTTGACGGGCCTGACAAATCTTGTCGAAAAACAGGGAAAATTACAACATTAGGCTTTGCATCATTTAGATGCAAAGTATGCTATAAACGTTACAAAATAATGATAACGGCATCAACGAGTTGGTTCACCTATTTGTGCAGTGTAAAACCCTTTGGTCAAAGGCCACGAGCTCTGCTGCACTGTTTGATGGAACTTCATTAAACCTTATGTCTCTACACTGGATAACGACACTGCATAACCTGCCTCTTAGTACTGCATCATATCTCGAAAAGGATCTCTGGCTTGTGCAAAGGGATCGTACGCTGTAGATGTTCACAGCTGTTCGACTCCATCGAATTGTTGCCAAGCCATATACGATGTTCACAACAAATCTATGCACCAAAAAAGTACGACTGCAGCCTGATTGCGCCGAGATTAAACATCACAATTAAGTTGGACTTTCCCCATATTGTCTCCAACATCTGTGACCTTTCTTGTCTCTTTTCCACCTGTTTTTCTCATTCCAATGCACATTTTTTTGTAGCTGTGTTTTACCGCCACCCGCTGATCACTTGAAGTATTACTGCTCCCCAACTTGTTTGTTACATGATGAAACAGATCCTTTTAGGAAGGCTCAATAACATTTCATAGACCAGCCTTCACAAGGATGTTTCATAGTATGTTCCTGGTAAAACGCACTTAGTTGTTACGGTCTAGCATGTTTTTAATATGGTAGTGTCAACAGTGGTAGGCTATAAAAGAAAATTGTAGGCCTACTATTAAAAAAAAAACACCTGAGAAGACAGCATCAAAGGTAAATATGCTGTTACTCTTAAGAAATACCTAAATATTCTATTTTCCAGCGTGTTTAGATGGTTCAATCACACAGGCAGGATGCTCGTAGATGTACCATGTTTGCAAGGCACGTGCGTGCGCACACACATAAACACACGATCAGTTTTTACGAAGTCTACTATAGTGTAGGCCTACATGTGATCCTATGACATATAAATTAGTTTCTGTCATTCAGGGTAAAATTTTCTATCTTAAGATGATAAGAGAGAAAATGTGACCCTGAGACTGAGACACTGTCAACCACTTAAACCCACATTGCAGTGTATCTAACCAAGTAATCCTCACTTTAAGTTAGAAAAGAGTGCTTTTGAAATGCTACTGATGAGCAAAAGCAGATGCAAAATCTTACCACACTTGTCTATGGTTTTTACTTTTCCCAGAGAAAGCATTGTCATTTTGTCAGCCTCCAGGTGGCTTAAGTCTGCAGGGACAGCGTGGAGGGCTGTCAAACCGAGCACCTTTTCCCGGGTTGATGAGATATAATAAGGGAGGAATAAAAAGAGAGAGGGAAGGAAATTGTGTGTGTGTGTGTGTGTGTGTGTGTGTGTGTGTGTGTGTGTGTGTGTGTGTGTGTGTGGCGCGCGCGGAAGGGTAGAGTAAGAAAGATGGAGAGAGCGAGAGAGAGAGAGAGAGAGAGAGAGAGAGAGAGAGGAAGAAAAGGTGTAAGACAGTGGTGAGGGGAGATGCAGTTTGTCGAGCAGTCACAGTGGATTTTGAAGATTCCGAAGTCTCCCGGCAGAATGTCTTCTCTACTTGTGAAGACTGAGATTAGAGTTTTGACTTAGTTTAATTCACCGCTTATTCTTTCGAACTGCAAAATCCTGCACTGTAGTTGGAGAAACGCTGCTTTCACTGCTGCAAAATGAGAAGGCTTTGTTTGAACTTTGCCATTGCCTGTCTGTGCCTCCTTCTTTTAGCGGTAAGTACCGTCGTTTGCATTGCAGTGTGAAATATCTGTTTATCTATATATATTTATATATATATATATATATATATATATATATATATATATATATATATATATATATACATAGTGCTACAAATCAATGCATGCTAAATAAAAGACAAAAAACCTATTGTTAATTTATTGCATTCCAAATAAAGGGTGTTTTAGTTCTGAATAAGAAATTAAATCTTCACATTACAAATGTAACTTTTAATGTTGTTGGCCCATTTATGCTCTTGGAGATGACTTTTGCATGATAAAACCAAATCTAGCTCTGTGATATGATTTAATGACATAGAAACGTGGTCACCAAATTTGTTGAAGAAATATGTGGTGGAAAATGTACTTGGCCTAAGTTGACTTTGGGACTTGATAGTGCTTATAATAACAATAATGCATCACATCAGATCATAGCATTTTTTATCAGTGACCTTAAAGCGCTTTACATTCACACAGTCACTCCCTGGTGGTGGTAAACTACCGCAGTAGTCACAGCTGCCCATGGGTCTCCGGCCACCACCACACAACACTTACAATCATACACCAGTGGTGGACACACTCTGGGAGCAAGGTGGGTTAAGTGTCTTGCCCAAGGACACAACGGACAGACTAAGGATAGGGGGAATCAAACCTCCAACTTTCCAGTAATTGGATTGTCACTGAAAAGTTTGACACTCATCACATAGGTCCAATTCTCTTGTTTGAAGAGTTTTTTTTTTTTAATCTCATAACATTAGACTGTCTTGGGACTCGAAAAATCAGCCACATGATGAAGTACTGGCCAAATGCATACTATCAAAATGGTACCATCCTCAAAGTTTTAGATTTATCTTATCTTGGGGCCTGTATTTCAGTTCAAGGCAAAATTACAAATTGATATGCTTTTCTGTCATTGATCTAGAATAGTCTTATTTGATCTTTTCTGAACCAACGGTCAACTGTGACATCCAAAACTTTAATTCTGAAAAGGTCAGAAAACATCAAAGTGATATAATTTGTGCTTTAGTACTTGAATATAATTATTTTTTAGCCTGTTAGTTTAAAAATGGTTTCATGCCTTAAAGTTTTTGAAACATTCACAATCTTTTTGAGTTTTAAAAACCAAGAATGATTAAGTTGTAATTAAGCCATTGGCAAGGGTGTTTAATTCCACCCCTATAATACAATAACTGCCAAGGTTTTTAGCTGCTGCAGGTGTTTTTTGTTTGTGTGTGCGTGCATGTGCGCGTGTGTGTGTGTGTCTGTGTGTCTGCATCCACTCAGTTGCTATTACTCATTTGCAGTTTCTGTGTTGGCATTTTGACATGGAGCCAATGACATGGCTGTCACACAGTGGGCTCCAATTAGGGTAGGTGAGAACAGCACATACAGTAGCTGGAGATTTAGGCTTGCATAGCTGGTGCTCACTTGGTTGTCGCAGAAGGCAAAGATTGGCACACAGGGCTTGGGTGGATGGGGCAGACATTTGAATCCCACTTGTTGATGAGAAATAATGATATTGTGGGAGTTCCTTATTTAGGAAACTAGGGGGCAGAAGAAACCTTAACTATCCGTATTTGGCTCCAGTTGATGAAAATAGAATTCAAGTGCCAAACAATCAGTGTGATTAACTTTTTGTACAAGTTCCAATTGTATGGATGCATAAATAACCTGTCATCCGCTGATATGGATGTGTTAAAACAAGAAAGCCTGACAAATACATTCACATGGCTCAGTTAATTTCATACTTGAGGGTCTGCTATCATAAGGTCTGAACACTTGTTTTAACAAGCAAACTGTAACACCACATGCTAACAGCGACAAATCTCAGAAAACAATCAAAAAGTCACCGCACTAAAGAATTGGAATTTTAGCAATTTGACAGACATCTCCAGGAAGCTGCATTCTACAGAAGATGCATTTAATTTCCTTCATCTCTTGTCTCCTTTAGTCTGTGCTTTTCTACAGCCAAAGAAGACAGCAAGGTGGATTTGACTAAAGCTCTTAGTGTTTCAACGGTACTCTGTTCTGAGCTATATGCCACAAAGTATTACTAATACCAATGTGTGACTGATTCACTGCAGTGTCTTTTGCAGTGACTTAGGCGGAACCACGTTCCTTTCTCATACAAGCATCTTGATAAACTAGCCCATACATGAAGTCCTTTTATAAGGTTGCACTGCAAGAGTTTGATGAGAAGAGTGTGATGGACGACGGTCTTATTAAAATGTGGAAATGTGCTCATGGTTCCTTGCCTAAAGGAGCTGATCTGTTGATCACAATCATCCAAGTCCTTCTCATTTTGAGGACATGATACAACAAAACATTATTTTTCTTGCTTAAACTCTGGATTACAATAAAACTGCCCTTTATTTAAGGTCATCCTGCTGGCCTCTGAGCCTTTCTTCCTGTTCATCTTTCTGATAATCAATCTTATGGAACAATTACTGTGCGTAAAACAGATGTCGGTTTCAGAATTGTTTATTCTTTCATTAAGCTTATATCAGAAACAAAATATCTGCAAGTGCTAAAACACCTCTGATGAATGTGGAGTAAGAGACTTATGGCTCTGTGTTGCCCCCATTGTGACAAATTTGTTTCAACTTGAATTTGTCTATGAAGTATGTTGAAGAAATTCCTGACAAACCTTAAAAACCATTGATCAGATTTTGTGTCTTGGTTCTGTTTTCGTCTTTGAAAAGACGGAACAAAAGCAAGATGTTTAGCAGATAGACTACTTCATAAAAGAGAAGTTGTTCAGATATGGATGCAAGGACTTTCTAGAAAGTGCAGTTTTTTTTGTACCTATGAGAAAATAGATTGCTTCTAAGTTTATTCCGTTCTTTATAATGCTGATTTAACCAAATGCAGATCTTAACCGAAAATAAAAATGACACGACATAAGTCAGCTTTGAGTTTTTAAAGATAGTTTTATCACTGGAGCTGTAGTCTGAGCAAAAACGTATAAAGTTTAAATCTGCAAAAATACAGTTTGTTACCTACCATAAATAAATTAAACTGCAAAGTGGTCAAAGAACCAAATATAAGAATAAACAGGATTATTTTTTCTTGAAAACATCAGAGTAACCTGATTTGGCTGTGATCCATTGTAAAGTCAAGAGCCTTATTTGTGCTGAGATATCAGCACCAATCTCAAAACAAAAAATATATAACGCTGTTTTAACTTCAGAATTTCAAAATAGCAAAAAGTCTGTTCCAAAAATAGGTGCCTTCACTTTCTCCTTCACAGGAACAGTTTCTTTGGAAAAGGCAATACTAAGGAAAACTTATCAGTTTAGCTTGTCAAGATTGCTAAAATTCATAAAGAATCATTCAAAGATGTATTTTTAAATGTGTTAGCTAAACAAAATGAATTCTATTAACCCCCATTGTGTTTGGTTATGACCTTTTATCAGGTGACAAAATGTACTCTACATTTGTGGCTGTCCTAAACTCACTTTTAATCGTGCACAGGTTCAAGAAACAGCGGAGCCCTTGAACTTTCAAAGCCAGCAATGGAGGGAGGGGGAGGGAAGAAGAGGAGACACTGAAGGAGCTGCTTTGAAGGTAAAACACATTTCCAAAGACCTAAAGATCATCTCAACCAAACACAAAACACCTGCCTTGGGTTCCCTTGGGCCATATGGATGGCCCCAGAACTTTTCCCAAGCTCTGGATCAGTATCTGTACCACACCTCTCCCAAATCTAAACCTCCCGCAAAAACATCTGCAAAGACCAAGAAAATCCTTGGTTGGGGCGACTTTTACTTTAATGTAAAAACAGTGAAGTTCAGTCTCCTGGTTACTGGAAAAATCATTGATCACATTAACGGAACGTTCAGCGTCTACTTTCGTCACAACTCAACCCATCTAGGGAACATATCTGTCAGCATTGTTCCACCTTCCAAAGCTGTGGGATGGGAGATTTTGGATTCTACAGTTCATACCAAGAACTCATTCCTGGTCTCTGATCTAACATCCCCACTCCAGGGCCCCTCTCAGTCCACCACTTTGATCCCTCCTGAGCAGCAGAGGCAGCAGCAAGAGGTCATGATGGTGACTGAACTCAACTGCCGGATAGATTACCAGCGAACTAACCGGTCCAAGAAGACAAAGCCATGCATGTACGACCCAGGACAGACATGCTACTCAGAAAACACCCAGTCCAAGGCTGCCTGGATCTGTGCAAAACCTTTTAAGGTTATCTGCATCTTTATAGCTTTCACTGGTACTGATTACAGGCTGGTGCAAAAAGTCTGTCCAGACTACAACTTTCAGACTGAACAGAATCAGCAGCACTTTGGGTGACGGGTTCTGAGGTGTTGTAAAATATGAAATATATGTTCGCTGGATTTCATGCATACATTTTTTTTTTATTGTTTTCAATTTCCTCAAAGAGATTGAAATTGGCTGCTTTTATGTACCTTTGAAAACACCTTTCAAGATGTCTATGAGTGCACTTTAAAATTGTGTTAATGTAACAATTGTTAGCAAGGAACTTTTATTATATAGCTTTGTGTTGTTTGAAACTAGTTGCTCATTTTAGAGAACTATACATTGTTTTTAAAAAAGAGAAGCTCCTCTTGATTCATGCATTCAATTTACGTATGGTGTTGTTACCATATATATATATATATATATATATATATATATATATATATATATATATATATGTATACATATATATAGTTTTCTGAAGAGCTCGATACAAGTTAAGATTCAATTTTCACCACTGAAGTATAATGTCATTACTCATGAGTTATACAAGATGCTTATAGCTCTGCTTGTTTTTTTTTGTTTTTTTTTTGTTTTTTTTTACCACAAAAGTGATTGCCCATTATTTGTAAACTAAGCACAACACATCATAAATAAGATACTACTTCTTTGAGGTTAAAACGGGGGTGGATGAAACAGATAATTTTTGTAGCCACTGTTATCAGTTTCACAAAGTAGGCATGTCCTTGGCTTCCCTCCAGTGCAGATTTTACTTTCACCCTTTGCACTTTGAAAAATTTCCTGTTTTCCCAGCCCTTCACTGTCACAGACATGATTTCTTTGTTACCACGACAAACAGTACGGGTGACTACATTTATTTGATAATGCATTTATTTTTTTTTAGCAAATTTAGGGAAAGATCAAGATTTTATTTTTATTTGTAAATGCTATCCCACCTGAAAAACAGGTGTAAATTAATCAGGTTAAACTGTAGAACTAGGCCAGCTTGTCACCCAGTGTAACCTCAGCATGGATTGGATTGTCTGATGTCAAGAGTACTGTGTGTTTAAATTTTCAGTCTGCTGCTTCAACTGCAAAGGTGTCACTTGTTTTGTCTTATGCCTGTAATTATCTCAGACAGACAAATGGAAAAAGGATACAGTGTCTCTGTTTTTACTCAATTACTTTGTTGTTAAAGGAAAGTTGACTCGACACTGTGTGCTTTGTGCATAACATTATAAACTAACAAACATAATGAATATAAGATGAAAGAAGCCTTTCTCAAACATATGTTTGTGCTTGAACGGTAATCTGTATTAGACCAAAGTAGAACATAGTTACATAACTATCATGCAGTTACAAGCTGCCTTCAACAAACAAGGCCCTGATAAATAAGTCACTGTGTGTGTGGCTAGCCCACATTACACTTTTCATGTCCAAGGTTTTCCATAGCTGCTGAATAACACGCTTGTTTTTCACTGTCTTTCATTTAATGGATTGTTTAGAACATCAAAAGGAGCATTATTCTAGCTCCCTTGTTCCTGCACCCCTGGTGCAAAGTATTATTATTCTAAATGATGAAAGTGTTTTTTACAGACTCTCTCTTCCTGAGGGTTTCTAAAGACACCAAAGCAGAAATCTTGGACAAAAAAAAAAAAAAGAATAAATCCCACCCCCACCCCATCCACCCAAAGAATTTTACCCCGAACACAGTTTATATGGCAATAGAGAGTTTTAGCAAATTCTTTGACTTGGTATTCATCTTTTCTACAAGACGGTATCAACCTCTCTCAATTGTCAAATGATTCAGTTAGCTTTAGGCATGACGTGCTATCTGACCCAAAACTGAGCACTATTTACTCTGACAGAAAACTATTTCTGAGAAAGTACAGATGAAGTTGTTGTTTGAAAGGATATTTGTTTGTTTATCCATCCCCCCATGCAGCCCCTCTTTCTAAGAATTACAGGTTGTCTGGCTAGGCGGGGCCGAGAAGGAGAGGTAATAGCAGAGACATGTAGCCGAAGCCTCAGTGGCACCATTGTGTGGACAGGGCAAGAGAGCCTGGCACAGGATGACCCAGAGATGTGGAGCCTCCTGCAGCAGGAGAAGGACAGACAGTGTCGGGGACTGGAGCTTATCGCATCAGAGGTGAGCTTCATTCATGAGACAGATGCAGATAAGTGAAAATGGTTTGTTGCATGTCTTGATCCATTTGATTAACCAGCTGCTTTTTAAAAAGAAAAACACAGTTAACTATGGTTTATGTACAGTATTTAAATATGTTAACTTCATATTAGTATTATGGACCTGCGAGATTAATTGCTGTAAGATATGCCCATCAGCCATAACATTATGACCCCAGACAGGTGAAGTGAAGACCACTTATTATCTCCAAATAACAGCACCTTTTTTGTAGGTGTGACATGTGAGGCATTGATGGACCAATTTTTCTTTAAATTTGATGTGTTGAAAGAAGAAAGTTATCAAGCATGTAGCGATTTGAATTTATAATAGATGTCCTAAGATAATAATATTTAACTGTGACATTTATGCACTCGATTTATGCACTTGTTAGGGGCACCACCCACTTTTAATCGTGGGAAAATAGAGAAAAACAAAAGTTTAATCCAGAAATCAAACATTAGGTCAGTTTAAAATTAATCAATCTGACATCTCAAGCAGAAATTCTCATTTCAGGGACTCCACTTCTGGAAGAACACTAACAGACAAGAACTGAGAAAAAAAAAAAAGATTGGTTCATTACAGGATAAATGATGGTACAACATACATGAAATAAGTGATGATTTAATACTGAGGATAAATAATAATAACAGATGAATGAAAGATTCTGAGTCAGACTAGGATAACTAAAGTTAATGACAGAGAGTGAATATGCGCTAACATATTAACCTACATTAACTTAGGTGTAGAGATAAGTTTGGATGTAGGTTTGAATGAATTTAGGATTACTGAATTAGCCAGTAGTTGAATAATGAATGCATGAGACAGCATCAGCCCTGTTGGAGCTCTGGAGGTTTGCATACATCAGTGAGACCGGTCCTTGGAGAAGATGGAGCAGGTAGCGAAGGTCCGGGCTGCCAGCAGTTTGAGAGGTTTGGCTCAGAAGACGACCAAAGTCAGATGAAGGATGGGCCAGGAGTCACAGCACACAGGCCTGAATGCAAAAAGCAGCACCTTATGGTTCCTTTGGATGCTCCTTTGGTCTCACACCAAAACTCTGGCTCAGGGGATGACTTTGGGCCTGCTGGGTGGCATTCAGAGGCAACTTTGAAAAAACGCAAAGAACTCAGAAAAAGAAGTTCACTGACCAGTCGAAACTATTTCAAAAATGACCTTGTGAAATTTAAGAAAAATAAGTCAAAAACTTCATCTTGAATAGCTATGTACATAAAAAAAGTTGAAGTTTCCAAACTTGAACTAAGACTATGTCAACGAAAAATCAAACAACAGGAATGAACACATGGCATAAAACTTAGAGGAAAAAATATGACTAAGTAGTAAGAGAAAACAGAAAAAGAGAGTAAGCCTAAGACAGTGAGCACCCCAACTTTAGTGTCTCTGGGGTGTGTGTGTATGTGTGGAGAGAGAGGAGGGGTCGCTGGTCTCCTGCTGCAGCTCCTTGAGAGCTCCTTGATCTAACTTGTACTTTTTGCTGGCAAAGGAGTCAGATCTAACATTCATTCACTATGATTAATATCATTGAATGCTTGTTTCATAATAAATTATTTAATACCAAACACAAATGAAGAAATGTAGAATCATATCAAACATTCTCATTATGTTTTAGGTATCATGTTGATCATGCTAAATTACTCTGAAATGAAACAGATAGTAACACATGGAAACTGTGAACAACAAAAGAGTAAACACAATAAATTTTAACACCTAAAAGTTCATGAAACAGTCTGAAAAGCTGTTGGTCTAAAGAAACTGAAGAATAAAGGATTTATTCTGTCAGAGTGATAACCTGGCTTCTGGAGCACACAGAAAAGTGGGACACATCTCATTTTAACACAAATTTCATGATTAGACAGATTAGTACATTGCTGAATGTGTCAGACGTCATGATCAGTCATTTGTATTCTTTCTGCAGTTTTTAGGTTCACAGGCTCTATAATTCTCCTGCTCTGACCAACTACCATCAGTCTGGAGAGGACATTTGTTCTGTTTCTTGCATCATACATGGAGTGTGTTTATGTGTGAAAGTGACACTGGGAAAACAGGTGTAGTTGAACACATAAAGCCTTTCTTACTTGCTTTTCCCACTTATCCAGGAAGAGTAAGCAGACTATTTCTACAGTTAACACGTACAGTTATAGATTCCTGTGTGTCAGCCCTGATGCAAATATTGAACCCTCTGTTCTTAAACAACAGGGTCAAAATTTGCATCAGGGCTGACACACTGATCAGCCATAATATTATGAACACAGTCTTGTCTTTTGACAAAACCAGATCCATCACTGCCAAATTATCTGTTTATATGTGAACTTTTTTTCCCATGATTATGAGCAAGGTGAAATGTGCAGTTTTTTTGCAGGAATGCCGTTTATTTTGATTTTTCAGCTACAGAATAGAGGTCGTCCAAATTGTGCTTATAGGCAATCTGAAAAGGGTTATTTAAGATTTTTTTTTGTGACAGAGAAAGAAAGAAAAAACAACTATAACTGTGGAGAAACCCTTTTTCAGCAATTGTAGTGTAACTACAATTCACATGGGTTATAGTTTCTAGAATTTAACTGTTTCTTCAGGGAGTTCATCAAAATTTCCTTTGCATTCTTTCTCAAGTCACCAGTTTCATCTAAGTGGAAGCTTTGGGAAAAGAGGCAGCTTTCATTCCTCTATTCTCTAGCAATTATGAATCCACAGCACTATCACTCACAATGACATCTGAAAGATTTTTATCTTCTTGTGCATGTGGTGTCAGTAGCAGCTGCAGGCAGACTCCCAGTGGGGAGCCCCTGTTTTTCTTCAAGAACACAGTCTAATGATCCCAATAGGTTCCCTCACTCACTGATCTCCACATTTTAAGCTGAGACAGAAAATGAAAAGGCCATGATTTATGTGTGTCTTTGAATGTGTTGAGAAAGTATTCTAAAATGTCATGGAGACAGTTTTATGTTGCATGGGGAACAGGTTTAAATCCCACAGGAATGACTGAGGGATCCTTGAACAGTGACAGGTACGGTGGAATAACAGGTAGAGGGGGTGGCTGAAGAGGACAGAGAGGAGAAGGAAGGAAGAGATTAGGAAGGAAAGAAGGGAAAGGAAAAGAGAGAGGGGGTAAGTGGGAGTACAAGTGAGCAAAAAAAGAGACTTAGAGAGGAAGAAAAATTACTTTACATTAATTTTCTTTTCTGCAGCTCTATCCCCCCTCTGAGCCATGAGTGTCTCTGGCAGATTTGACATTAAATGGAACCTCACATGGAGTTACTGTGACTTGAATTCTTATTTATACAGCCCTTTAATGCTTAATATCAGCTCCAAGTCTTTACAGCTTTTACAAAATACTGATGAGCCTCTTAAACAATCCATGCAAAAAAAATCAAACAGAAGGAAGTCTTTGGATTATCATCCTATGAATCTGGAACTTGTCTTATTGATTATGTGGTTGTTTATTTTGCAGGAGAAATGCATGTACTTGACCTTAATTGCATGCTGGATAAAGTTTACACTTCAGTTGTAATGTGTTGCTGTGCCTTTCTGGAAAAGAGCAGGAGTGTTCAGGGTTATATTTGAATGTCGACAACAATGTCCTTGTTTATTCTGTCAGAACTTCTGCAGCCGTGCGGCGCTGGAGGCTCAGGGCTCCTGTCTGAACAACAAGTACTCTGAGGGATACCCAGGACAAAGGTAATTGCAGGGGTAATGCAGGTCAATGTTTACAAACTGTTAAATCAATTTCAAAACCTCAAGCTTTGAATAAGGAATATTCTGTTTCTGTCTGTTCAGCCAAGTGGAGAAAATCCTCATTAAAACCCTGTGTTTCTCAGGTACTATGGAGGTGCAGAAATAGTGGACCAAATTGAGTTACTGTGTCAGAAGCGAGCGCTCACTACCTTTGGTCTGGACCCAAACCTGTGGGGTGTTAATGTCCAGCCTTATTCTGGATCCCCAGCAAACTTTGCAGCCTACACATCTGTACTGGAACCTCATGACCGTATCATGGGTCTGGACCTGCCTGATGGAGGACAGTGAGTGAACATGTGGAAGCCCAAGATAGAAATGAGTGACTCCACTCTTTTTTTTTTTTTACACCAAACATTGATACAGATTTGATTTAAAAGTAACACACTTAACTTAAGTTTGAAATTTTTGGTGAGTAAGCTCAGTTTGTACTTTGTTTGACTAGAAATGTGATAATACCAATACAGTGCAATAAGAACTTTATATTACCAAACATATGACGTAATAACTTTTAAGCTTGTGATCCTTACAGGGAATTTCAGATAAGTAACCAGTACAATTTAGGTGTTATGCCATAGAAATAGAAATCAATTTCACAGCTGTATATAATGCAACTTCATAGACATTATTATATTTTCTGATTTTACTATGGTATTTGTTACGATGGTTTTTGGTTACACAAAAAATATAACAGAGATCTGGTAATTACAAACCATTACTGTATCTGACTACATGAAATTAATGTTCATATGTACACAAAACTGGGACCACAACAAGAAAGATGAAGCTCAGAAAACTGTGGTAGAATCCAACTAACCACTCACTTGCTGAACACTGGGACACTCACTCAGCTGAAATTCACCTTACTAAATCTGCTCTCTTTCACCGCATTTCAGCCTCACCCATGGCTACATGTCAGATACCAAGAGAATCTCAGCCACCTCCATCTACTTTGAATCAATGCCTTACAAGCTGGATGTGAGTTGTAAATAGAAATAATGTACAAACCAACATTTCCAAAAATAGCTATTCAGGAAACAACTAAGGCTGCACGATATTGGAAAAAAATAATATTGCGATTTTTTTCAACCCTGCGATATATATTGCGATATTAAAAATACAGGAATTTTCACCAGATGACCTGAATAGCATTTAATGTTATGCTGCACTGCTGAAATCTTAAGGACAGTTACCCTGCACTGATCTTACCTCTTTTTGTGAATGTTAGAATGGCTTCTGTCTCAGAGATATTTTTAGCTTTTATTGTTCTGGGACGTTATTGTGGCAACAGATTAACACAGAACACGTGTTATGGTCAACATCATCCTTCTTTTAACCGAAATAATTCCAGATAACTGACTTTCCTTTTCTTTTGGGCAACAAATCTTCATTTTCGGTGGTTTTCTCTTGTTCGTTGCTCATTTTGCGATCGTTGTTGTTGTTGTTAGCGGTGTTGTGCCGAGAAACGCATGTCCTCCGAGAATTGCATGCACCTCGCAAAACGCGCACCGCTTATAGTTGAGTGGTTCACGGAAATGTACAATTTAAAACCCATACAGTTCTTATTTGTTGGGCTAAACAGTCATGAGTAAAGTTCCGAAAGTAATTCTCAGCGGACACACGTCTCCCTCCATGTGCAGAACATGTGCAGGGGTGGGTTTCCTCCTCTCTGATTTTGATTGACAGCTGGCAGGGTAGTCTGATTGGCAACTGAGAAGTGAGTCTGATTGGCAACTGAGTTAAGGACGAATGTGATTGGTGGATCGCTGCACAGCACATGCAGAGTCACATGCAGTGTATCTCAGTCAGTTACCCTTGAAATTAAATGAGTTCATTCACCTCCAATATCGCAGGCTCGGCGATGTGACTATCGCACACACGTACATCGCGATGACGATAGTCAAACGATATATCGTGCAGGCCTAGAAACAACTGCTTTATCTGTGGAAAAAAAACGTAACTGTAAGGTACTGATCTATCTGTCTCTTTCATGCAAGCCCAAAACATGTCTGATAGATTATGACCAGCTGGAGAATACTGCACGACTTTTCAGACCAAAACTCATCATAGCAGGAACCAGTGCTTATGCTCGCCTCATCAACTACTCTCGCATAAAGAAGGTTTGTGTGATATTACGAATCATAACTACTATAGTCTACAGTTGCAATGGTACTACTACTAGCAAAAATGTTTTAATGCTCACTTTAGTGAAAAGCAGTTTCATAGATCTCCTGAGCAAGAATAGAAAATATAACAGTAATAAAACAGGGAACAACACAACAAAAATCAATCTACAAATAGCAGGATTATAAACAAATCCTTTACAATCCTGATGTGACTGTGAAATGCACACAATCATATGGCTGTGTGCATTTCAGCTGTGTGTGGAGCTTAATGCCTTCCTGCTGGCAGACATTGCTCATATCAGCGGCCTGGTTGCAGCAGAAGCTATTCCCTCTCCTTTCCATCATGCTGACCTGGTGACCTCCACTACCCATAAGTCTCTGCGTGGCTCAAGGTAAGGGCCTGGGTGTCAAAGAACCTGAAAAACAACAGTTTATTGTCTGCTGAAATCTTAAAATGATAACATGTTACAGGCAATTGAATAACAAAAACACACGCTCCCCCATTAAGGATTGTACTGCAAATTGAAAATTGAGGACCTTTAAATGTGTCCTTGCGTTGTCTTGTTATAATTTGTCTCTGTGCTCTGCAGAGCTGGTCTAATATTCTACAGGAAGGGTGTGCGATCTGTGGATAAGAAAGGTCGGGAGGTGACTTATGACCTCCAGGACAGGGTGAACTTTGCTGTGTTTCCATCACTTCAAGGAGGACCTCACAACCATGCCATTGCTGGGGTGGCCGTTGCCCTCAAACAGGTCCAGTGTTTGCAAATTTGACAAAGCAAAAATGAGCAAAAAACCTTCGGGAAGAATATTCAGCAGATCATCACAGCATCTATTTGACCCCAGAACATCATGAATAGAACACTGAAGTTTTACTTGTCAAGCAGTCTCTGTTCATGTGATCTGTTACAGGCTTCTACTCCAATGTTCAAACAGTATATCGCTCAGGTGCTGCTGAATGCCAAGACAATGGCCGACACTCTTCTGAAAAAAGGCTACACCCTGGTGTCAGGTGCTCGCAATACATATGCTTTCAACAATTGTTTAAATTTGTTAATAACAAAAAGAATATTTCAAGTTTAAAATTATTACAAACTCAGCAACACATGTCCTGACTAAGACCAGGAGGTGGGCCCACATTACACCAGTTTTAGAATCATTGCATTGGCTCCCTGTGTGTTTTAGGATCGCTTTTAAGCTTCTTTTACTTGTTTTTAAATGTCTTAATGATCTTGGGCCTTCTTATCTCTCAGAAATGCTTTTACCTCATGACCCTGCGCTCCTCTGGCAGCAGGCTCCTAGTTATAGGGAACCGAAGTCATGCTAACTTCCGGGTTAGCATACGGTCCTATGGAGCCCATCAAAATGAATGGACAGATTTATATAACTACTGGTCCGCTTTGGTATACGCCGTGGATTTCACATATAATGTTTATCATGTTTAAATTTACATTTTAACCTCGAAAAAGCCGTGATTTTAGACATGTTGCTATAACTACAGTTTAATTTAGAGTGAGACCACGTAATGAACTACACCGCTCGTCGCACTATTTTTGCGTCACTGTCTAAGCTTTAACAGACGACGCATTTCATGTAAGTCTCACCTGATTAATTGAATCCACCGACTCCTTTTCTTCTTATCAGCCGGGAAATGGCGAAAGGAACATCCTGCTGAACTATTATGGTGACATTCTGGCACAAAACACACAGGCATTTTGGCAATGATAACGAGTTGACAGGAGTTGTCAGCTAGCTAGAAGTAGAAATACTGACGTGACGTCATTTACGCGACTTCTTGAGGTTTGTAGTCTCTCCATTTACGTGTTTTCAAAGACAAATAGATCAACAATTACACAACAAACATAGCCTTTATTTACCTTAATGGTTATCATTTAAGTTAAAATACAACATATTTGTGACTCAGGGTGTAAAACAAAGCGGACCAGAAAATACCATAGACCTGTCCATTCACTCCTATTATCCCAATAGGACCTATAGCGCTAACGCGGAAGTGGGCGTGGCTTCGGTTCCCTATTCCCAAAGTCAGGACACACTCCCACAGCGAGGCGTCTTTTCAATATTACGGGCCTCGTCTATGGAACAGCCTGCCAGAGGACCTCAGGGCCACAGAGAAGGTTCATGCTTTTAAGAGCAGGCTCAAGACCCACCTTTTAGCTTAACTTTTGATTGATATGTATTTTTTTTATCTCCATTTATTCTAGTTAGCTTAGGTTCTTATTCCATATTTATCTTATTTATTGTCTCTGAGTTGGTCTGTGTTTTGTTTTATTCAGATCTTAGTTTTTATTTGTTTTTAATCCTTTTATCATTTTTAAGACCCCAGTGTTTCCTCTGGCTGAACCCTCAGCACCAGGAGCAGTGGTCAGCTGTGGTTGCAGGGGCCGGTCACAGGGTTCCTGGTGGAGGGTGGTGTCTGCCACATCTCTCCTCTGGCCCTGTGTCGGTGTCCTGTGGCTGTGGGTGGCTCTCTGCTCCTGGTGCTGATGGCTCCTCTGATGGTGCTTTCTCAACTGGTTCAACTGTACTCAGCCTCATGTTCAATGTCTTAGTATCCTTATGTATGGCTGTTAGTGTTTGTGTGTTTGTGTGTGTATGTGTGTGTTTGTGTGTGTGTGTGTGTGTGTGTGTGTGTGCGTGTGCACGTGTGTGTGTGTATGTGGCTTTAGGGTAGACTTTGTTTGTGACGTTTTTGTTTTTTTTGTTTTTAATGGACTGTAAAGCACTTTGTGTTACATCCTTTGTATGAAAAGCGTTTTATAAATAAAGTTTGATTTGATTTGAACATTTTTAATAAGATTTAATTGCTATCTGAATTCTGTATTTGAAACTTAAAAAAATCCACTTAAGGATTCGATGAAGCTGTAAGTTGTAAAAGAAGGTTATTTAGAGGAATCTGAGGGTACTATGGTTATCTTTAAGTGGGCTTGTGGGAAGAATGATAAATAGTGAAGGTTTCGCAGCATTTAGATTTCACTAGAATTCGATCAGTCTCAAATCAAATATAAAAGGTAATGCCTGCTTCTTTACCTCATGCTTTTAGGTGGAACAGACAACCACCTGGTTTTGGTTGACCTTCGGCCTCGTGGTATAGATGGGGCTCGAGCGGAGAGGGTCCTGGAGCTGGTGTCCATTACGGCTAACAAGAACACCTGCCCAGGAGACAAGAGTGCTCTTGCTCCTGGAGGACTCAGACTTGGTACCCCAAATTAGAGCATGATAAAAGTTCAGATAGATAGATAGATAGATAGATAGATAGATAGATAGATAGATAGATAGATAGATAGATAGATAGATAGATAGATAGATAGATAGATAGATAGATAGATAGATAGATAGATAGATAGATTGATTGATTGATTGATTGATTGATTGATTGATTTAGTGCCAGTAACTGCAGGAGTGTTGTTTATTTCTGGCAATACTCCATCAACTAGTAATGCACTATAGTTTTTCCTCTCCTTACTGTTTCTGTCGTTTTTGCCCCTAGGCGCTCCAGCTTTGACCTCCCGACAGTTCAAGGAGTCAGACTTTGAAAAGGTTGTGGAGTTCATTGATGAAGGGATTCAGATTGCACTGGATGTGAAGAAGAAGACTGGTAAGGGGGAATGACTTTCTATGGTTTGCTTTTAAAATTGATTTATTAGATCAAAATGTGAAATACAACTTGAGGACATTGTTAAACAGATTTATGGGACGAAAAAAATTGTATGTTTTGATTTATTTGTCTCCCAACAGGAAATCTGGCCAGCTTCAAGTCTTTCCTGCTGGAGGACTCGGAGACAGTGTCACGGCTTGCAGAGCTGCGTCAGCGGGTGGAGCTATTTGCCAGGCTCTTCCCTATGCCTGGATTCTCTGACCACTAATGACACCCCACACAAAGAAGCAGAAAGCCATCACTGAGTGGATATTTGTTTGAGGACTACTCTTATGTAGCAGCCCTCGATCATCTTTATCATGTTCATGAAAAAAGTACTGTTTCACAACATTGTTAAAGGGGACCTGCCACCAAAATTTCATACCCATTTTTATCAATTTTTCATAATCCTTGATGTCCTCTGATCATGTTTGCAACATAATTTTAGCTGAAAAGTTATTTGATGGTTTGTTTTAGTATGCCTAAAAAACCTTACAGGAAAACCAACTGGTTTTGGCTCATTAACATTTATGGTAATGAGCTTTGCTCTGATTGGATCGCTGCTGTGAAGCCTGCTGTGCTCTGATTGGCTCAGCAGTGGAGGTTCGGATTTCGGTTTATCCACTGTTATTATGTTAATGCTAATAGCATATGCTAATGTGTGCTAAAGTAAGGTGCCCAGATGTCTGTAATGATATCCGGGGATATTCGGCGGTGGTGCAGGGGCTGCAGGATCACAGACAAAGTCTCGGTAGCAGCGCATGCCCCTTGTAATAACCCCCGTAAGAACTGTTGTTCAGGACTGCTAACTAAATTCGGCTACTGTAATAACCGTTGTTCGAGCCCACACGCAACATTTTTGCTCTCATTAATGAAACGCTTAAATCGGGGACATTTTCGGGGACAGCTTTTGCCGGGGACAGATCATCCAATACGGGGACTGTCCCCGGAAATCGGGGACGTCTGGTCACCTTATGCTAAAGGCTAAAAACGGCAGGTATTAAACCATATATTTTAGACCCCGAGTCCGAAGAGGAGGTGGAAGTTGAGGAAGAAGCCGGAGATCTCCAGCGGTGTTTTCTCATTCATTCTGCCCGGCTTTAAGTTCATTTTCCCGGCAGTGAACCGAAGGAAACACCGATCGTTTGGAAGAGACCCATAGCGGATACAGCGGTACCTGGGTCTCGCTCTGGCTGTGACTGAGTACGAGTACGAGAACGAGAGAGTGGGCGCGGCTCACCGAGGACGCGCTCGTGAATAATAATGAGCAAGGTCGGCGCAACGTAACACCGACGGGCTTTTTCTCGTTCCTTGATTTTAAACCTTTACAGAATGCAAACGACGTAACGGTTTGTTTTCACATGTACAACATAAGACGAACATAATATGGACCTTATATGACACAAAAAACCCCAAAAATTACATTTTTATGGCAGGTCCCCTTTAAGTTCACATCAGTCTTTCGAACTTAATTCTGAATCCAAATATAAAATCTATAAAATCATGTCTAAAAACAAACAAACAAACAAACAAAAACATTGTAATGTAATTTTATGTATGATTGAATGGTTGTACATTTGTTATATTCCTAGCATGAAAATGCAGTTCATAAACCAGGATTAGTTTATAAATTCTTTCAACCAAATAAGAGTGTTAATGCATGTGTGGACTATACCAGCACTTCTCCTGTAGGCATCTATTGTTGCTAAAACTGTAATGATACAAAAGATAGTGAAGAACACCAAAGCCATCTCACAAAAATCTTTACAGAAGTTCTGTAGTTGAATTTGATACTGTTAATTAATTTTTTAGTTCATAACAGTTATTAGTGTATCATAATAGTGTATTATTAGGATTTAAAGGTTTATACTGTGCTCAGAATGAGAAATTGGGGGTTTATCAGTGCCTCTTTATGTACCTCAGCAATTCACACCTTTACTGTAGTAATGTTTCAGCCTGTGTTATTATTTTCAAAAACTATTTGGTAGAATAAGTCACTACACACCGACAACTACCCAGTACTTTGTTAGATTCACACAGAGCACTACAGGAAATTACTGTTAAACCTACTTAAAATAGAAAAAAGTGTTTTTCTTACAACAGATCCTAATATGGTGATAATGATGTTTTTAATGGAGATTGTTCACAAAAGCCTAAAATTGTGGTTCAGTAACTCTTTATAGCTCTGCAGAGGCTAGAAGGAGCAGGTGGGTTTCTGTATCATGTTTTTCTGTACTGAGCTTTTACATGAGGACTTATTGATGCCATGCTTTGTTCCATTCCCTGATAAACTTACTGCAGCTGGGTATTGTACAGACTTAGATAGAATGTTAAGGGATTTTTTTGTGATCTATGACATTTTTTTGTGTCTTAACTCTGATGTCTTCATGATGTTTGATCACAATTAAAGCAATCCTGAATGTTGCCAAGTTTGTTGAATTTTCTTTTACATTTCATTCTTAGTGTGTTGAAGAAAGAGAAAAAGTCTGCAGAGTATATAAACAGTGTTAAATGTTATGCTGTTGGTATTTCCTCTGGTCATTTCCTCCCACTGTTGATCTGTCAAATCTCAGAGGTTTAACTGGAAGATAGTTGGAGCCCGCACTACCCGCCCATTAAGAATGTACTTATTAAACTATTTTTTCATATTTTCATAAAGTGGTTAGGATTTCTTTGGCTAATGTAAAAATCTCACCTCACTAGACAGAAGCATTTGTTTTTTGTTTTTTTGCGAAATGAAATGATCTTAAACATTTGCAGGAACAAGCAGGAAGTTGATATAAGAACACTGCTTGAAAAATGTGTAAGACCAAACACCCCTCATAAAATATGTGCTTGTAACCTGCTGTGGGTTCACATACATATATCTTTTTTCCTAAGTGACTGGAAAGGCATGTTTATTTGTACTATAACTGCACTATGAAAATGTAAAAGATCAATTGACAGTACCTGACCGGTGATAAACACATGATCATCTGTTGCTCTGTATTTCCAAAAAGATTCAAAACTACCTTTGTCAAAAGGGTATTTGCAAAACATGACTTCTGTTGACACCACATTCATTTCTGTGCTACTCTCTTTGGATGTCCCCACGCGACCAAATATTACGTAACACTAATAATCATGGACAGTTCATCATACACACTGGGAAATAAGAGCATTATGTAACCTTTCCAGAGTCCTTCACTCCCTAATTCTTCTGAACCACCATTTAGGTTTATTTAATAAACACTTCCTTTCTAACTAGTTCTAAAATTATAACATGTTAAGACTACTAGAGTGATAAAACAAGAGTTGGCAGCCATATTTTTTCAGTCCAGGGTCAAATTATGTTCTTTTGTGTAATTTTGCTCCTAGAAATGCACCAAAGTGACAGAGAGAAACTGTAATACAGCTGCACCAAACATGCTAAGCAGAATAAGAGGAAATATCATGGCTCCGTCTGAACCGGTTCCATCAGGAGCTGAATGGACCTCTGTTTCAGCCCTCTTTTTGTCCTGCTCAGTCCTTCAGTCTGACCAGTTTTTGGTGTGGAAGTTTATTGCTTCAGTTTCTGCCAGTGGAATGTGTTCCCTCTACAGGGACCTGGCAGTGGAATCACACGTCAAAGGTCAGGGAAACTCTCAGCTCTGTCATCAGAAAATACACAAACCAAACAAAGACACATGCACATGCAATCTCACAACACAAATAAAGCTGAAGTTGTTTCAACTGCGTCCCTCGTTCTCATGACCTCACAACACTCAGACATACTCTGACTGCACGTCCTCAAGGCCTTCGGACGAACTCATGTTATAGTGTTGAGGTCTCCAATTCCAACATCAAAAATAAATTAAAAAGTAATAGAACTCTTTCTTTTTTTCTTACTTCCCCATCACATGTAAACAAATCATAAGAATAGACTGAGAACATAGAGCCAAAAGGAATACCTGATATTTTGATAAAGTGAAAGATTAAATTGAAGAGAAGATTTAGAATATGTAGAGATAAATATATACATGAAGATGAAGATGTAGATTCAAATAACAATCCAGCCATCCATCCATCCTGTCATGTCTATGGTTTAGTTAAGTTAATTTATTTACCCTTTCTCATGTTTCTTGTTTTGTTCTTCCTGTTTTATTTTGAAACCTACCTGTGTCTCTTGTTTCAAGTCTCTTGTCTTCCTGCCCTTGCGTGCTTTGCTCCCTGATTGCCCTAATGTGGTCCACCTGTGTCTTGTTATCTCCACTCCCTGTTTGTATTTAAGCTCAGCCCCCCTCCCTTCTGTGCCAGTTTATCTTGTTCCCTTGTGTCAAACGGTCCAGCATTTTCCTGGTGTTTGCCTACCTGTTTTTGACATAGAAAGTGTTTTTTAGACTGATTTTTTGCCTGTCAATTTGGATACCTCTGCCTGTGTGACTGGCCTCCTGTGCACCGAACCCTTTTTTTTTTTTTTTATTTGTTAAAGAGGGACAGTGTACATTAATGAACATTTTAAAAAGATAAAATGTAAATGGACCCAATTGTAGCCACAAGGCTAATTTCCATTGGTAGTCCCCCTGCCAGAAGGAACATGGCTACCTAAAAAGGTGGGAAATCAGCAACTACATAAAAACATACATAATACACAATATTTAAAACATGAACATAACCCACCCGAAAGCACGCCAACCAACTAATGGTAACAAGTTTGGTTTTCAAGTAACCACCTCTTCAAATTTACTTTAAATGCTCTGTATGAATTGGACTCTCTTATGTTTTGTGGTATTGTGTTCCAATCCTTGCCTGCCCTACAAGAAAAAACTGACTGACCAAATAAAGATTTTCTAAGTGGGATCTGGCAGTCTCCTCTGGCCGCCCCTCTAGTACCACTAGTTGTTGGAGATCTAAACTGTATGAGGTTGCAGAGTGGGGGCGGAGCTACCCTATGACGGATTTTATATGTAAGACAGCAGTTTTTGAAAAGGACAAGATTGTTCCAGCTTAATAACCTATATTTTTGAAGAATTGTGCAATGATGAAAAGATCTTGGTTTTTTATCCAGAGTTTTGAGTGCTTGTTTGTATAGTGATATTAATGGGTTTAAGGTAGTGGGGTTTGCGGTGGACCAGACGGGTAAACAATAATTAATATGGGACATTTTTGCCGCTTCTGTTGACATATGATTTCTGAGGTGTCTGAAATTTCCAAGTGTGACCTTAAGAATGACACAGGTAGGTGCCTGATTAGAACCTACTCTGAACGTTTATCAGGCTTCTGAGTCCTCCTTTTGGGTCCAAATCATGGTTCTCCCTCCCTCCCTCCATCCATCCATCCATCCATCCATCCATCCATCCATCCATCCATCCATCTACTGTAGCTGATCAAAGGCCTAAGGCGGCTGTTGCGCATGCACGCACGCAAACACACACACAAACAAACAGTGCCAAATGTGGTAGTGGAGCAGTCAGGCACCTGAGGGATAGCTTGTCTGCTGACAGATGGATCTGTTCCATCACAGTTGGTAAAAGTGTATTTTTATCATGGTTAGTCAAAAAGATTGTATCTGAAGCAGTTTATTGCAGGTTTTACAGGATGGCCTTACTGCATGTGTGTGATGACACATACTGGAAAAAAGAACTTTTGTATCTAAACATGAGACAGGTGGATCATTGATAGGATGAGATTCAGTTAAGTCCATGCATTTCTGCCTTTATTTTATAACATACCAGCTGGCATTGTATATTCAATGGCTGCTCTTTGAAACAAAATCATCCGTAACCACAAGGAAACACCTGGCACATCTTTCACCATTGAGCAGCAGGAAAAACAAATATAAACAAAAAATGGTGTGGTTACAGCTTTACACTCAGAGGCAGCAAGGGAAAAAGCCAATAAAGAGATTTTTTAAAACAGTTTTGACTGAAAAAAAAATCTTCAAAAAGATATAGAGTATTTTCTTCTTCAGACAATCTATGTTTTTATTTCTAGTTTTTTCTTTAAAAAATGTAACCTTTAAATTTATATTAAGTTGTGGGTCATTCCATGAAATCAGTGCCTTTTAAGTTTAGAAAATTTTAAATTTAAACTATTTTTAATTTTTAATTTCTAAGTACCCAGGAATCAAAGAATATTTAAAGTGGCAGGAAATTATATAGTGCCATCTCAGGCCGTGTTATTTCATATTTTATAACCATTTTTCTCCTGGCTGTTTTCATAATCTTGTCAATTCTGTTACCAACATAAACTTAAAAAAATACAATATTTCCAATTAGAAATATGCTATATTTGGTACATATATCAGCAGTACTTTAGCCTCTCTTTCCATTGAGATTATTTTATTTTGTTGATTTTTTTTCTCCAATTAGTTATTTGTCATTCAGATGATCAAATATACCCTAATTTTGCATGGCAATCACATCTCAACATATAGCAGATATTTTTTAAAAGAGAAATGTTGAAAAATGGCCCAATCTAAAATATAATGTAATTCAAATTATAATGGTAAGTGTTAAAAGCCCATTTGAGTTGTCAATTTTTACATTTTTATCAATTAATGACAACAACAGGATTGACGTCATGATAACAGGGCTGACAAGAGTAAAAGTAAGTGGACACAAAGTAACTGGCTCTCCACCCGCATTGATCAATCAATCAATTGATCAAAAAATAATTATTAGCTCAATAATGTTCACTTGATGACCTAAAAATGTTTTAATTTTAAAAGGTTAACATTTAAAGAGAGTACAACAAGGGTAAACACTATTCTATGTCATCCATGTTACTCACATGTCAAATCGTGTTACTGTGGAAAGGTAACAGGGTTGACTATTTCAAGCTAATCTGCCTGTAGCTAGCTTAAATAAGTGCTAACTAAAGTGTAACCTAAGTATTTTGACAGGTAATTACTTGTAGATATTGATTATATTTTGAGAAATAGAAAATTGTTTAGGTTTATATGTTAAAAAGTGGTAACAGGGTTGACCATTTTAAGCTAATCTGCCTGTGGCTAGCTTAAATAAATGCTAGCTAAAGTGCAAGCTAGGTACTTTGAAAGGTAATTACTTGTAGATATTGATTATAGTTTGAGAAAAAGAAAATTGTTTTGGTTTATATGTTAAATAGTGGTAACAGGGTTGACATTTTATGCTTGTCCCCCCTGGTTAAACCTTGAAAAAAACATCAAAAATAGCACATCAGAGATGAGAAAACTTAATTGTTACTGAGCTGTTAGCATCCTGGCTCAGAGTGGATGCAACCTCCTGTCAATCATGTCAAATCTGGAATGTACTATTTTTTTTTAGGGTTTTTTTCGTTAGGGTGACAGGGTTGACATAAAATCAGGGGACGCCAAATCAATTGATAAATATTTATCATGGCTAATATATATTATTACCAAAAACACTGTTTAACAATAAGATCATACTTAAAACAATATGTAAATGTAAAAATTTTAACATTTTGCCAACATTTTACCAATTTTAAGTCCTGTATACGTACAGCAATAGTAGTGAGCGACAGGCCAAAAACCTCACCCTCATCAGCATACAAGTAATTTATGTTATTTAAAATGATATTTAATTGACTTTAATTTGATGTTATATTAAGGAGAGAAGACATGGTAATGTTATATTTTTAAATTATATATCAATTTGTTGTTATCATAATTTTATGAATGATTACTTCTTGGGGACGCAAAAGGCACCGATTTTATGGAATGACCCTTATGCTAAATTTTGAAATTAGTGTTTCAAATTTTCTGTCTGACTCCAGTTTCAACTTATTTCCAAAGTGAATAAAAATCAAACAGAAAACTATTTATGAAGAATACATTCAAATTGATCAACCCAAATAACCAGAGCACTGATGCATAGTTGACAAACTGTTACCTCAGATATCCCTTGTAGTATCTATCAGAATGACTGGAATTACAAAACCACTGGTCTGGTGCAAAATCTCACAAAAACTTGATCTATACGCCCCAGATTATGAATTTGCAAATGACACAGATCAGAAATGACAATACACAAGGAAAACATGTGGGAACCAAAGGATAATTCATCCATCATGCATTTGTGTAAAAGTCTCAAACTTTCCACTCTTTATTTTTTCCCAAGCGCCTTCAAGTGTCAGTCCTGGTCACCTATTACTCAAACTTCAGCCTTTTTCACAGAGAAACTAAAGTGTTACAGGCTCTGATCTGGGATCTTTAACACCTTCAAAGGTAAAACACTGAGGGGCTGCAGGATGAGGTGAGAGGGGGTTTAATCAGATATATAATTCAAGAAGTCAGTAAGAAGTTTAGAAATCCGGTCCCTCCTTCTTCAGGTTTGGGTAGTCTGTGGCGATAGCAACAAACTAGGGAACAAAGAACAAAACCAATCTGAGTAGGAGTATGATGCTGTTCAGTTTAAGATTGATGTCTTAAATCTCATATGTGTGACAATTGTGAAGTGAAATGCTATATAACAATGATAATGTTTATGTTCTTACCTTATATTGGTACGTGGGGTCCAGTTTATTCCATGGCTCAGGATTATTGGTCTTGTTCCAACTAAACACAAAAACAACAGAACTGAAATAAATCAGTATTCTTTAAAGATCTGTGGTACATAAACTAGCAGAATTCCACGTGACCTGATTTGCCCATGAACCGTTATCATCAGGGATCAGTGACAGTATCATAAGGGATTTATTCATAGTTTGATTTCAGAAAGAGGAGAGGAAGTCCAGGCAGGGGGTAAGTTGAGATAGAAATTAAAACCATAGGGATCCCTGCTGTCAGTAGCAGTCATAAATTAGGTTCCTGTGCTTCTCCACGGTAAAATTCATCCACCCACCGCATGCCTTGTTAAAAAGTTTGCTCAATAAAATGATAAAAGCAAGGAAGTCTGATTTAAGTATCACATCAGTAGTGGTGCACCACATCCTATTGCTGGTTAATAGGGGGGCATTAATTAGACTTTTGCATCATCCTTCATCAGGAAGCAGCTCAAAAAACATCAACCACATCAGTCCATGAAAGTGTTTTTCAGAGTTTCTTTGTTTTACCAAATATTATGTATCCTCTTCAGTCAAGTGGTAATGTTAAGGATTCTTACGTGACATGGGGTCCTTTTGCCAATCGGATCAGATACAGAGATGCTCCACTCATTCCCAGACAGATGAAGAAGAACTGGGGGATAAGCTGAAGATGCAGAGAGACAGTCAATAGAATGTGTCTCCATTTTTAACATTTGTTGATGTCTCTTATCCCAGTACAATGTGATGCTGTGCCACTTGTTTATAAATTACACAAAAACTGCACCTCACACAACAACATACATATAAAGAATTGCTGACAGTGCAATATGTTATTCATTCATTCTACACAGAAATCACTTTAGGTTTACTGAGAGGTTGAAGCTGTCAGCAGCGAGCATTGCTCTAATTAAGTGACATTTGCTGCGTCCGAACTGCCCGCTCGGATACTACATGCTACTGCTACGTGCTACTGCTAGATCCTACTCCTACATACTAAACACGTTGGCCCAATTCGGACACACTAGACGAGCGGTGGGGAAAGACGACCCCCGCAGGCAGAGAGTAGGTACTGCGCCCGTGCAGACAGTGGTAACTGAAGCCCCTCATCTGCGGGCCTGGCTGTAGTACTGCAGCTGTGCAGTTTAATGATGGAATAAGTGAGCTTTACCTCCATGATGTCGCCACATATTTGCTCATAAAATGATTACTTGGGGAAATATGACACCATGACATGACAAAGAGATACAACCGCACATTTTTTAGGACAGTGTGTGAAGTTACATGAAACTTACATCTGTACTGCTGCGGTCCCGCGACATGGTGCGCGCTGCTGTGGCCAGCCGGCGTTCGCGACACATTTAAATAGGCAGAGCAGCTGGTGGCGCTAGCATCACATGCGCTTCTACAACTTTTAAGAAGCCCGTGGTGCATTTTGGGTCAGTAGCATGCCCGTAGGATGCACCGAGACCAACCTACAATGTGGGCGTGTCTAGTGTCTGAAGTAGTATCTGAAGTAGCATGCTACTCGGTCCGGTGGCCAATTTGGACATGCTAGATACTACTTCGACTACTACTTCGACTACTACTTGGCAATTCGGACGCAGCAATTGTTTGACTTGCAGATTGCAGCCTGCAGGAGCTAACCTGAAACTGTGAGTCAAATCAAAGCATCTTAACATGTTAACTATTTCCCTTTTTAAGTCACCTTATTGATTCTAATAAAAATTACAACCTGTGGTGCTTTAGGGAGTTGTGTCCTGTAAGAACATTTCTAGACCAAACTTTCAGGTGTGTTGTTGTGTAGGAGGTTACTGTGTAAAATTCAGATGCCAGTAGGGAGGGTTTTGGTACAGTAAATCTGTTTGCAAAATACAAGCTTTATTAATTGTCCTTATGAGACTTACTGAATGACAGGCTTTAACTTGTGCTGATAATTTTTTCCACCTGCCTGTCTAACTTTCTGATTGTTATATTAACTTTGTATTTGTATGGTTGAACAGTCCATTTTTCTTTCTGACTCTTAAACGTCCCTAATCTCTCAAACAGCCTGCCTCTGTCTGTCTGTCTGTCTGTCTGTCTGACTGTCTGTCTGACTGTTGGAGTTTGATCAGAGAAGCTTATCGAGTCTCCTGGGATTTGCTCCCTGCAGCATCTGTCTCCTTCACTGTCTTTCTCTCAGCCTGTCTGTCTGCCTGTCAGGATGATAGACCACATCAAGAAGCTCTGGCATAGGTCCCATAGGGATTTTCTCCCTGTAGCTTCTCTTAACACCCCCCCCACACACACACACATACACATACACACTCTCTCTCTCTCTCTCTCCAGGAGGCTGAAGACAAGAAATTGAAACTTAGTCACTCCACTCTCTGATAGCAGAGCTGGTTAAAAGAATTAATAAAAACAATACCTTCTTTTTTTATTTTTATTTTTTTACATTTAATTTATTCCTAATTTTTCTGTGTAAAGTCAGTGTTATAATGACAATGTTGTGCTTTTACTTATCCAACTTGAAAGCTGTGCAAACATTACATGCAATCACCAGGTGTAACTTCCTCTGTATTTTGACTACCAACAAGAACTTTCAAGGTTGAGGTAAACAATTAAACCATCACTGTTCAGTGAACATTCTCCTGAAATGCACCATTAACCAGCACAGGCTTTCAGAAGAACTTGTCCAGATTTTATATGCTGTACCATTTCTGGAAATGAAAACAGGTGGCTGTCACTGATTTTAAAGTGCTAAAATGACAGAAACAAGGAAGAAGAGAAAATAACTTACCCCAGGATGCTTCTTTGCATGTTCCACCGCTGTCTTAAATATCATTATTTCAGCTTCTGTAAATTTAGATGAAACGGTTCAAAGGATTTTTTAGCGTCAAGTTTTCAGCCCTGGTTTCCAACAGGCACAAGCTTTAAATGGCCGAGCACGGACAGGATTTAGACCTGTTGCTCTCTGCATGTGGAGGAAGAAGGGAGGGAGGAGGGGAAGGAGGTCATTAGCATCTGATTACAGCGCCTCTGTTCCCTTGTTTGGATTTTTACTGTTGGCCAGACACTGTTTTACAGTTTATATTCAACTATAAGGTTGCATAACTGTGAATCTCAATTTAGGAACCTTGGCTAGAGACCTTTGATGCTCATTTGAGGGTTTACATAGTTCAAAATATGTGTGCCTCTAGAGAGCCTGAATGTTTTTTCTCTCTCATTTCCTTCATTGCAGTTTAAAGACTTCTTGCCCTTTGGGAGATAACTGGAGGAAATGGGAAAACATACAAACAGCGTGTCCTTTTTAAAGCCACTTGGGAATACTTGTGTCTTTGGACCTCCCAGTTTCTCAAATCATATTGCCATAGATTTATCATGTCCCAAATTAATCAATTGCTTCAAATCTTTACAGTCTTTTACAGTCTGTTGTTGTTTCATGGTTCATTCATTTCATACCTTCTGTAAATCCACTGAGATTAACTTTTCTAAAATTCCTCAGAGGGAAACCATGATTATCAGAGTCAGAGACACTCTTAACCAGAGTGTTACAACACAGCCATCCAAAAACACTTTCTAATGCCTATCTCATGAAGTGAATTATTGAATTCTTAATTTAGATATTTGTCCTGCAGTCTTTGCGGTCACATCCTTGAGACTGGAATAAATACATTTTTATGATAACACTTTCCCTCCAAAATTACAGCAGTGATTTATGACCATGTTTTTATCTCAGTCAGACAAGGTGTCCACAGATGAAAAACATCACAGTATGAAACAGGGCCACAGCTCTAAACAGCCTTTTAAAGTTTTGTGTGTGTGTGTGTGTGTGTGTGTCTGTGTGTGTGTGGAAATAGAAGATAAACATTTTGCAAATGAGCTTCAAGACTGTCCTGTATGGAAGCCCATTTCCGCCAGTCAAAAAAAGAAAAAAAAGTCGAAATTATGAGATAAAAAGTCGAAATTATGAGATTAAAAAGTCATAATTATGAGATTAAAAATCGAAATTATGTGATAGTAAGTGCGCATGTTTTATGGCGCCATCTTCAAGGTCTCACTTCACCTCACCGGATGCACCATGCAAACAATACTCATCAGTAAATTAGGAAAGTATTATAGGTGTCTTTGATAGATATTAAATATTACTATTCATTTAATCAGCCCATCCGTGCTGCTAAACAAATTACGTTATTTTGACAATATCTTTCAGCTGTCAGTGAATCATCGTTTTGAAGTAACGTTTATGCCACTAGATGGTGACACTGAGACAGGAACAGTGTCCGTACTTTCTACCTGTGAGTTGCATTATGTTACTTAGAGTCGGCTACAAATGTCTCCACCAGTTTTACATGTAACGCTGTGTTCTCCAGCATGTTGAAAAGTCATGCGAAAATTGTACACTGTGCACTCATAATTTCGACTTTAAAATCTCATAATTTCGACTTTTTATCTCATAATTATGACTTTTTATCTCATAATTTCGACTTTTAAATCTCATAATTTTGACTTTTTATCTCATAATTATGACTTTTTAATCTCATAATTATGACTTTTTATCTCATAATTGCGACTTTTTTTTTTTTTTTGACTGGCGGAAATGGGCTTCCATAGTCCTGTGAGTTCCACCTCTCCTTCTTTAAATGATGAACCCCAGATAGAGAGGCCCCGTAGTGTGTGTGTGTGTGTGTGTGTCTGTGCGTGCGTGCGTGTGTACATTTAAGCACGTACTTCATTAATATTTAGTGAAAATCAGCTTTCACAGTACAATCAAAAGTTGTTGTGCCCTCTGTACAGAATCTGTAATGTTTTAGATTAGATCCCTGAGCCTTTAACTGGATTGTTAGCAAGTATTAACAGTGGCGTTAAAGTATAAAGACAGTCAAAGAAACTTATTTTAAACAAACTTATTGTTTGTTTAAAATGTTTCACAACTAATGTACCAATCCTTGAGTTATAATATGTAGAGGATAGTGACAATGTAAATTTACAAGTGTACTGTGCTGAGGTACATTTTATGAGTATCTGGACATTATTTCAGGGGAAAACTTTTTATGTCTACTTCGCAACATGTGAAAGACAAATATTGTACTTTTGACTCCGCTACATTTCTATGAATTGTGTTGCAAAATATCTGAGCAGAGGTATCAATTCTTAAACCTCAGTAATGTGTTTGCAGACTCGTGTTTCTTGAGGTCGCACAAAGTCCGACTACAAATGCTAATCAGTTCATATTTGAGTCACAATGGACATGTCAAAGAAATTCCCTTACTTCAATTAAAATTTTAACGTCTGTACTTTCTGTAAGTAAGACAACCAGTAATGCAGCCTACCATTTTATCATTGTGAATTTAACACTGCTGCTCATTTGAACCATTTTGATGTCATGGCAGAATGAAAAAAGATCAAAGTTTTGCTTTACGATCTATGCTGAAGTTGTGATGGACTCAAGTTTTACAGAGAAAGCTACTCTGAAATAAGACTATCCAACCATAATATCACATCACCATCTCTTATGGATCTAGTTTTCTCCTGCCCTGAAACAAGACTGTGTGACTTGAGCTCAGCCCTGCCAGGTGTTCCTGCTGACCTTCAACATGGCAGCTCACAGATAAATCCTCTTTAGTGGATGCTAGCCAACACAATGGCACAAACAGGCTCTAGTACAACATAAACTTGTTTAAAAATACATTTTTTTTTTTAAATTATTTATTTTACCAATTATTTTAAATTACTTGCTTATTAGGTGTTTGTATGTATTCAGTTATTTTTATATATTTATTTATGTATTTATTTATTTTTATGTATATATCATTTATATTTTGTGAATTGATATAATTATAATTACATATAGTATATATATTGTATATTTTCTATTACTATAGTTATTATTCTATTTTATAGTATGTGTATGTATATTTATTGTTATATACTTATTAATATTTTTTATTTATTATTTTATCTTATTTTATTCATATATTTTCTTGTATCTCAACGATGATTTGTGTAGAGATTGTGATTGCTTTATGTTTAGCTACATTGATGCAGCCGATCCAACAAGGCAAGTGGTACAAGGAGTAGCACAGTGGCGTATTTTGCAAGCCAGAGAGGAATGAGTGCAGTTGGTGGTGACTTGGGGAGGGAGGGAGGGATGTTTTGTGTTTGTGTTTGTACTGTTTAAAAGAAAAATGGAAATAAAAAAATGTTAATCATAAAAAAAAAAAAAACATATTATCTGCATGGGGGAATCTACATATTCATTTAGACTGGGGAGGCGTTTATTTTGCTTGTACATCAATCATATCAGGCAAGCTGGAAAGAGTGCACATAACGGGGAAAATGAACATTACGCATGAACAGGAGAAGGGTAAAAGCAGGTATGAGCATGGGTATGAGGTGGGGGAACATGATAACCCTTCATATCAGATACTTTTTGTTGTTGAATTTGATCTACAACACTCCATGAAAGGTTCAGAGGGACCCGGACACTTTCCTCAATATGATAAACATTTTAAGATTAAAATGCTTTTGTCTGTAAAAATTTGGATCAGTAAGTCTTATGAGCCATTTCACCTGCTTGGTTATGTTGCTAGAAAAATCTGTGATACATAAAGTGTTTCCAACAGCATAACACAACTTTGTAATGGATATAAAACAAAATAGGAAAATATCCATCATTACTTGTCTTTCAGTTTTGTTGTCATTGAAAAAGCCTTGCTGAAATGTAGCCATAGAAATAAATCCCCTTTCCTTTCTTCCACACATGAAAGATTGACTTATTTTTTCTTATAAAATCCCTTTTGTAAAATTTAAGCCAATTGCCCTGCAGTCATGTGTCTGTTCAGCCCTGATTAGACCTGCTTTAGAGACCAGGGGCTGTTTGTTTCAGTGAGTCTGTGTTTGTTGTGCTCCTTGAGAAAAAACAGAGCAAGGCGGCAAAGGGTTTGAACCTTGAGCTGTGGCACAGTTAAAAACCACGTAATACCATTAGACCGCAAGGGTCTGCTGGGTGATTTATGTAAACCAACCAGGAACAAAACTGCGAACCACACCTTATACATCTTGAAGTTCTTCAGTGTCACCTGTGGATAAGACAAAGAGAAGTAGACTCTGCATTGATGTTGCCAAGAAAATTACGTTTTTATTGCATATAAAAGATTTTTGTCAACATAAGGCTGATTAAACTGTGGATTTGTACAAGCCCAATTCACTAAGAGATGGAGATGAGATGCTGTGATGAAAACGGGATCTAAAAATCTAATTGATTCTTACTTAACACTATAACCTCGGTAATACTGGGTCTCAGAACTGCTTAAATTTTTCATGCATGGTGCTGCAACTTAACTGTGGTCTTACAAATCGAAATTTAGCAATGATTTTTGGAACTCATGTATACCAAATCCCTGTCTTTTGGAAAGAGGGCAGGGACCTCCTGGCTTGTTATCTGTACAAATTTCAAAAGTCAGCATCTGTGATGATTTCAACCCCAGAAAGTTATCCTCCCAGTTCCCAAAGATTTTTGGAGTGTTCTTATACAGAGAGCTGATGCAACACAATGATAAACATGCCCCTGATTGATGATTTTGAAACTTGTTGCTGACTTCAAATTACAAATATGTATTAATTTTTTATAGGATGGGATAAGATAAGCAGAAATTTATTGATTCCCAAAGGAAAATTCGTGGAACAATCAACCTTTGTGTAAAAATGACACTATAAGCGTTTTTGACCATACAAGGAGGCAGAGGCAGGAGATGCATCAAACCCACACAGTGGACATTTATTTACAGTAAACTGACTGATACACCAATAAAACATATTATGTCGACATCATCGTACACATGACACACTCTCCACTCACAGAGAAAGTGCTCCGTTATATAGCCTCCTCGATTGGGCGCTACCACGTGAAGAAACATAACTACAAACATGAAACTTTAATATTAACTCTTTAAAACCCTAAAACTTAAAATATATCCAGCAAAGACTCAACACAACTTTACAATAAGCAACTACCGCTTTAAATTAGTCACAACCTCCAAGAAATTTTCCCAAAGGAATATTTCATGTGGCCCTGCTCACCCCCCTTGCCAATTTATCAGTTGGAGCACTAAAAAGGCTGTTAGTTTCCCTGAGGACTCTTTTACCCTCGCACCCTCAGAGTGGCGACACAAAGGTACAGGTAAGTGCTTGGCATATTCACACGAGGTTGTAATTCATATTGCACCATTCACTACTTTAAGCACATAAATCTGCTTGCGCTTTGTCAACTTATACTATGTTCCACATACGTAGATGGTGTGGCTAAATCAATCATCCGGCTACCACAAGACCAATGATCTTCTGTGGGAAACACACACACATATACTGACACATACACACACCATAAACAAATAAAAGTATTTTTTACTGAAATACCTCTCAGGCTCATCATTTTGCATGTCATTAGCTTTTTATCTGTACAACCCCAAAATGACATGTTGATCTATGCAATATGAAACACATGTTATGTTAGCTGCATCAATTCTCGGCTACCTGATATGGTGGAAATGGAAACTGGAGAGACTTCTGTTTCATGTCCTTTCCCCTCTTCCCGAGTTGCACAGTACTTTATTACACAGGGTTACAGGACAAACAGTCCACTGCCAGGTTGGACTTCCCCGGCTGGTACTTGACCTCAAGGTGGGGTACCATCCTGCGATGTGCATATATGCATCCTTCATCCTGTACAGGCACTGGAGGGCCCAATGATACGTCTCCACGGTGAACTTGTGCCCCAACAGGTAGTATCTCAGAGACTTAGAGGCCTACTACATCGCAAGACACTTCAATCATGGAGTAACAAGTCTCTCGGTCCAGCAACTTCCTCCTGAGGCACATGACAGGTCTCATCTCTCCTCCCACTTCTTGGAGTAGCACAACCCCAATACCAATTCCTGAAGCATCTGTTTGAAGGTTGAAGGGCTTGTCAAAACCTGGACTGTGCAGAACTGACTCCAAACTGATGGCTCGCTTCAGGTCCCTGAGGGCTCTGTCATATTTCTCAGTCTGGACTTTGGTAGTTGCCGTCGCCTTTGTTATATTTGTCAAAACAGCAGCCCACTCTGATAGATCTGACAGATACTGGATGAACTTACAACACCAACAAACAAGTCCCAAGAATGACTCCACTTTTTTCTTTGTGGTTGGAAAAGGGTAGGAAGTGATGGATTCCAACTTGCTCACCTGCAGCTGAATCACCCCATCTCCAAGTACTAAACCTCCTTCTGAGCAAAGTTGCACTACCAAGGATTGATGGTCAGCCCAGCAGCCTTGATACAACAGAGGACCTGTGTCAGATGGGCCATGTGCACATCCCAGGTTTGACTGTAAACTAAGTAACTACATGTCAACACCGCAAGCAGGTGGGAGAAGAACTTATATTCTGTGTAATAAATTTCTAAAGTTTGTCCACAGCTCCATATGCTTTGTTGGCGGAGGCAGGATTTATGACCTATACTGCAGCCCATCAACAGAGGGTGCTGTTCTCAGAGTGGCTTCACCCAGCAAGGAGGCAGACGCTGTCCATTACATATACAGTCTATGGTTTGACCATGACTTAATTTTACGCTGTAATATCCCTTTAAGGCTGCCGACCCCTGATCCAGTTGTGCAAAATAGAACTGCAACACAGTATGATATTAGTTCCAGAATGCAATTAGTCGTGTGAATTCATTGAGGTTTGGAGGTATTATTTTGAATTACTTTCTCCTTAAGAGCTTGTCTTTTGCTGACTTTGTGGACATACAGGGTAGCAAATAAATGATATAACATAATTGTACAATAATTTATAACACCATAAAAAAAACCTTTCTCCAGGTCCACTTTTTAGATTAATTGATTGGAAAGTCCAGAAAAATGTAATCATCAGCATTCCTTGAAATTAACTCCCCAACTACAGGTATTTACCAACCATATATGTTAAATCATTAGATCTGTAAAAAAAAAAGGGCAGTTTAGGGGTGTGAACTGCTGTCTGGACAAACCAGACAACTTCGAGACAAAAAGGAAAAGAGTTTACTTCTCAAAAAATAAATCAAAATTAAAATTGTTTTAAGTTGCAGTAATAAATAAATAAACATTTTGAAACTTTTAATCTTGCTTATTTACACTTTGAGTGACAAAATTGTCTGTTGGACTATCATTGGTGGCATTAGCCAGCTCTCACGCTTCTTTTTCCAGCTGATCATGAACTGTAACACATCTTTTGGTTACTAAAAATGTGTTTTTATTAAAAAGCCAAGAAACAATACATTCTATTTACATATTTATACATTAAATACTTCCATTGGATGTATTTTTTTTTCTTGAGGAGAAAAGCCTGACAGCAGACCCCACCCACCTAAAAATCACTCTTTGCTAGTCAATTTTGGGTAGGACTACTTAACTGAGTAATCGACAATAAGCAATTTTGTTTTTGATTCCTTTCCAATTAAAGAACTAAGCCAAAGTCTTCTTTGCATTTGACTTCATCCACTTAAGCTCCTGCTCATCTGGGAGTTACCAGAAGAAAAGTCAAACTGAAAACAAGTTGGTTATGGTTAACTCTTTGCCTTAGTAAAAATAATAAAGACTTTGTGCTAAATCGAACAACAGAGACTACCAACATCCCAGTTTAAGAGGTTACCATCGGAACACCAGCAACAGTAGAACTGGGGGGCGTCGTGGCCGAAGTAACCGTGGTGATGACAGCAGAGGCTCCAGTTGATGGCAGCGAGGCACCAGTAGACTCGTTAGGACGAGCAGGAACTGGTTTGGTAAGTTTTATAGGTATGAAGACATTAGAGGCACAGTGCTCACTTAGATATTCGCCTCCTTTCTCCTCATAGTCCTGTCTGCTGATCCATCCCTCTGCTGATGCTCCTCCTCCTCCTCCTGGTGGGTTCACTAAGGCCCAGTCTCTTGCCCCATACCAGGCATCCAGGGATGGCTGCAATGCCATTGTAACCTGGGGAGGTTACAATGGCATCAGAAGTTACAAATGTATTTACAAGAGGTTTTTTCCAGATAATCATAATAACAACAACAATAACAACAACAACAATCATCATCATCATCATCATCATCATCATCATCATCATCATCATCATCATTATGGATTCATAAAAGCTGTCAGCTAACTCATGTGAGTCTATTCCTGAGCTTTTAGGCTTTTTACCCCACTTTCAACTTCAGATTTATTTATCATTCTTCACTTATCAATTCAAGACAAACAGTAAACTTAAACAATAGAAGGTTACTCAAAATAGCATTGCAGATTAGCAACTTTGTTAGGACTGTGAAATGTTAGAGTGTTGCATATTGGAAACACCTTGTACCTTGAAATGTGATTGGAAGGGCCTAATGGCCAGCAGCTCTTTCTCTACTCTCTCCTTCATTCCTGGATACTGCATGTTTCCACCTGTCAGAAACACATTGCTCACCAGCGCCTCCTGCTGCTTTAGAGTGTACCTGAATGTGGTAATAAATTAAAAACAGATCAGCTACAGTTCAGCAGCCCTTTGTCATAACTTTCAGTTTGCTTGTTAGGATATGTACCAAACCTTTAATAAATGTCACAGCGCTGCCTTGTTATGTAGACCACAGACTAAAGAGAAAAGTTTGGTTAAGCAACTTTTTTTTTTTTTGCTTCGCAACAAAGACTTAGCATGCACCCCCACCAAAGATTAGACAGGTAACCTTTGAGTGTAATTTAAGGAGCAGCTTAAAACCTTTTTTCATGGCTCAACATTAAATTCAAATCAAACTGAATTACATATTTCTTTTATATTGATATAAGGTTTTTATAACCCTAAACTGCTCTTAAGTTATCATTTGTCCTTATTGAATCATCTTACTTTTTGATGTTTTTAAATTCATTGAGGACACCGGGCAAACACACCGAGGCACTGTTGTTACACTGTATTTTTTTTTCTTTTTTCTCTTCTGGACATATTTCGATTTACTACTAGTCCTACAGAGTTTTAGAAAGAATTAGAGAATCAGGATTAGTGTGCTATTACTTTTCTCTATTGTATATCAATTTTTCACGACATTAGTTGTGAAAAACTGCAAAAAAGTCAGTGAGACAAAATACTCCCACGAATGTGGACCATTGATTGCAAACAAGATTTGTTAATTTGCACACACAAAAAAGTAATTTTTCTCAAAAATCTATCAAAGACAATGTAGCAAAAATGAGTACACCCCAATGAAAGTCTTAAAAGCAAAGCTAAATTTTAGATTACAAAATTCTACTTAACAAGAATTCAACCATAGGTGAGTCTTATTATTCATTAGCAGACAGCTGACTATAAAAGAGTATTATTTTTAAAAAAAAAGAAAGCCCCCCTCTATTTCATGCTGTCAGCAACGGCACCACATGGAGGAGAAAAGTCACAAGACCTGAGAATGAGAATCATTTTACACAAAAAAGTTGAAAGCTACAAGAAGATTAACAGTCAGAATATTATAGCAGAAGCAATACAAAAATGTTACAAAGATGGAACTGCAACTATCTCACAGAGATTTCTGGGCCATCCTTGAAAGTTTACACTTTAGCAGGGGCGTCCTCTGATAAGAAGGGTTGAAGAAAATTGCCATGCAGGTTTTTTGCAGTTAGCTAAATAAGCAGAAAGCCAAACTTGGGTGATTGTTTCCCGTGACACAATACGGTGTACATTGCAGAGGAATGGTACACATGGGTGTCGTTCATGAAGGAAGCCTCTCCCAAAGCTCATGCACAAAAAAGAAAGCCTAGGGCCCACACTGGGAAAAAAAAGAGACCACTAGGACTCTGTACTCAGGAGTGATGAGACCAAGATCAATGTTTTGGAACTGATGGCTTCACAACTGTGTGGCATTGCAAAGGTGAAGAGAACAATGAAAAATGCATAGTGCCTATAGTAAAACATGGTGGTAGTGTCCTTTGAGAGAGAGGGATATTGTTAATTCGATCAAATATACATACAGCACAATTTTAGACAAGAAATTCACCTATTTTTGGAGATCGAAAAGGAGTAGGTAGAAGCTATTTAGCTTATTTGTACATACCATCCTTCCTTCCTATTGATTGACCTTTTACATGTCTCTAGAATTTCAGGATTTCTTAAGTCGCCAAAAAGTAACCAAAGCTCCAAAGTCTAACAGGAATAAGTAACAAATCATTAATACTGAGACAAAGACCTTATATATACATATATACACCTATACCTATATACACGTATACACACACAAATATGCACTTCATATATATATATATATATATATATATATATATATATATATATATATATATATACCTATGAAACTTCAATTCTCTCATTTGTACCATACCCATATACAATATAATAAGTGTGACAAAACGAAAATCACTTATATATGTATTTTTCAATCATACTCTGCTTTAATTTACATTTAAACTGTGCTATTGTTTTGCTTTGTTTAATTTCATCAGGCAATCTGTTCCATAGCTTCACCCCCAGAAGGACACATGCTTTTCAGTGTTGTACGAACGTCCGGTTGTTGCTAAATTTCGTTCCCCTCTCAATACATACTTGCCCTCTCTTTCAACAAACATTTTCTGTATATTGCTAGGGAGTAGATTGTTGCGTTGGACATTATCTGTGCAGTTCTAAATTCAACTAGATTGGCAAATTGTAATACTCTTAATTTCAGAAACAGTTCATTAGTATGATGGAAGAATCCTACCTTGTTAACAATCCTTATTGCTCTCTTTTGCATAAAATATAAAGGTTGTAAATATGTTATATATGTGTTTCCCCAGACTTCTATGCAATAAGTCAGATATGGTAATATGAGCATATAATATATAATAAGTATAAAGTTTTATGGTTTAATATGTGCCTTGTCCTCCCTAAAATACCTATACTCCCAGCCAACTTCGGCCTAACATAGTTTTTTGGGGTTTCCAACTGAGGTTATAGTCCATTTTCACCCCTAAAAAAAGTACACTCAGACACCCTTTTTATCTTAATATTATCAATACTGACTTCTACCTCTGTATTTGGTTGAATTGGTCTCTTTCCAAACACAATGAACTTTGTCTTAGTCATGTTTAGAGAGAGTTTATTCTCATCGAACCATAATCTTAGTTTACTCAGCTCCACTGAGGTATCCTGCAATAGCTGGTTTAGATTCTCTCCTGTACAAAAGATATTAGTATCATCTGCACAAATAACAAATTTTAGAACACTAGAAACTTAACATATATCATTTATATATAATGTGAATAATTTTGGTCCCAATATTGAACCCTGTGGCACACCACAGGTTACATCTAAAAATGTTGACCTGTGCTCACATATCTGTACAAACTGTTTTCAATGTAACTTTTGATCCAGCTATGCCCCACCCCTCTGATACCATACCTTTCTAATTTTGTTAACAGGATGTCATGATTAATCGTGTCAAAAGCTTTCTTAAGATCCACAAAAACTCCTATTGCATAATGCTTGTTATCTTTTGCATTTGTTAGTTCCTCGAATACTTCCATCAGTGCCATTGCAGTGGATCTATTGGTCCTAAAGCAGTATTGGCTGTGTATAAGTAAATTATGTTTTTCAATGAAACTACCTAACTGTGTCACAAATAGTTTTTCAAGAATTTTTGAAAACTGTGACAACAATGATACTGGCTATAGTTTGTGTATAGATATTTGTCCCCTGTTTTGTTTATGTGAGGCTGCATGAGTGCTGCTGGTGTCAGGGAGCTGCATTTCATTGATGGCATCATACATTCACAGATACACTGTTCTGTATTGAGAGAGAAGATGCTATCATCACTCCGTGCCCTTGGTCGGCGTGCACTTTTCCAACATAACAATGATCTGAAACATACATCTAAGGCCACTGTTTCATTTCTTAAGGAGAACAGGGTCAGAGTGTTTCAGTAATCAAGTATGTCTCCTGATCTGAACCCAATTGAACACCTATGGGGGATTCTGAAGAGACAAGTAGAGCATCACTCTCTGTTGTTATCTCAGTTCTATCTTTAACCTTGCTTTTACGTTATGAGTTAAACAAATATTCTATAAAAATCTGTTTGTCAAAATTTTGGAAATTATTCTTGTGTTCACTGAGATATTGATTAAAACCTTAATTTTTAAAGGGGGTGTACTCATTCATACTGTATATCATAAGCTTGTATGACAATAACAGGTTCAACTCAACAGAGCACCATTTTAACATACAAATACAATAACAAAGGGTTGGAAAATACTCATAGGAACACACTTAAAATCTACAGGTGTTATCTTTGTCCATCTGTTGCAGCAGCTAGAAGCTGCGACATGCTGAGGGGTCTTTCTCTTCTGGAACATGTAAGAGCCCTATCAAAGTCATGAAGTTCTCTGAACTTTTTTTGGCTGAATCATGTTAACATGATAGGCAGACACTAATATCTGCCTAGTGCAAAGTAAAGTTGGACTCTCTTAACACCACAGTCATCTTTGCCTAACTCCTTTACACTTTGCCTTTACTCTCTGTCTCTTGCCATCAAAGTAAAGTTCAGAGTATTAGGAAAAGACTTCCTCTTGGACTTGGGTTTTCTGTATATTTGCATGTATGCTTCTCATTACTGCTCGCACTCTCAACATTTCAACATTACCTGGCCAGGACATACTGCAGCGTTTCCATCAGTCCCATTTGGTCCTCTCCAGTTGGTGAAGGCTGAAACATGATCTCTGGACACCGCAGACGCTCTGTTCCTATGAACAGCTGGTGGTATTCAGCCAAGTTGAACATGGGCTGGAGACAACATAAGGATTAATTTAAACCAACATTAATATACGACCAGAACTGAAACATTGCCAGCAGACAAAAGTTAGCCTGTCTCTAAAAACATTTTGCGGGGGTAAAACTTTGACTTGTTCTTCTAGCCACATATTACACAGGAGAATAATTGTTTGCATAGCTTTATTTAGAATTTAAATGTCTGTATTGGAGGTTCCTGTTTCTCTCAGCCATTACCTGGACTACATTAGCAGGTTTTTCTGGCAGTGTGTCTTCAGGGAAGTCTGGATCAATCAGTGCCACTCCGTCTCCCTCGTCCATTGGCTGTTCCAGCTCAGACACCTGGCAGAGAACAACAGAACAGCCTAAGGCTTCATGTCTGCTATGGCACATGGGCTGCAGCCCACAATAATGGATACTGTACAGCACTGCAGCACACCCACAGTAATGACATGATAATGTCAGCTCAGGGGTCCCAGGTTTATGAGTTGCTGCCATATCTTAAGATTGTACTGTGTAGTGTGACTCCAGTGCTTTTTTTTTAACAATTGGTGACGGAATCAATTTAATTGCCAGGTGATACAGTACATAACATAAACAATGTTTTTCACATTTCTATATATTTGAATGTGTATACACTTACAAAAGTAAGGGTTGGTGAGACAAACTGTCTCAAAATAATACTAATCAGAATAAATAATAAAATGTATTTACAAAGCACTTTGCATCAAAGTGCTGTACAACAAGTAAAACATGAGGATAAAAGTACTTCAAAAGAAAAACAAGTTAAAGGCAGATTACAATCATAACATGGAAACACAGGACTGAAATTAATTTAAAACACACAAATTCAACATAGCTCACAAGTTGTACGTCAGTGAAAACAAGTAGGTGTTAAAGTTGGGGTAGGCAGGAATCTGTTAAAGAAGCATTTTTTTTGTGGTGTATATACAAAACAGCTTTTAATATCATAAATAGCTATTAGTCATTGATGACATTTGGTAATATAACAATATTGCTGTGTTTTGTTATGTCTGTGTAGTCAACATTTTAAAATTTCAGAGCACTCCGCTCTTTCTGACTGAAAACAAAGCCATTTTTCGCCTCCTCTATCCTGATTGGTTGTGAGACAGACGCTGCTCCCCCGTGTCGTTCAGGAGCCCAAACAAAGTTAGTATGCTACAATATCGGACAGTAGAAACCAACCAGAAAGTACAGAAAATTGTCTGAAGACTCTGGCAGAATAACGGGCACTTAAAAAGGAGGTAGACCACTCGGGCAAGAGCTAAAAGAGCTGGGTCAACAATGATGGGGGACGCTTTAGGATCTTACGGACCCTGTAACCTTTATGCTGGACAGGGAGACCGCTTTAACAAAGTAAGCCAAGTGTCTGTAACACAAGTGTTTCTTGTCAAACGGATCCTGCTGCATGTTGTAGCGCTGCTAAACTGTTTACTTCAGGTCCTGGACTATGTCACTTTATCCTAGTTTTAGAAGTCCTGCAAACATTGTGTTTGCTGGCAGTCTGTTGGCATCTACAGTAGCACCAATGCTGTTTACTTTCACGTTGACTGAGCTCCATTTGTAATGATCTGAAGTATTTATCAGCATTATATCTGAATTTAATTGGAACGATACGAGCGAGCAGGAGCGTCTGTTTGTGGGCGGGGCTTGCTGGAGCAGAGAGGGAGGGGAGAGGAGGAGCTGAGGGGAAAACTGGTTGGGAGGGGTAGTGTTTACATTCAAGATTCCTCCCAAAAACTGGCACTTCCTCAGATCCTGCCTACCCCACCTTTAAGCTTCACTTTAAATAAGTCCACTGAACAGGCCTCCCTGGTGTCAAGAGGTTTATCATTCTATGATGTTGGGACACAAAAGAAAAACCTCCTCACCAAGTCTTTTGCAACAGAGTTGCTTTTTTTTTTATATGATGTTTTATTGTAATTTGATGGAGTGAAACCTACCTCTGTCTTTCCCTCCACTCCATCACTGTGCAGCAGTTTCAGTCTGCCCTGCTCAACAGCCAGCTGCAACTTGTTAACGTATGACTGCAGCTCTTCTGCCGAGTCCATGTTGAGCTCCACCAGACTCTTATGAAACTGATCCAATAAGCCGTCTTCCAGCAGCTCCTGCACATGCAAAATTGAACCATCACTGCACCATACACCAGCTGTGTTTAAAATCACACAGAAGAAGACCCCTGACCGACCAGCGTAAAAGTCAGGGGTCTCCTTGATTTAGAAGGGGGTTTGGAGCAATGGGGGGAGGGATGGGGGGGGGGGGGGACGACAGAAGGGAATATGAAACAAAAGCTTCATACACACACGTGCACACATTCACATGCATACACACACTACTTTAAGATACTGTTTACTGTTTTTGTTTCTGTCTTGTCTGTATATGTACCCACCATCACTATTATTGTGTTTTTGTTTTGTTTTATTTTGTTTGTATGTTATATAAAATATTAAAATAAAAAATTAAAAAAAAAAAAAAAAAAATCACACAGAAGACTGAACGTCAAACTTAAAGAACATTACGAGCTTTTGTTTGATTTTCTATACTTTTTTCAGGGGCTAATAACATTGCATCTTAGAAGAGCAGTTTGCCTTTTCTTCTTACAGATATTAGTTTCAGAATGGTCAAAATGCCTTCCCTGAAGTATCATGAATTAACTTTGGTACAAACTTTGAAATGATTCAGAGATCTCTTGCCTGCACTGCCATGAGTTTATCCAGCCTTTCTTGGTCCTGCTGTAGCTTCTCTTCTCTGCGGCGAGCATTAATTTCCTGAAGTCTGCGGAGCTGTTGAGCTCGTCTCTCCTGCCTCTCTTCCACACTCACACAGCCGCCTGGCACTTTACTGGAGAAGGGAAGCTGCATACGATGAACCTCCCTCTCATAAAACTCTGGGATGCGCCACTTTTCCAGCTCTGTGGATGTAACAAATTTAAAGGAATAAAGGGTCAGTAAACAAGTTTTCTGGCTCCTTTAGTTTTCATCTGCTGTATCCACATCAGCAACAAGAGAAAGATGTGTGCAGATTATTGATGTAAAGGTGTAGCATTTTTGACAAATACATTTCCTGGGGCATTTTCAAGCAAGTATCAACCAAATTAAAATCCTGAATGCAAAGCCCCTTTTTTTTTTTTTTTTTTTTTATTGTTTCTTTACCGTTGTTTGTCTTGTACAGTTTTGTAAAGTTTAAAACTGAAAATAAAGTATTAAAAATAAATAAATAAATAAATAAATAAATAAAAAAATCCTGAATGCACAATGACATACTGCACCTTCATTATAATCCACAGCAATATAACTGTGGTTATGCAACAGCTCCTCCACACGGCTGAGTGTGATAGCAGCAAGGTGTCCTGGGTATTTAAGTTGAAGGAGACGCTGTAGGAAAGACGCTGCCTGACTCCCAGCCACATTCACACGCTTACAGTTTCCTGCGTCGAACCTAGAATTTTAATCATAGAAGTCTTAATGTACAGAACAAATGAGTAAAACTGAAAGTAAAACAATCAGGAAAAAGGGACATAAGGGAAGACCATTTATTAGTACCAATGGGAGCATGATGAAGTAAGAGGAATTGTAACAAGCCAAGCACAATGCAGAATCAGATGTTTTTGACTGGCTCCTCACCTGCCATTGATGACTGGCAGGATGTGTGAACAGTGGTATCCTGAAGACAGAACAATGCCAGTATGTGGTGGTTGGAGGTTCCTTTGAATGTTATTGTGATAGAAACTGTACAAGCTGTCCATGCCATATGACACGTAAGGTACACTGTAGCATTCAAACAGCAACTCTGACATCATCTGTCGACAGTGCAGTGGGTTGCAGGGGGCCTCTGTCAGAACAACAGGGTGCTCCACACTGCCCTACAAAAAAACAAGGTAAAAAGACAAAAATTTACTATACCTGTTAGAACTTAGTTTGACGGGGCAATTAAAAAATAAAATAAAATCATAAAAAAACTTCTTCTCTGGATTATTATTATTAGTACACAGCTCAGCCAACCACAAAATTTGGGGTGAAACTCCAATAATCCTGTCATGAAGTGGTCCTTCAAATCATTTCGGGCTCATTCCAGAGACTTTTTTCGTTGACACAAATAGTAAAAAAAGACTATTAGATGAACAAAGAGAGTAAAACTTACAATTTTGAGGTAAGGCAACTTTTCATTCTCTTATCTCTCACCCAGAGGAGGAATAGAGCCATTTAAAAAATCCATCTCAACTCCGAGATTAAAAACGGAATTCTGAATATTTTCTCAAAACTTCTGAGGGTAGTCAGATTTCTGAATGTATCTCAGAATTGATGGGTTAAAAGTTGAAATTTTGGGTGCATCTTTCCATCCAATGGTTTCTCTTCTACAATTTAGATTAATGCTGAAGAAATCAAACCTCTGAAGGCACACATAGAAATACACTCACCGGCCACTTTATTAGGTACACCTGTCTAACTGCTCGTTAACACTTAATTTCTAATCAGCCAATCACATGGCGGCAACTTAGTGCATTTAGGCATGTAGACATGGTCAAGACAATCTCCTGCAGTTCAAACCGAGCATCAGTATGGGGAAGAAAGGTGATTTGAGTGACTTTGAACGTGGCATGGTTGTTGGTGCCAGAAGGGCTGGTCTGAGTATTTCAGAAACTGCTGATCTACTGGGATTTTCACGCACAACCATCTCTAGGGTTTACAGAGAATGGTCCGAAAAAGAAAAAATATCCAGTGAGCGGCAGTTCTGTGGGCGGAAATGCCTTGTTGATGCCAGAGGTCAGAGGAGAATGGCCAGACTGGTTCGAGCTGATAGAAAGGCAACAGTGACTCAAATAACCACCCATTACAACCAAGGTAGGCAGAAGAACATCTCTGAACGCACAGTACGTCGAACTTTGAGGCAGATGGGCTACAGCAGCAGAAGACCACACCGGGTGCCACTCCTTTCAGCTAAGAACAGGAAACTGAGGCTACAATTTGCACAAGCTCATCGAAATTGGACAATAGAAGATTGGAAAAACGTTGCCTGGTCTGATGAGTCTCGATTTCTGCTGCGACATTCGGATGGTAGGGTCAGAATTTGGCGTCAACAACATGAAAGCATGGATCCATCCTGCCTTGTATCAACGGTTCAGGCTGGTGGTGGTGGTGTCATGGTGTGGGGAATATTTTCTTGGCACTCTTTGGGCCCCTTGGTACCAATTGAGCATCGTTGCAACGCCACAGCCTACCTGAGTATTGTTGCTGACCATGTCCATCCCTTTATGACCACAATGTACCCAACTTCTGATGGCTACTTTCAGCAGGATAATGCGCCATGTCATAAAGCTGGAATCATCTCAGACTGGTTTCTTGAACATGACAATGAGTTCACTGTACTCAAATGGCCTCCACAGTCACCAGATCTCAATCCAATAGAGCATCTTTGGGATGTGGTGGAACGGGAGATTCGCATCATGGATGTGCAGCCGACAAATCTGCGGCAACTGTGTGATGCCATCATGTCAATATGGACCAAGCTCTCTGAGGAATGCTTCCAGCACCTTGTTGAATCTATGCCACGAAGAATTGAGGCAGTTTTGAAGGCAAAAGGGGGTCCAACCCGTTACTAGCATGGTGTCCCTAATAAAGTGGCCGGTGAGTGTATGTAATGTGTACAAAAATATGTGAAACAAACCAGAATGTTTTTTATTTTGGATTCTACATAGTAGTCACCTTTAGTCTTGAGGACAGCTTTGCCCACTCCTGGCATTCTCTCAAACAGCTCCATGAGGCTATTAGCTGAAATGGTTTTCAATTTGCAGGTGTGCCTTGCTTCCAGGAATCTCTTATCCTTCAAACCATCCCTTTGTATTGCCCCAAAACAGGGTAAGTACACAGTCCTATACAGTTCATCCATATTCAACTATGGTTCAACTACAACAACTGTAGAGAGCGTCCTGTAGAGAATCGTAGGGGTCTCTTGGGTTCATCCTGAACATCCTCAGTACACTGTGCACACTGAGCCTCCACAATAATGAAGGACCTCTCCCACCCCTCACACAGACTGTACCCCCTCCATCAGACAAGAGGTTTTGCAGCATCAGGACCAGCACAACAAGATTCTGATACAGATTTTTTCCCCAAGCTGTACTTCTGTCATTCACAGCAACCCCTTTCGTCTCCCACCACCTCTTACTGACCCCCTGTCTACAGCCCCACACTTACACACATACTACAGTCAATGTGCACTGCCACTGAAGTTCTGGACAAATCATCACTGCCACTCTACTGGACAATAATCTCTGTCACCTGTACCCTATATGTCACCATTAACCCTGCACTGTATTCAGATATTTAAATATTTACTACTGACTTCCTGTTCATTTTCAACTGAGATTTTGCAAAGACTTCCTCCTGCACCAACACTTTGATTTTCTACTGTCCCAGCTTTTCAGTTCCTACCTTGCTACTTCATTCATTTTTTATTCATTATTTAGTGCAATTTAGTGCAATATATATTGGCAGTACACACTGAGAAATCAATATTTGAGGTCCCATAACAAAAAAAGACTGCTATAGGCCCTGTACCTCGTAGTCTCTTTCTATGTTGTTTGGTCTTGTTTGTTGTATTTTTAAAATTGTTCAGAGGAGATTGTGTAACTCAGGCTTTCATGGTCAAACTGCTGCAACGATGCCACCAGTTACAAAGAACAGCAACAAGAAAAATGCCTGGGCCAAGAAACACAAGGTGGAGTTGCTTTATATTTTTAGAAAACTTCAGTGTAATTAGGCTCAATTTTAGATTTTTGGTTCTTATGTCAATGTCCTTTTGACACGCAAAAAGGGTATGTGCATGATAGTTACATGTATGAGGCATGGAGGAAGAAGAGTAACACTGTTGATGATTTACTTAAAATTCAAGGAACACTAATGCAGCATGGCTACCACAGCACTCTGTAGCAACCATAGACTGTATACAGAATGGACAGAGTCTGCCTCCTTGCTGGGTGAAGCCACTCCAAGAACAGCACCCTCTGTTGGCGGGCTGCAGTATAGGTCATAAATCTGCCTCCGCCAGCAAAGCTTACAGAGCAAACTTTAGAAATTTATTTCACAGAACATAATTTTTTCTCCCCCCTGCTTGCGGTGTTGACATGTAGTTACAGTAAGACTGGTTTGTGCTCAAGTCCTCTTTTTTATGTGCAACTCAGTTTTTAAAAGTTATTAGGGGGTTCGTGTTTTCTATGATTGACACCTGATACAGCCTATTGGTGTTAAGGGATTGCGTAGCTTACCCGGGGGATACGCTGTTTGAGCCGAGCGTCATCACAGCGACTCTCGGAGACTCTCCTGTTGAATGCGCACAATGCTACTGCGCAACACTGGTTTTAGGAAATGAAGAAAAATCCAGAAACACCGAGAGCTTTTTGGCTTCAAATCCGTATACAGGCGGGAGGCGGAACCAAGTTGTCCATAGTATATACAGTCCATGGTAGCAACATGCCATCTCATTTGGTTTGTGCATAGTCACCATCACCATTTGTTTTTCAGCTGGACAATGATCTCAAACACACCTCCAAGCTATGTGAGGACTATTTGACCAAGAAAGAGAGAGTTTGAGTGCTGTGTCAGATGACCTGGCCTAGGTTAATCCCCTGAGCCTGTCTCAGCAGGGGGAAGAACAACAATTAACAAGATCTTGGCACCCCTGAAACTCCTTTAGGACAGTTGGAAAGTATTTCTGGGGACTATATCTCAATACCTTGGTTGAGAGGATTCCAAGAGTGTGCAGAGCCGCAACCGTTTTAATGGCTTTTAAGAATGTCAAATAACATAAAGGTTTAAGACAGTTTATGTAGAAAAGTAATGTAAAAAAACAATAAACATTAGGAAAAAACATTGAATGACACTGTGTGTCCAAACTTTAGACTGGTGGATATGTTAAAGTTAAGACATCTTTAGGAGGCAAATTTGCTGAAAGTAAAAAAAAAATTGCAAATTTTTGGTTTGGTACTCTAAGGATCTAACTTTTAGTTTTAGGCGTTATCTACTCTGTCTTTAGTAAAGACGAAAGTATTCAAATTTTAAGCCACTTTTATTTTTTGTAAGTCTTCAACTTGAGTCATCTATTGTTTTTCATTTTTCATTTAATGCAAATGAGCCTTTGCTGCTGTTTTTATTCTAATATGATGGAAAGCTAAATAGTGGGCCTATTTAATTCAAATCCGATGTAAGTGTCAGAGTAGGGTTTTGAATTACATTTTTTTCCACGATTCAGCTTAAATTTCAATTTTAGTCATCTGTTTAGACTGCTAGGTAAAAACGTTTTGCATAACAGAAAGCTAAACATTTAAACAGCTTTGAGGAAAATTGTAAGTACGTAGGTGGCATCAGAGACTGTGAATTTCGATTTGCTTGGAGACGCAAATGGTGGTACCACACCATCGCACAGTGACCACCATCCACTCACCTCCGATGTGATGCCCAGGTGGGTAAACACATAGTCGAAAACAAGCTCCTGGATCTCCAAGTTGACGACCACGTTTCGATCGAACTGACTCTTGAGTAGCCACCGCAGCGGCTCCAGACTAGGGATATCGTTGCCGATCTGGGTTTCACTGCGTGCGGCTCCCCTGTTACGCGCCGCCACTGACCTAAAGAGCAGACGCGGAGCACCCTGTTCCCCCGGAACAGCCCAACCAGCCCTGGTCTGGAATGAGCCATTATCTATTATTATTGGTGCCGGCGTGGGGTTCAGACACTGAGCCGGGACCTCAAATATCGGGTCAGGAGAAGATTTTAAGTCCTGAAATGAGAAAATTTGTGAGAGTGAACTCTCAGTTGAAGCCATTTCAATGGTGCGTCACACAGAACTACATCCGGGTGAAAACCAGGTGAAGTCAATCATGAGTTCCAGTCTTTTTTTTCATGAACAATTTCACAATATTACATGAATCGAAATATATGAGACGTAAAATATTCAGCTGCATTCACTATCTGCAGCATAAAATAATAATTAAGTTAAAATACTCGTCGCGTGAACTGGAGCTTCATATTACATTCTATGTTGTGTCTACCCCATCTAAACTCTAAAATTGGCAAACGAAATCCTCCAAAGCGGCATATTTTGCCAACAAACGAAATGCTGATCTTATATTCTCACTCTGAATTATAACTTATTTTAAACCGTAATGCAGGGATTTGACATGTAACCATAAATAACTATTTGAAGTCCTTACTTCCTTTAACCACCAGAGGTCGTAGCCTACCAAACTTTAAACGAATTGTAAATTTCTTTGAAGCCCAGGAGGGTCAGAGTGACGATTTATGATTACGAGAACACGCTCCTGAATTTGAGCTGTATTCAAGTCAGAGTATCATACGTTTTATTATTTCGTATTCCCCATCAATGTTCTAGTTAAAACGAAATTGTCCGGATATTTGTCAAAGGGTCCATTCAACAATGTCGAAAATTGTCACGTGAAAAAAAAGAATGTACTTATAAACACCACTGAGTGACTGTTTATCCAGTCTGCAGCCTATCAGATCTGTTACGCTTCTCTAAACGCCTTATTTTTTGATTTAGGCCAAAGATTGATAAACTTAGCCTAGATCGTGAGTTTAGGCCTGTCGATAGATGTCATTAATGAGCCAAGCATTTAAATTTGTATTCAAAATAAAAGGCACATGGTTTAATTCATTTTAAAGATGCATATACCAAACAAACAGACAGTTTTCCCTCAGGCCCCGATGCCCGATTTCTGTGTGACTGCCGTCCTGTTATTCTCGGCTGACCGAGGGAAGCCTCAGCTGGTGATGTGGGACACCTGCACATGTGAACTAGCAACTGGACACCCCAGAAGGGTTCAGCTCGCACTATTCAGTAAGTACAAGTCTTGTAAGCACATGCTCAAATAGAGAATGAGCACATGAAGAGGTGACAAAGTATAATGATCTACTTTACAAGGAAAATCACCAACCACAACTTGTGCATAAAAAGCTTTTGCTTAAATATGCCCAATGCTCTGTTGCGATGCATTGATAAATATAGTATAATATAATATTTATAACTCAACAAAAACAGAACATTAGCATTCCATTTAAACCTTTGTTTCATCTACCTCTGCACCAAAAACAATAACAAAAGCTCTGTTCTAAAATGAAAACCATATTTTGTAATTATCAGTTTTTTTATTATTATTTCACGCTTAAAAACTTGATCGGTTTTGTAGTTTGAAGTGTGTCTATGTTTTGTTTTATACATTTTAGAAAGTGGGTCTAAGTATTGGAGCAAATGTTTATATATATATATATATATATATATATATATATATATATATATATATATATATATTTACATATATATATAATTTTTAGGTTTATGTCTTATTTCCTGGATAGCGCTAGGACCAAAGGACAGAGAGGATGAAGGAAAGACACTGTGTGTGTGTGTGTGTGTGTGTGTGTGTGTGTGTGTGTGTGTGTGTGTGTGTGTGTGTGAGGGAGGGAGTGGTATTAGGCCTACTGTATGAAGCTTGATGGTGTGTCACTGAAGCAAAAGCACAGTTCACTGCTCAGGCACAAAGCTCTAAGTGACTACTGCCCCCTCCTCCTGATGCTAATAACCAGAACTGGGTCAGCTCTGCGAACACACGCGCGCGCGCGTACGCACGCACGCACGCACACACACACACACACACACACACACACACACACACACACACACACACGCACTATTACGCACATGCAACCCCCCTCGCGCGCCTTTAAAAAAATGTTTTTGATCTCGCGCTGCGTCCTTTCCATCTAAGAAGACTTGACATTGAGTTGCTGTCCGGGCGCGATGCTCGCAGCTTCTTGCTTGTTGTGCTTGTCATCCAGGCAGCAGTGGTGAAGCGCAGGGGAACTAATAGGCTACAATCACTCTGTGACTGCCATGCACGATGCCAAGCAGCCTCCATTTTGTGGAGAAATGATCAGACTGTGCATTTACAGGAGACTAAGGCAGTTCGTCTCATTCTGTTGGCCTACTGGGTTTGGAAGTTTCAATGATTACATAGTATCACTTATTGATTTTAATTCAAATCGCATTTGTTTTTATTATCTATTCCTTTAATTTTATTTTCAGGTAGATCCCACAGTGATTTGATTTGGTATAGAAGAGTGGCAAAAAAATACATTTTGTTAAATATATACTAACTCTTCATTTCAAAATAGAACACTATTTCTCTGCACACACTAACTTTACCAAAACACTGGAATTCTGACTCAGTATGAAATTATTCTGTCAAGGAATAACACTTGTTTTCATTTTACAAGGTACATGCAGTCAATCAAAATACACCAGGTTTCAAAATACTGACTATTGCTGACATTACAAAAACTGATTAAACTTTTATGTTTTAGTTTTGCAGGTATTTGCATGCAAAACAAGCAATCCATGGTGTTTACATTAAATTCCTTGGTTGGCAACTGTATGTCTGCATTTAATGTTCAAAAAAGCACACATTTACTGTATCTAATCTCTTTTTTCAGGTTTTCAGGGTTAGGCCACATGTTTTCATCAGCATCACATCTGATACTATCCAAGGCAATGCACCTGGGATAAAACCACTTGGTATGTCCTCTCTTTGCAATTATCAACTGTGATGTCCCTGCAGCCAGCATCCATGGCTTCAAGGAGGGACTCACTAGGCCTGCTCTTCTCCCGGGGCCCCTTGCTCTTACTCTTCCAAAACAGTGTTTGTCTTTCTCTGTTTCCAAAACAGCACTCCTCAAAGTCCTCCTTTTAACCCCTGCCACTGACTCTTACCCAGATTTGAATCAGCTGTGGTTGTCACCAATTTACCCAACATAAATCAGCTGTGTGTCAATTATCTATCTGTTTGTTTAATATCAGCTGAGATAAATTGTTTTTGACCAGATATCATTGCAGAAGCAGAGGTTTTTATACTGTATCTAAGGTTTGGAATATTGGTTTTGCTATTGTGGGATGTTGTGTGTTAACATTCGTAAATAATACAAAAACAGTCCATAATTTTGTTGGAGAGTATAGCTTGTCTGTTAAGAAAATGTAAGCATTGTGGAATTGTGTTCACTGACTGCATTTTGTGTGAAAATGACATGAAATGTGTGAATGGTATGGCCACAAAAGACTGATGCTGTGCTGTGTTTTGAGTTTTGAAAATGTGACAACTGGTTGGACAAATGCTTGTTAGCAACTGAAAAAAACTGTAAAGTGCTGTACAGTGTGCCCATATTACGCATCTTCTTGAGGAAGTGGCAAATTTAAACTGCTGAGTGTGATATATTTATTCACCCCTGCACCATAGTTGAATGATAACATTAGCTAGGTTTCCTCATGAACATGTAAGATTTTTAGACTTAACAGACAGGCAGACATAAACTAGTCACCCACCACCTTGACTCATCTGCAATCTAAAATACTATGTTGAGGAAATGATGTATGTGTTTCCCAAATCTTTGTTCTGTTTTGGTCCACTCAAACTTTGTGAAATATATATCGTCTCAGTGATATCACCCGCTGGTTTTTCTATCAGCATTTTGAAGCCCTTCAACTGCAGTCACCATATGCAGGAAATGCAGACTCAACCTTGCTTCTGGTTGGCCTAACAAGAGGTAAAGAGGTGGAGTTGGGATGGGCCTTTAGCCTTCCTGACTGACAGCTACAGTGTGCCCACCTGTCAGTCAAATCAGCTGTTCCCCCCATGAAGCAAAACTTGTGACTTAGACGTTTTAAAAACTTATAAGCCATATAAAAAATTCCCTTCCATACAATGTAACAAATGAGTAATTCATGAGTTCTCTGAGTCAGGCTGTAAACATGTTTATTTTTGCTTCACAGATGGGATTTTTAAACTTGCGTATTTTAACTCTTCCATGTCAGCTTCATTCCTCAAGAGGTTTCGGCTTAAGAATATTCTCCTTGGAAAGTGTTTCATTGACTTTGAGCTGTTTGTGAGTGAACAGAAAGACAAAACACGGAAAAAAATGTTTTTTCCACAATATCCCTTTACATGTACAGTGGCCGGGAAGATAGTAGTATTGTGGCTGCATCAGGTGAAGGAGGGAATATGGAATTCTTGGCAAAAGTACAACAAGAAATCTTAACAAGTTTTACATAGAATAGCTGTGATTTAAAAAAATAAATAAATAAAATTCAACTTTTTTAATAAATATAACTAGGTTTACATCTGCATGAGAGCCATTAATATACTGGCAATCCCAACACTTAATCCCATGAAAACCCCAGTTGGTGAAGCAACTTCAGGGCCCAGGAGCACACCCCTTGGGTTTTTGGCAGAGGGGAAGCTAAAAACTTCTGTAAAAATTGATTTGTCAATGTGGGCACGGCTGACAAAAAATAGGGTTTATGTGCGATTGTGTGTTTGTGTATGAGTTTATGTGTGTGTGTGTGTGTGTGTGTGTATGCGTGCGGATGAGTGTGTCTCACACACATACATACAGTGTTTTCTAAGAGTTCATTGAAAGGATGGCTTAGGGGTGAGAGTTTTACAAAGTTATTGCGACTAAAAAGCTTAGATCACACTACAGTGTGAGGAAAGCAAGTAATAGATCTGGGATTGAACCCTGGGCCATTGTAACATTACTGGACTTTGTACATGCATTCAATCATCATCATGATAAGACATTGAATAAACCTGCACATGTAAGCCCTGCATGGTAGTTAACTGCCATGAGGTTAAGCACATGGGTCACAGTGAGAGGGTTCTGAATTCTTATTGGGGTGAGAGGCTTACCACATAAAGCTAGAACAGGGGTCGGCAACCCGCGGCTCTGGAGCCGCATGCGGCTCTTTCTTCCCTAAGC